TAATTCGTTCTTCTCCGTATCAGACCGTACTTATTCGTACTAACCCGTGCTTATACCGTAGCAGACCGTAGTGTATCCGTAGTGCGTCCGTCCTGATTCGTGTCGCTCCGTATCAAACCGTGTCGATCCGTAACAATCCGTGTCTCTCCCGGGGCATTTGGAGGTAAATCCGTCGAACTCCGTACTCATACCGTTGTGTGTCCGTACTGGAACCGTAGTGGACTACGGAATTTCACATTTCCGTAGTAATCCGTGGACAATTAGACCGTAGCTCTTCCGTGGCATTATCCGTGAATATGTGACCGGGGCATCACTGGAGACCCTTTAAGTATCTAAATCAGTAATTTTTTTATCGACAGCTACGTTTTTATAATAATGCATTTTGTATCATCAAGCATGAAGAAATAGGGGGTTATTCTAGTACAAAATGACGATTTCATTATAAACAGTCCGCCAACTTTGTAAATAGATGTGTTTTTATTTAGACATAATTATTATACGACAGTTGGAAACCTTAAACTAAACGTTCAGATAACTATAGTGAGATTTACAATGTATTTTATACTTTCCAACGCTAGTCAATATGATCATCAAGATCAAAGATATATCTATCATTTACGGCGCTGCCCAAATTGAGGTGTATGAAACCGTCTTAACGTATATATTATACAATGACTTACATTTCATGTTTATAGTACTATAAAACATTGGACAATAAACCATGTTCTAAACTTATAAATCATAAAATACATCTCTCCTAAAACTGCTTTTAACTTTGTTTTGGACTGACGTGCTCTGCATGTCAAATATTAATTGCCCTAGGATAAGGAAACTAAAAGTTTAAAGGTGCGATCTTATAAACAAATTCATAAAATGTTACAAAATGAACGGTATTGTCTTCTCATAACATATTTAGTCACATTGCGGTTTATTGGAATTGATTGGAAGATGGATTCATTAATATAATTCTTGCACGTTAGGAAAGTGAGAAATTTGCATATTCTTTAGAAGAGGAAATTGCACGTTCTTTAGAAGAGGGTTTTCTAAAAATGAAATTATCTCAGATAAATAAAGTGTCTGTTTAATTATGTATATATTTTATAATTTATCATAAAGTAAATTATCCTGGATTAAATGAATACAAGCAAGCTCTGAGGCGGATATATTAATATATTAATTGAGTACCCTTGTGTGTTCACAGGGACTGGTCAATTAGTTAATGGGAAGTGATTTCATATATGTATATATGTTTCAACATTTCAAGTACATGTATATGGACAAGTTTATGATAAGTGTATGATAAGATACGTCAAAGATGGCTAGATATATGGATATATTTATCATAATCATGTTCGGTAAGTTTTGCAGATTATTGCATTATGTACATTCATGCATCATAAGTTATCTGTTCTTTTTTGTATGTTTCTATTTATGGGGGTAGTTTATTATGGGCTTTATGTTTAGCTTGATGCATGCATGATGAAGATCAAAAAATGACTGGTCTCTTTCTAAATGATACTACATGTACAAGAAAATTCAAAGTTTAATCCGGCAAATGCATGTCTAATAAAAGCAGTTGTAAATACATGTTAGTCGATTCACTGATAAAAATACTCACTGTATGATGATAAAACTTAACATGCACTTCACATGATGCATTTATAAGCAATCTAGAATGACAAATAATATTTAAAGTTCAAACGAACTTATTAGTCACATATTGGGATTTTTATAGATTTGCGGTATTTGCAGGGAGTGTACTGTACAATTTTAAATCAAGTTATAGTTAATAACTCTTTTTTTTTCTAATAAGTTAATAAGATTGTAAGCCAACGTGACTGTGAGGCCTACGATAGTTTAGCACTTTCACAAAAATAAAAATGTACATGTATAACGTGTACAATATTGTAACATTTTTGTACTTTTAGAAATGACAAACATCTAAAAATACTCGTAGGAAATCATTTCTATAAGTGGTAAAGTCATAGCTAAGATAGAAAACATGTATATGTTGAATATTTGTTGTTTTATAACTTACCAGACAGTATACAAATAATGTTTATCTCCATTATTTACATCTATTGTTTGAGAGAGGTGTTGTCATCACTAGAGATTATAGGAGTCTTGACGATGATATGATTTAATAACAGTCAGAAAAATCGTGATAAACTTTGATCGTTTTAAGTAAACTTGTATAAAGAAATATTTAAGACGAACTGCACAAGTGACACAACTCTGTCGCAGTTAACTCCAGTATGAGTATTGCGTCCCCGGTCCCATGGCAGCCACTCTACTTGTAAATGCTAGAACTTCAATAGTCCTTCAAAATAACTCATTCTTTATTAAGATTCTTTATATCATACATCTGTTTTCATAAATGGATAATCATTGCATGTGAGATGTTCATAATAAAAACTAGATCTAATTAGATATACAGTACATAGACAGGGGGTCGAACGTATAGCCGTGCGATACTCCTTTAAGCGAGGTGAAATCATGCGATACGGACTAATGGCTGATTTATTCGTGTAAACACACGTCAGAGTGAGTGAATTTTAGTTAATTATTACATAAATCTTCGATTACATTTGTATATTTTGTATTGAAGATGTGAAGATAGGACCGACACACATTTCATCAAAATTATAGAGGCTTAAATTCATAATTAAAAAAGATATGGAAGGGTGAATGAAATCGCTTAAAGCAAGCTTATATTAATATACATGTAAGTAATTTCTTTTTCTTCTTTTTCCTATAAGGGTTATCACAATTGTGTTGCATAGCAAGTACCTTTGTGCTCCGATATACATAGACGCTTACTGGTCAACATATTTAAGTGTACGCTGGGTTTTGGTGCGATAAAATAACTGTACGCTGTTAAAGATTCGATATATTTCATTATCACATCTGTTGTACATGTTTTCCTATGATTATACTAAGAGATCTACAATAATTGTGTCCGTTTCCAGATTTCTGAAAAAAAAACTTTTTAAATAAAGGATTTACTTCAAATAAAAGTTTCGTATCACCATCTATATAAGTGTTACTATTTGAACTAAATTTTAATTATTAGATATCTACCTGTGATAATTAGGAGTTGGAAAAAGTAACTTTTACTCTAAGATCTTAGATAACTATATTTCTTGTCATCTCTTAATTTTTAACACCGTTCATAGCTACTGAGTCTGTATCTTCATTCCAAAAATTTGTCGCCCTTTTCAATAACAAGAGTCTTGTTTTTTTGTACTTTTTCTTGTTTGTCATTTCGTTTTCCTTTTGATCATGAAATTTGTGTTAAGTTTATTTCTGTATCTAATTTATTACTGAATAATCTATTCAATTTAATTTTGTAGTTTATTTTCCACTTTTGTTCATCTATGATATGTCTTCCTAGAAATTATTTCGCGCTTATTAAATTAGCGCTTTTCGCCTTGAATACATTTCATTCTGGAACTTTTACATGTTGATATATACAATTTTTAGTTTATATTTATTCAAGAAGTAGGAATAGTAGGAATATTTGTAAAAACAGTAGGAGTACGGCAAAAAAGTAGGAAAGTAGGCAAAAGTAGGACTACTTTCAAGCCTGTATAATAAAAGTGCCACAATGGCTTAAAATGACATTCAATAAATAGGGGTCATCTAGTAGGCTTTTGTCAATGTTTTTTTTTAATTTTCAAAAAAAAATATATATAATCCAATCCATAGCGGAAATCAAACCAGTATTTTTTTTTTATAAAATTTCAAGTTCCATTGCAAAAAAAACACCACAAATATACAATTTAACATGTACATGTACTTCTCAAGGTATTGAATGAGCATAATAACGGATGGGAGGCGTTTTTTTCCTACCAGTGCATGTAATACAATAGTAGTTCCACTTCTCATATGTTGTTGTTTTAATTAAAGTTATTTTTTATGACAACATAAATATGTACATGTTTGTAATTAACAATAGAAAAAAAACATATTATTAAATGATAAAACCTTTACTGAATGAATGGAATAAAGAAAATTAACTATATCATAGTATAATACAATATGTGACACTTTTGTTTTAATTGTCACTGTGATTTACATGTGATTAACAAAGAAACAAAAACTTGATATTTCATCAATATTGAATAAGAATGTATAATGTACTGCAATGAGGATCCCGTCGCTACAGAAAAACACACCAAAATTTGTGCGTACAGTTGGTTTATCGGACCAAATATTATGTGTACAGTAGGGAAACTTGAAATATTGTATATATTTTCGGATAGATATGGAAAACTACTCTTGTATATCGTTTTGTTATCAAAAATAAAAATGTTGGGACTTAAACTAATCGAATATCTCATTTTAAAACTACTGATAGATCATACATTATCCGTTTGCATGTGCATATCAGGTTGACGGTTGAATTTGCTGCAACAAATACCTCAATAACTTCCTCAATACTATAAAATTTAGTATTTTGTTTTGACGATCATGCACAATTATAAACAGCATGCACAATGCTATTTTTCAAGAAATTACAATAGACAACAAATATTTGAAGAAAAACATGCTCATACCCACTTTCGTTTTCGCTTTCGTCGGCCATTAGTCCTTTCACCTCGCTTAACATTCGGAACTGCCTAGGCTATTATCTATAATATTAACGAAGACTGACGGAAAGGGCCGAGTAGTTGCGATTGCTCGCTTAAAGGAGTATCGCACCGCTATACGTTCGACCCCTGATAGAACTGTGATTTATTATAGCAGAAAGTTCAAAAACCAAAAAAGCTTCCATAGCTGTTGCATAGAATAATCTTAATTCTTATGTTCATGACTCATTTTAATACCTGGTAGCGATAATTTTGAAATATCTGACCATTTTTTACTTCACGGAAATTTATATATTTTTAAACTTTCTTATCGATAAGAGAGGTTATGACGTAAATATGTACACATTATACGTCATCCTCTGGAATGCATTGGTTCATCCACGTGACACAAGCGTGTTTATAAAAGGATACGCTGAACATTTAATTAAAACAGTAGCGCACACTGTTTAAAACAGAAGCAAGCGAACACTTTGTTTGTTTGTCAATATATGTGGTTTATAACCATTAAAGTTCCTGAACCAACTAGAACAGCTGTCACATTTATAAGATAAATACAAGAACAAAATTTACTTCAATAGATTCTGACTAACAGTATATTCGGATAATACAGTAATAGATCTACTCGATGTTATTATTTTTATTGAAGTTATTTTAAAGTATTGAGATACGGTTGGTAAAGGAGGCTATTTAGAGGATGTGTAAGTGTATGGAGATATTGTTTCTAACAGCTGTCGTCGGTAAGTTGTTTAAGCTCAATCTGTTACAAAATCAATAAAGTAACTCAAATAATTTGAATAAATACAGTATGCTGACTTAGAATAACGAATATATTAGAATGCTTGTAACATTTAATTAAATTAATGTTCAATTTTACCCTTGATCAATGTATACACTGTTCTGCTTTAATTACGTTAGTTCATCTACAGTAAACTTGCAAGATATGCTTTAATTAAACATGTCAATATTTAATAATTAGTAACAGAAACAAACTCAATTATTATTAAAGCTGTTCAGATTAAAATAGCCGAAACAACATTTAAGCTTAGCCATATCAAGAAGCGTTTTTATATTTAAGACTTTATACATTTAATACAAGACAAACATCTAAGGCATTTTCCTGCTGTTTTAGCTTATGTAAGAATATTTTCGAAGACATTTTGGGAAATTTAAGAAACTGTTAAAAATGAAAAAAATATTTATACTTGTACATGATTTCATAAGTTCTACTCATGTGTATTCACGATTATTTAAGGTGCTACTTCTTTAAAAGCAGCATGCCTCCAGAAGATAACCGATATCTATCGTTGTAATAAAAATACAAGGTATTTGAAAAAAAATTAATAGCTGGAAAAACGTTCATATTTTGACAATATATTTACTTCCACCATCAGGATAAACTCTACGGAATTCTTTCAGAGGGTTTATTTCTAGTACAACGTCATTTAGCTTTTAGCTTTTTTTATATAAATATATTTGTCCTTAGTTTTAACAACACGCTCAACAATGTTTTTACTTTGACATTGCTGTAATGCTTTGTTCAAAACAAAACAAGACAAATTACAACACTGACAATATCTCTGTTATGTGATGTTACATAAATGTTTTATTCAAACATTTCTTTTAATATCTTGTGATCTTCAATTAAGACGGAACTACATGTATATCATAAATTATAAGAAGAACAAAATGATGAATTTGGTAAATTATATTATATAAGTTGTACCAATAACGATTCTCTCAACCAGTGATTTTTTCACTGCATTTTACAGCCGACCCCAAGCAGAAAATAGGTAAAATTTCCTCTAAAATGCCTCGTGCTCTTCCTGACCAGAATTATGACCTATCAGCATCTGACTTATATCAGCTAGAAGACAGAAATCTGTCCCTATAGATAGCCTCTGCTATGTACCATGCATGTTAAATTGAATTGAAATCAAAATTTTATATAAAATGTGTGGGTAAATTACATTTTCAGTTGTTGGAATTTGATTTCAGGTTTTCCCCCTTTTCTGTTTTATCGCGCAATATTTTCCCCTTTCGAAAGCCACAGGTTGTTTTGAAAATTGGAAAAAAATCACTGTCAACGATTTACAATTCACCAACATGACATTTATATCTAATGTTACATGTCTTGGTTTTTTTTATTACATGACCAAGTTTAATTACTGAGTAACATTTCTATTTAATATTACATTATCATACATCCGTTTCTGTTTTATGTTGTTGTAAAACGTTGAACTTCCTGAAACATTTTTTTACATTTCTCAAATAGTGACACAAATAAAAGTTTCAATTTCATTTAAAATATAACTGAATTAATACACGACACGAGCATGATACATCTTTTACACCGGAGTCTTTAAGTATATAAGACTTAATGTATTGATAGGTGACTAAGGTCCAGCGTAGATGGGTGGCAAATTAATGGAATCGATGCAAACCTAACAAAAACTAACCAAGTGATTGAAATTATGTTTTGATTATTTACATATCTTTAACTGACAAGTTGTGGAACGCCAATTAAACTACTGTAGTGTTCAACAGAATTTGAAAAAAGGAACGATCTAAGTGGATTCTACAACTTTATCAATTAATTAATTATTAATATGTCAATCTTCATTAAGTTATATGACACGTGTTAGTAGTCGGTATATCACGTGCATGTAAAGTGGACCACCATAGTATACATGAACAAACAGAGGTTTACATCCTGGTCTCAAAGTTGACAAAGGTCTCATACTTTACAATTACTTCCGGAACTCCTCGTTTCTTGATAACGATAAAAATTAAAGTTCTTAATCCAAGTTAAAACTGCGTCCATTCTCATGCTTATGTTTAAACCTACACCACTTTAAGGTTATTTTACTTGACATTAAATTCTCTTAAATGATTCAAAGTTTCGTTTAATTTCACGAAGCTTTAATTAATAATATGCAGCGCCTTTAAGATGAAATTATTCTCCAATACGTTCTGCTGACCTTGATGTTATATAAAAAAAATTCCGAGTTCTGTCTCAATTCTCAAGATTTCCATTGGTCAGTGAACATTCTGTGGTAGTTTCTGACCAATCAATTTCTTGAGGTATGGGTTTGAGTTTGGAGAGCTTCTTTATAACCGCTGACCCGGGATTGTCTGCTTCAGAAAGTCTGGTGATGAATAGTCAATCTTATACTATAGCTCAGGTTTTCATATGCTTTAAATAGCGTTATTTAGGAACTAATTATAATCAGATTGGATATATTATAAATTATGATATGAACATTTACGATACAGCACTTACCATTGGATAATAGTGACGTTTATTTAATACATTATCAATGAAGTAATTATCATTTCCTTTAAAAGGTGAAATTTTTCTGTGTTTATTGTTATTATTATTATTTTATTATTATTATTATTATTATTATTATTATTATTATTATTATTACTATTATTATTATTATTATTGTTGTTAATTTGTTATCATCATAAATTCGTTACAAAATTAGTTTACATGTTATATGGTCGTGTATAAACGTTTGTTTGCAATACAACACGAGTCGTTTCAGCAAAGCCATATAACCATCATATTGATATTTATTTATTCATTCAATTTTTTATTCTTTTTTCAATTAACAATATAATTAATTTTTAAATGCCCACACGTTTATACTGTGAATTTACTGTTGTTTTCTGCAATCATAGACATACTTAAAGCACATGTACACGAATTATATGTTGGGTACACAGTTCACAAATTCGTTGATATCACACAAAGAGACATCATTATTATTTAAATCACGTTTTACGACATTAAAATCCCTGAACAGATGGGATTATTTCCATGGCAAACTGAAAATACAAAATACATGTATACGCTTGATTTATATAACCTGTGTGGTATGGTAAAAGAATGCCGTAGTAGTTGGCTATAATGATACTATATAGATGTTATAAAGTAATGTTGGTTTATTTGATGGTAAGTGGGTGTTGAGTGTCAGTCATTTACTGACGATACTGATTTTAAATAACCGACATTAAAGTGTTGTAATATCAACCCAAATATGGTAACCCAACTGTGACACTGTTACCATAGTATACTAACTTCTACCCGAAGTCATTTATATATCAACTTTACCGGTATCCCGAGAGTCGGGGTTTCTGTAGATGAGACGTGATCTCGCAGAGTGACAACATTATTAGATTATATATATACATGTACATGTATCTTGTTTTTATTAATTAATAAATTAAGATGCCAAAGTGCGTGGATATATTAATTTTTGCAGTTGTTGGTAAGTTTTAACTCTTATATTTAGCATCTGTAGTATTCATATTATAATTTTATAATTTAACTGTCGAGTTGTAATAGAAAGTAGCTGTCAAGCTTGAATAACAAATTTTGAATACTGAATATCAATTCATTGTAATTAATTTATACTTATGAAAGAAATGAAATATGATTTATTTCTTCAATAATGAAATATTTATTTCGTCTACCGTTCAAAGATTGTAGGTCAAACTCAAAAGACGGTTGACCTAAACAAACAGACATTATAATTTAGTACCCGTATAACAGTTAATTATATATGGTCATATGTATACTAATAAATCCATCGTGTCCCAGAATGAATGTATTTCTTAAATAGGGCTCATGTCTCAACAAACCTTACGAGCATATCAGACCCTTGACCTAGTTTTATACACGGCAGTTTAAAGGCCTTTGTGGCTAACATTTTGGACCGTATTCGGAATGAAACAATTGTCTATAAGGCTAATAGTTTTGCACAAAGAGCAGATAATACTTAAAGCCTAAAATAAGAATGATCTGATTTACATTGTTGCCATACACACATTAAAAGGGAAATGAAAATAAATAAATGTTTAATTAGAAACTAAAAGTTGACATCTGATATATCACTGTGTTCTTTACTTCATTTTTCAAGAAACCTTATATACTTACTGAAACATAAAGTTGAGAACACGTGCAAATATATTTAGTACAAACAATTTAGTGATATTGTTTTTGTTTAATTATGAAGATAACGTGATATAAATGGTTTGGTCAAGTGACAGACAGAAATCTGAGTTTGATCAGCAACAATATCATGAAAGCATGCATACAACAGAACAAACATATATAGTGATGCAATTTTGTTGTTGTTATTATTATTTTATATTCCTCAAAGTAACAAGGTTGCAGATTCAAAAATGGTTATGACCACTGCATAAAAACGTGTTGGTTAGGTAGCTTAATGAATGCTGGAAATAACGACATCAATTAATTAAGATATGTTTTTATAATACTAATATTATATTAGAGAATATTATATGACATAACATATCCTTGTTAAATGTTGTTTTATTAAGAAGCATTTTTTACATTTTGTACAAGTATTATAATATTTAACTTCGTTTCAAATTGATGTCGTGATATACATGTATATGATATTGAAAATCTGTATATTTATCAATTTATTGTATATCATAAACAGTTTATAGATTAGCACAATGACTCGTTATCAACACAGTTGATACTCGCATTTCACTTTAAACTTTGTTTTACCCTCAGCAATTTTATAAGGAAATTCTAACAAGGTTAAAAAACTATACCAACTTACAGAAGAGATCGTAACAGAGTAAGTATGAGTATGAAATGAAAAATGAATTATCATAATTCATGAAACAAAAATTTAACTTAGAATAGAATTAAAGAATATATATGCTGCATAACAACATCATGAACTGTACAATTTACAATTCACGATCATTGGTTGATATATTCATATTCACGTGCACATTTGGGGTATAAATCAATTATTTATGCATTTTTCATTTTAAACAAATTTCAAAAGTACGCACCGAAACGTTTAAAAGAAGGCATCAAATTTTCCATATACCAATTCAAAAACCCCAAAAATTTACATGACAATCTTATATTTCGCAAAATACTCTATTATACGAATGTAACATCTATTTGAATCTAGAAAAATATATATTCTAGTAAAAATTCAAATTAATTTACTGAATTAAACTGTATGCAAATTATTTCTTTTTTTAAGTTTTATCGTACAAACACGAGTTTTGCATAAATTCGGCGAAGTATTGAATGTTTTTAGAAAATACAACATTCTGTCGTTTTTCCTTGTTTGTTTTTTTTTGTATGTCTATTAAATGTAATCTTGATGGACATAGTTTCTATAGGCGCGTAAAGTATTTTTGATGCATGCAAGATATTTCTTTTCTTCATGTAAAAACAGCGAAATTTTTATTTGAAATTTGAGAAAGTTTTAAAAAATCATACCCAGCTTAAATATAACGTTGTATTTACTATTATATTTAAATTTGCATGTTTAACTACGTGTGAAATTTTAAAGTAGCATACTTTAACTTATATAACATAAGATACTTTAATCATCATATTTTTATGTCATCATTTTATCTTAAAAGGAATGTCCCTTGCTATAAGATCTATGCGGTTTACCACAGATTTGTTACTTACCATCGTTCAGTCAAGTGATTTGTACCGCAAGATGGATTACTTCAACAAAATGTGCTTGTTTTACTGTTATTCCGTCTTTTCTGTTACACTCCTTCGTGGTTGAAACATAAAGTTAACGTGTGAGTTGACTGGTGTGTATTTTGCTATACAAGTACCACGATCTCACGAAGCGTGGAATCGTAAGTTATCAAATATCCGAAATATTCAATTGTAAGGTCAGCAACGTAATTTCAAATTGTACCGGGTTTGCATTTGATTCCAATTGAAAACATAATTAGATTCAATCTCGTTTCTACTGCCACACTCCAAAATATCTGGTAACCCATATAGCCTCGTTTCTATTTACACTATCAAATGCATATCGTACTCCATCAAGTCCCGTTTTCATTTTCAGTGTTTAAAAACTTTTGGTAACAAGATTCTGTAAAAATATAAAACAATGGTGGTATTATATAAAGAGGCCAGTCACAATACTGATACTATTTGACTTGTAGCTGCAAAACCTAAATCAGACTCGGCTAACACCTCGTCCAATAGAGGTTTTTCATCTGTGAACACGTCCAATAGGAGTCCGTATTGTACTCAACAATGTATAATTACCTCATATTATATACATGTATATCATACATTGTCTTATAATTTAGTCTGCCATGGAACTATTTTATGTATTTCAGTGTCTGCGGCGAACGCGATGACCACACTTTATGCCGTGTACAATATGGGCGGGGTTACAGGGAAGGTAACGTTTAACCAGTCCGCACCCGGTCAGAGTGTTACCATTTACCTCGATCTGTCCGGGCTCTCGTCTAATAACTACGATCTGGAACTGCACGAATATCGTGTGAACTTTGATACGAAGGATGTATGCAGTGAAGAGAACATAGGAGCTGTGTAAGTTATCACTGTTACTATATTGAATAGAAAAATGTCTGAAAGTCTTCAATATCTAACATACGTTTACATTATCAGTTATAACTATATTGACAGGTAATATATAGCCATTATAACGCAACTTTTTATTTAGGGAAAAACAACAATTTCTTCATAAATATATAATCATGATCGAAGTTATAAACATGCATTACAAAGTAAACATTACCGTTGTTGTAGGGTATGATACGAACTTTACATCTGCGGATGTTTCTTAGTTCAAATTTTCATCATTTTTCATGTTTTAAATGTTGAATTCTGCTTAAGCCGGTGCTAGGGGGCGTAGACGATAATGCACTTTCCAGTACCGTCTATATGAACAGGCTTTATCAAACCAAGCCTGGAACATTTTCAATGTTGTCGTTTCGGGAGCTCTTAGGGGATTCCGTTTTCTCTATTATAGCATTCAACACACAAGATTTTCGCCAAGTATATAAAACTTATAACGAATCGTTCAGTATTATACAACATGCTGCTGGTTTGTTACATATAATCTTTAAATTGGCCCGCGATCATGTGACCCAAAATATTGGATCAGCTGATCTGAGCTTGGTCCTTATCCTTAAATCTTAGTGAACACGGAGCCAGTGGTTGTATGATTGCTTTCATACAACATATCATTTTATTTCATTTTTTTTATTTCATGATTTTAATCTTCTCATAGTTTGTGTTATTTTCAGATTTATTATAAAGATATATGATACTATCATTCTGTAGCTTTAATGGAAAATATATAATTTTTTTGCACATCAATTTTACATTTTCATTTAAAATGATTTCATGAATAAATTTTGCTTGCTGTGTTAAAATCAGTTGTGAATTACTTAAATTTCATAGATTTCAAAATGATTAATTAATGCATTAAGCGTATCATAGCAAACTCTCATTATAATTTAAAATAAACGTATGGGTTAAATATGGATACGGTATTACAACAACACCCACGTCATGGCACGGCATGTTCATCGTCGGATACCCACGGTCGAACCATTAACATTATTACATGCTATGTTTCATTTTGATCAACTGTGGGTATCCGGCGATGAGCTTTCACATTATTAATCATTCACCAATAAAGCGTTTTATTTTTATTGTTAATAGCATTATTATTTTGTACATTTAGAACTTTCAATTCAAACGATTTGTTCGATAAATTATTTACAAATATTTTAAAATTTTAAAAGCAACATCTGTACACATTCGCCAACATTACAGCTCTAACTGAATCAGTTATGCAAGTACTGATAGAAGGAATGCGATTTTCGAATTTCGAAATCTTTTATAGTTTCATCGGAAGAACTATTTCATAAAGGGAGAGGATAAGTTTGAGTCATCAAAAAAACGCTTATTTCTATTCTTACCATGTTCCTCATAGTAACTAAGTCACTCTAAGCTATAGTACTTAAATCTACTTATATTATTAGTTATTAAGATTTTGGCAGGGTATATGGCTCTATATACACGATTGTTTGTATATATAACCATAGCATGTGGGCGAAGGTTATATTGCAAATAGCCATTTATCTACGGCCATATAACCTATCTGAAATCTAAATAACGAATTTATAATACAGCAAACTTCCTTCTTTTTTTTGAGAAAAGATTTTTTCGTAAATTGACAGGAGCCGTGTATATCATAAGTTATAAATATTTTGACAGGTTTTATGGCCCTATATAAACGGCTATTTGGAAATATAACCCGAGCCGCTAGGCGAGAGTAATATTGCAAACAACTGTTTATCTTATAACCTGTCAGGAATATTTATAACGAGTTTATGATACAGCAAACTTCCTTTTTTTGAGAAAAATGGGAGATTTCGTAGAAACTTGACAGCAGTCGTGTATTTAAAACTTTATAATACTGCACGTTTGTAACAGGATAATCGTGACGTTTATATTATTAGTTATAAAGATTGCTGACAGGTTATATGACCGTATATAAACGGCTATTTGTAAATATAACCCGAGCCGTCAGGCGAGGGTTATATTGCAAACAGCCGTTTATATACGGCCATATAACCTGTCAACAATCTTTATAACGAATTATAATACAGCAAGCATCATTTTTTTTTAGAGAAAAAAGTATGATTTCTTCATGAATCGACAACAGCCGTGTATATAAAACTATATAAACGTCACAATTATCCAATGAAAAGCGACGTTACAAACGTGCAGTATTATAAAGTTTTATATATACGGCTGCTGTCGATTTATAAAGAAATCTCGCTTTATTTCTCTAAAAATGATGTTTGCTGTAGCGGCTCGGGTTATATTTACAAACAACCGTTTATATAGGGCCATATAACCTGTCAAAAATCATTATAAGTAATAATATATACGTCACGATTATCCAATGAAAAGTGACGTTACCAACGTGCAGTATTGAAAAAACTATATTAACGTCACGATTATCAAATGAAAAGCGAGGTTACAAACATGCAGTATAATATACTTATATATTCAGACAAGACAAAGGCTTTTTATGCGTTTGAAACATTTTTATTGAATATGTAGTGTCTTTTATTGAAACGCACACAAATTGTGATTACTTTGTACTTATTTTAAAAGTATTTTGTTTGTTTTGTTTTATACCTAAATGACATCTAAATGACATCGAACTAAATTGATACATTACATTTCTTGGGTATTTGCCAGGAACGACAAGTGAGAAAGTGGTTTATCCCCTTCCTCTGCATTTAGAAACAAAGACATTAGTAAACAATACCAAATTAATTGCAAAATCTCAACAATGCAATTCTTATAAAGAAATTTTGAAACAAGCTTTGCACTCCAAATGGAAGCTCGCTACGTACTACGTTGTGCCATAAGTCGCGGTGTCATTGCGTGAGGGCCGACCTCTGTTTGTGTAGGTTTTAAAATATAAGGGTAAATCTAATAAAATAAAAAAATGGATAAAACAAAATTGATGTAGGCAGTAGTGAACATTTAAAAAACCGAGCGTGTTATCACTTTTTCTGATAAATCTCCATTTCTTTTTAGTCGAAGATCCAGATATATTTTTATTTTAATAAAACTTTTCAGATATAAAGATAAACGTCTTGGGAAACTTTTAAAACTGATAAAAAATGTTTGCCTTTAATTAAACAACCGATCCCGTGATAAGTAATACTTTTAAAAATGTGCACTAACGTCGCCAGTTTGTCATGTACTTCAATGAGACGGATTTTTTCCACATTTTTTTCATCTGTATATCCGGGTTGTCAAAGTCTAGGTAAATATCCGGTTCTGATAATTTTATGCGACACATGCCACATTAATATAGATTTTGAGTCGTTGGTTAAGAGTGTTTCTCCGAAAATAGATATGGTATAATAGTAGACAAACTGATTTTAGATTAATCATTTCACGTGCTAAGCATGCTATAACATTTATCCTTTTTGTTTCATATTTTGTCTAGTTTAATCATCAAGACTGGGATATATTCAGAAAAAAACTACTGACGTCATATTAAATCAACAAATATTTTCATATCTTAAAATAACTATATTTGGAGGTTTTACTCAATTAAGCAATTTAAATTTAAATTTTATTGTAATTTAAAACGATGAAATGTAGAATAATTATTTATTCGAGTCTTAGATGTAATGTTAAAGCTGGACCAACTTTCGTTGATGAATACAAACAAGATATGAATAGTCTCATTACAAAATAAAAGAATTAAATATCAGTAAAGCATAATTAAGACCAATTAGCAACATGCACACAACGTTAGAATATTGGTCACAACGTTAGAATATCGGTCACAACGTTAGAATATCGGTCACAACGTTAGAATATCGGTCACAACGTTAGAATATTTGTCATAATGTTAGAATATTGATGACTACGTTAGAATATTTGTCATAATGTTAGAATATTGGTCACGGCGTTGGAAAATTGGACACAACATTTGAATATTGGTAATAATGTTACAATATTGATCATAATGTTACAATAATGGTCACAATTCTAATTCAAAATATTGGTCATTATGTTAGTTAGATTATCTGTCATTATGTTAGAATATTGATTGCAACGTGATAATATTGGGCACGATGTTAAAATATGAACCCCAACGTTCGAAAATTGGTCACAACGTAAAAATATACGTGGGTGTATTATGAATACGGTGACACGTTATATCTAATTAATCAAAAACGAAAAAAATGTAACTTGCATGCGTGAAATATGCATATTTTTGTCACATTATTTTGCTCGTTAAATAGAATGGAATTCAGTGTCGTTAACACCATTGAAACTAAAATGTTGTTTTTTTGTGGCATTTATTCATTTTATACATAAACAAACCGTGCAATCGAAATAAAAGCAGACGACAGTTTAATACTTCGACAACAGTGATAACATTTATGCATGTACAATGTAAATGTAATACAGGAGTCGGTGAGGTATATTGTCCGGTCTTTACATGTATCTATAATTTGTTTGGTAAAATAAAGTTCAAAGTCTACATCTTATGCAGGAATTGTAGACCCATGTAAAAGCTTCACTGTATTAGAATTTGGACTAAAAATAACAACAGTTTTCAATGGGTTGAGGCATTTTGAGAAAGATAAATCACAATTTAAACATACGTTTCTGATCTTAGTAAATTGTATTTACTTATTCTCAATTAAATTTATCATTTGTTAGTATACAAAACATTGCTTCCTACATTTTATTGTTGTAGATATATAAGCTATATAAAGTTACCATGTCTATGAAAATTTTAGTAACGATAACAACAGTTCTCTGTTATTATTAATAACGACGACAACATATAGGCGGCAAGAATGGATAACGGTATAAACAGTTAAACAGTTGCAACAATTCGTGTCGATCATCAAGTAAAAGTAAAAGTAAAAACATTTTGAAATATTTCAAATGATCTATAAAATGATGTAGTTAGTCTCATTCTAAGAAATACGACCCCTCGTACCAATCAGATAGCCTCGTGTTTCCATACTATTTCTATTACTTCATTGACCAACAGTTAGTTAATCATATTGTCAACAGTAGAAGTTTAATATTGATTAAATATTTTTCTGTCTGCATCATCTGTCTAAATATGTTTGTTTTCCATTTATAGGGTAAAAAAGTAAGTATTAGTTGCTCACGTGCATTTCACGTGTATTTACTCAACTGTATATAGATTCACGTGCAGTTTCTATAGATGCATCTTTAAAGCTTATGTAATATCATATACAGTCAAACCTCTACCAATATTATGATACCACGTCATCGCGCACCTGCAAAATGCTGCCAATCGCAGTGTTTGTCGACTCGAAGGTAAAATAATTATAATTGTATTCTAAGAAATCGTTAGAATATCAAAAAATAATACAGCACACCAAAGATTGGCCTAAGTACTTGATATAATTTTGAAAAAAGTTTAATTATAATAAAGTTTGACTGTGGTTTAAGTCTGAAAACGGGATAAATTTTGTTTGGGTGTCCAAGCGGAAGCATTTAGTAAAACAAAAATCCCATTTTCAGGACTAAACTAGTCAGTAAAACGTTACATTTTTTTTAATTATATCATTTTGCAGGTATGTGATGACATAATATCCTAACATTGTCTACTTTCAAAATTTTATACCACAGCATGGTGTACTACGACCAAAGATATACAATATATTTTCTTTCAATGACGGTCTTGATCTTTAGGATTGACTGTATAATGCATGTAATAGCAAATATGTGTTGATATATTTAAGTAGATATAAATAGATGTACGTTGTGTTTATTGCTTGTTGTGTTGCTTTAATCCCACGCTTTAATTGATAGTTTGATAGAAAATGGAATGTTTATATTTAATATAAGCCTCACTAATGTAAGAGAAAATGCGCTTTATCGTCTGATATATGAGCCATGCCACGACAAAACCAACATAATGGGTTTGCGACCAGCATAGATCCAGACCAGCCTGCGCTTCCGCGCAGTCTGATCAGGATCAATGTTGTTCGCTATCAGTTTCTCTATACTTGTTATACGGTTTGTCAGCGAACAGCATGGATCCTGATCAGACTGCGCGGATGCGCAGGCTGGTCTGGATCCATGCTGGTCGCAAACCCAATATGTTGGTTTTGTCATGGCATGGCTCATATATCAGGCTAATTTACAGTCGGTCCCATTTTGAGTTTGTGACTAACTAGATATCTGGCATCATTCTTGAAAATCTATTTAAAGATAATATCATATAATGAAAATAAGTCAAAACAGAAAAAAAACAACAACACGAAAACATGTTTCTCTGTACTTATACCATACCTACAGAGTCTTCCAGTATTATCTGCTTAGTTTGACGATCTTACGACACCTTTTTAGGGTACTTTTGTCGACGGAGCTTTGAGTACAAAAAATTTAGAAAAAGTACATGTAATTTTGAAAATTTTGTAGTAATAAATTAAAATGAAGAAAGGAAATATTTTGATTTCCTATTCTGACACATGATTAAATCATACCGGTTTATTATTTGAAAACACTCAGTAAAACAAAACTTCACTTCTTATTTAACAATGCATCCTGATCTTTAAACGTTCAATCTATTTTCATGATTTAGATATTATAATGATTTTGATATTAAGTATTATACAAAACTCACTATCTTTAAATGAAGCTTATAGTTGAAAATCAATTTCATTATCAATAACACTTGTGTATAAGTCATCTTTGCCGTACCTCTGGTGAAGACCCTTCCTTATATTTCAACTTAAAATATCTACTTATACAAGTAAATATAGTGTAGAATACTGACCATGTTATTATTCCAGTATCTGTATAATTATATGCTTTAGTCTGCTTTATTTGTCGTTGTCATTCACATTGTTGTCATTTTTATAAAAAAAAAAAATATATACATGTACAAAGTATATGAAAAAAACAACATTCGGGCATTTCTGCCTTTAAACATTTTCATATCTTTTTTGCTATATTTTTTTAAATATTACCATTTCCTTCTGATTATTATGCATTGCAATCTTCAAAAAAAAAGTTGATTTAATCAGTTAAAGAAAAATGACATATTAAAGTTTTATTTGTGTGTAATACAACTTACATAGACTCTCATGCGTTTGTTATTGTTTTATGTGTTATTATTTAAAATACTTTTATGTGTTTTGTTTTCCAGCATTGGTACAGCTAAAGCTACATCCGGTACGGGTCAGCTTGTCGCCTCTGGGATGGACCTCTCGGGAATAAAGTCAATTGAAGGTACATATCTTAAAGAAAGGACATATATTATTACATAAATGTAATATAAGTATATTACAACAGACCTTTTCACACCAAAAAAACATCAGATTATCGCAGGTCAAAGCCTAAAGATAAACTGTAAGATTTTTTGTGAGAAGATTTGCTGACTAATACAATAATATGTGTCTATTTTTTCCCTTTGAGGTGAAGCTTCTTTAATTACAATTTTACACTTTATGGTGTTAACCGACTTATTTAGTGGGAAACTAGTTATTAATCTGCAAATATTATATTTAATAATATGTCAAAGACAGCACTAAAATCATCGACAGTTTGCACATGGGCAGTATATGGTTGTATAACCTTTGTAAAAAAAAATATTATGTACATATGTAAAGTTGAATATATTAGTAGAAACAAAGCATTATGCGTTTATAAATCTTTAAAATCTGTAACTACACTCTATCATTTCTTTAAAGGTCGATCTTTCGCCATCAAAAGTGACAGTCTATTGACGTGTGCCACCATTGAGGCTGATGCTGACTATATAACAGCGTTTGCTTACTTGCCGGCGGAGATCGGCGGCACTGTTATATTCCGGCAGCAAGATAACTCCGAGTCGGCCGACACATTCATGTATTTGGATTTATATTCTGTCGGCGAGACATTGCCCCAGGATCCCCTTAAATGGCAGATTAATGGTGGTATCGTAAAAATGGACATAGACGCGAGCACTGATATTAACAATAGGTGTGGAAGTACGATAAAAACCCTTTATAACCCTGACGGTGCCGACGGTAGTGGTTGTTCGACAGAGAACCATAGTAACTGTAGAATCGGAGATCTTAGCGCTAAACACGGAGATATAACATTTCAAACATCCGGTAAAACTAAAGCGTTTTTTGGAGATCTAAAACTGCCACTAAGTGGTAAAAATTCTATAATAGGTAAAACTTTAGTCTTCATGAACGGGTCTGAGTATTATGCGTGTGCTAATATTGTGCAATATCCTAGAATGGGGGCCATTTCAAAGTTTAGTAATGATAATGTAACAGGAATGATAACATTCAATCAAAAATCACCTCTTGATCCTGTTACAATAAGTGTTAATTTAGACAATCTTGATATTAGAGCTGGAGGATATCACGTGCATGAATGGCCCGTGCCACAAAAGATCCTTAAAGAGGAAGCCGTGTGTAGCAATGCGCACGTGGGTGGACACTTCAACCCATTTAAAGTTGGAACTGGGGGCGTCTACCCTAGTCCCGCGTTGACAACTCCGGATAAGTACGAAGTCGGTGATATAAGCGGAAAATTCGGTCTTATGACATCTATGAATAGTTATGTAAAGAATATGACTGATCCAAATATGCAGCTGTTCGGAAAAAATACTATAATAGGTCGCAGTGTTGTAATTCATAAATCTTTGGACGGTTCCCGCTGGATATGTGCAAGTATATGGCCGTCAGACGACATCCCCATGACAACGGCCTATGCTAGGTTTACATATCCGGTGATTGGATATATTGTTTTACGACAACCCAAAGATATGTGGTATGCTGAAACACAAATTTACGCAGAACTTGACTATGCAGCCGCATCTACATCACCAACTGTTAATCATAATTGGCACGTGCACGAGACATCGATGGGTGACGATATGTTGTCACAAACTGGACGCTGCCAGTCTGTAGGACCTCATTACAACCCTTATTCAGTTTACCTATCAGGTGATTATACAACCATGTGTAATTCTTATAATCAGTTTCGCTGTGAACTCGGTGACCTATCAGGAAAACACGGTAAATTAAACATTCGTTCAAACCTAGGCGGAAAACTGAGGTATTTCTTCTCTGATATGCAGTTACCTCTATCAGGACCTCAGACAATTGTCGGCAAATCTATCGTGATTCATGATGCGAACGCTGGTGGTGGACGGCTAGCATGTGGAAATGTCATGCTCAAGGTCAGACGTGAGGTCGCAGTGACCAAGTGGTCGTCTGCTGAAGGTCAAAGTAGCCCGACAGGATCAATTTCATTCGCTCAAGAGTGCGTAGATATTTTGTCTGGTGTAACAAAGGTTAGTGTATCGCTGTCGAACCTTAATGATATGGTGGGCGGTTATCATATACACGAGTACCCAACCAGCGTTGATACACCATCATCTGACGTCTGTCAGAGCAGTGACGTAGGCGGTCACATGAACCCGTTCGATAGTCCATATCCAGGGCCTGCTAAAGGTACACAAGATGAGTATGAAATTGGCGACCTAAGCGGGAAGTATGATCCTCTTACCGGTGCTTCATATTCGACAACAGTTCATGATATGACCATTGCTATGGAAGGACCATTAAGTATTGTTGGAAGATCAATTGTTATACATAAGACTGATGCTGGGGCAACACGCTGGGCTTGCGGTACTATCGAAGATACGACTCCCGATACCAAGGTTGTCCGTCATAAGGCAATGTTCGAGGGCGAGATCACGGGTTATATAATGTTGGTAAGTTGTGCTTTACAATTGTTTCTTTAATATATATGGCATCTTTTTTGTATAATTTTATTTTCTCTTGAAGTCTTTAAGGTTTATTCATCATCCGCATCGAAAGCACGACCCATGATTTATTTTCGTGTTTTATTTTTTTAACATTTCGTATGTAGATGAAATTTGCATTAAAAGAGCTATATATGTATCGTCTTTGATAATATCAACAACATGAATGTTCATAAGGGGGTCACATGATTGTATCTTAACTGTGTTGTCAATTATTAAAAAATATGATCGTTTTAATAACCAGGTATAGGTTATCAGCATAATTTTTTATACTAATATCATAGTAAACGGTGCTTGATAGAAATTTTGTCCTTGATTATTAAAGGCACACCACGATATTTATGATAATTACTGACCAGACAAATGAGCCAAAATTCTGTGGCGGGAACTTAAATCTAAGCCTATTTTTATATATCTGCATACATAACATCTATTCATATTCATTAGAGTATAACTAAATGTCATATTTTACACGATTCATTACTTTTCCTTTTTGAATGTAACACTATTTATATGTTATTTTATCATAACTTATAGCATTAAAATCTTATTAAGATTTTTATGTACTATATAATATTTGACACTTTTATAACAAACTGAAAACTGATAACATTGTATGTTGTTTTCCTTTCATTTTCAATACATCTCTATTTCCATGTATATATATGTAAAATATAATAATTTAATATGAACTGTACTTTATATTTTATTTTTATACTAAAATGATTTCTTTTAATTAAATGGCACTTTATATTGCTATGAAATTACATGCCAACTTGTGTAGCTCGAACAGAATAACACGGGATACGTATGAATGAACCAGAAGTTCGTGTAAATCATAATTATGAATTATAACACAAAAGTGTAGATATTTCTAAAATTTAAGAATTGATATATTAGACTTTTGAATCGTACGTGAAATGCATGATGTGTCACACACAGGATCGTGTATATGTCTGATAAATAGAAACCGAATCTACACCTTTTCCCAAAAAGAAAGGTTGTAAATTCCAAATTAAATCTTGAAAAATCCCAATTAAATCTTGAAAAATCCCAATTAAATCTTGAAAGTTCCCAATTAAATCTTGAAAGTTCCCAATTAAATCTCGAAAATTCCCAATTAAATCTTGAAAGTTCCCATTTAAATCTTGAAAATTCCCAATTAAATCTTGAAAGTTCCCAATTAAATCTTGAAAATTCCCAATTAAATCTTGAAAGTTCCCAATTTAATATTGAAATTTCCCATATTTCTCAACCAGATCAACTTTTAAGCAAAATTAAAAAATAACAAAAAAAAACATTATTTACTGTGAGAAATATTAGTTTTGAAAGTTTTGAAACGGACGTTGAACCCGAAACGTATATAAAATAGTAACAAAAATATTGTTAAAGATCTAGCAAAATAAATTAATTTTTATATTTGTGCATTATGGCTAATATTTGACTTTTGAATTATGAACCAGAAGTTTTATTTGAACTTTAGTGAAGAATGGTTATGATAGGTTAAAGGATTGTTAGATAATTGATACACAATCCCTCAGATTTACAAATGTTTGTCTAAGCCTGTTTGTTCGATACATGACAATTTCTTGATCATTGATATACCAGCAGATAGACAAATAAGTTTGTAATTCAGAGTCAAATAAATTGACATATAAAAATAAAAGTAAACATTGTAAGGCTAACAAATATTAAGATTTGTCATTACGCCCCAGAAATGCTTTCATTTTCATTTCTCAAAAGCTTTTTTTTGTGTGTACCTTTGTAGTTTCGAAAATGTTACTATTTGGCCAATTACCTTAACCATCTGTTTATTCTGTTGCTTTTTAGTAGAGTTATAGTGATTAAGTTGTTCGTATGGAAGTCAAAATACTACTACTAAGCTTACATTTTGCTGCCTTTACGACAAGACAAATAAGTTCATATTTATTGTTACTTTCATAGAACATGTTCTAAAATCATTACATGTGTAATTTTAAATAACATCATATAAGCCATGCTTGCAACTTCTAAAGAAAGAAAACTTTATTAATTTCTGACTTATCATATGCTTTTAAGGTTGAACATGACTTTTTATTCATTTAATTGATTTTATTGTTGTTGTTTCTCGTGGGGGCTGAAAAACGCCCATTTGATAAATGAAGGTATAGCCTATTTACACAACGGGAATTTAATGTCTTATTGTCATTCTATGTATCTACTTTTCTCACTTACACTTTTTCAATGTAATTCGTTTCGTCTATAACTTCTATCGTTGTATATTCAACAGACTCAGTATTACTACAAGAACAAAGACACCAGTAATACCCAGATTGTTGTGAATCTACATTACACGAATGACAAGATGAAAATGACGACAGGTCATAACTGGCACGTGCATGAGAACAGGAAGAGCACAGACTGCGCGAGCTGTGGACCTCATTATAACCCATATATGGTTAACATGGTAAGGTATTGAGTCCTTTGAAGAGCGTAAATAAGGGTTATGTTACTGACCCCGATGTCGAAAATCCGAACCCTTTGTGCGGCAAATCCGAATCTTTGGTGCGGGAAATCTTAATCCTGAATGCGGCATATTTGTCAAATCTTGGGTTCGACTTCGTGTGTTTGAGAAACACTGGTTTTGTAACCGTCCGCCGGTATATGATTCAAATAACAATACTGGTAAAAAATAAATACAAATAAATCTTTTCAGAAAAAAAAAATCTTAAAAGTCATAGACTTTCGAATGTTTCTGTAGTGATATCACTGCAACCAATCTAGGAATAAAATAAGAATAATTTTTATATACTTTTGTGTAATAAACAACACTGACCTGTTTAGGAATGTTTACAGTACATTATAATGAGTGGTATAATGTTTGTTTGTTCTCGGTCGGTTTCTTTAACTTTGTTTTGCTTGACAAGTTTTTTTTGTCAAGAATAAAAAACATTTGTTAAATGTTCATTTTTGCGTCTTCTTATTTATGTAAGCAATGGTCCGACACAACGAACCTGACATATCAACTTTCAAAAGAAACATTGTGATGAATGAAAATGATGAATAAAAAAAAACAATAAAATATGTGTAAAGATTTTATCTTGATAAAAGATTGGTCCAAAATGAAACTTAACCGATGTAGTTGGGTTTACGAAAAGTGTACAGATTTACAATAGATGTTATCGTTCTTCAATGTAACAAGCATCTAATTGTCCTAAACAACCAACTAACACCACTGATATAGGTAACCTTATACTATATAATCTAGGGTACGATGTACAAAAGTTATATATACAAAACCGGGTCATGTTAACAATACTGCTTCGCGCTGATATGTATCCAAAATATGAATTTGTGCATGCACGAGTTGCTGCCGTTAACTTTATTTCTATTTCTAAAATGAACCCAAAAAAGAAATAGAGCTGTCATAAAAGTGGAGCTAGATGACTTCCTATCATGCCAGTGTGCAGTGTGGTCTTAGAGCAAGATTCAAACCCAAGACTTTTGAACAGTAATCTGGCGTTACACCCCTACACAGAGTCTTTCAAATATGTGCAGACCTTGCCCTTCGCCACATTTTCTTCATTACTCATATTTTTGGAAGTGACATTCCTATAAACAAATTTCCACAGAAATATATTGAATATAGATGGGCTCGTTGCTTTGGTTTTATTGCTTGTAAACTTAATCGACTTGTTTATGTACATACAGAACAGTGGCTACTCGGAGTGCGGCATGGACAATCCTTTACGTTGTGAAATGGGTGACCAGTCCAGCAAGGTCGGGAAATATGATATTGGTGGCGGTAAACGATTCTATACAGACGTTAATCTCAACATTGAAGGAAAATATTCAGGTATGTTACACTTATAACGAGAGTCATGATAATGACAGACAAATAACAAGCACAGAAGCAGGCAAACCTAAACACTGTCAGAATTCTCAGAATTAATACGGGCACAAGTATAGAAGCGGGCAAGCCGAAACCCCGTCAGGATTCAGAATTCTCGGAATTAAAGGAATAGGAATGGAAAGATTGATGTCTGTGTAATATAAATATTTATCATTTAAAAAGAGGAACCATGACAGTTTTTCTGACTAGCTCGTACATCTACAAAAATACAGATGGTGTTTCCAAATTTAAATTTTCAATGGAATCACTTAAATTACGATGAACACAAGTTAAGTCGGGTTAAGTCTATTGGGGCTATTTTTATCGTAATGGTTTACATATTATAAAACACATTAATTGTAAGCAGACATTTGAATTTAACTGTGATGGTAGACGCTAGGTGGCGTCTTGTTGTTAATGAAGTGAAATATCACAAACGCTATCACCCATGGTCACCTTCCGATTTAATGGATAATTGTCTGATATATTTTGATAATACCCCGTATATTTGTCGGTAGATGTAAGATAAATCACAAAGAAACTTTCTGTTCACATCAAACAATTTCATACTTGAATAACTTGATATATTGATAATTATGAAATATGTATACATTCATTTAATATACAATGTATATTTATATTTGAACTATTACTTTCTTTCGTTAACAAAATATAACTTATTTGAAGAGAGAGACTACTTAAATTTACATGTATCAATCGTTGTAACAGAAGGCCAGTGATATTGTAGCGGTATTTGATTTCACACAAAAAGTACCATAACAGTATCTCAATATTTGCAGATACGATTTACTTTAAGATATCAAATAATTGTATGAAAACAATTTATAATATTCATAATTGACCATTCTTTATATAGATCGTTGAGCTTTGAAAATATTCTGAAAATGTAAATTAAAATATGTGTTTGATGATTTAATGGTGACACTCTTCTGTTCAATACCATCAATAAATGATAAATGGTTTAATTTCACAGCAATTTTTTTTATAATCGTTCAGACAGAAAAAATTAAGTTTGATTTGTGTCATTTTACATTCCTGGTCGATGTCTCTTTTTAGATTAGATTACTAGGTCATCTCAAGACCTCAGTTACGAGTATAATTTGTCCATACCACATCATTTCAATGTATAGAATATTAGGGTTTAGAGCGTTTGATTTATTTAAACAGCCCTTTTAATGTCAGTATATCCGTATATGTATATCGTACATGTATTTTTATTCTACATTATCTGTCATCTCATTATTATAACTTTCCAGCGGCTAAACGATCTATAGTTATTCATGGACCTAACGGAGCAGGCGAGAGGATCGCATGCGCTAATCTAATTCCTTATGGAACTACGGCGGCAAAGGGAGAATTGCAGTTCCCAAAGAAATCGTTTATTGCGTAAGTATAGCAGAAGCCTTAATAACATTGTCTCACTTGTTTGCAACATATTCATACCAGTTAGTTCGAGTTGTGATAAGCTTGAAGTTATACTTGAACCAATCTCGGGCCGGCTTCCAGATACTAGTCAGTAGTTGTGTTATATGAGGGTACATGGTTGATACCCTGCCTAGTAACCCATGGTCCTTGGGCTAATGGGGCATATCTATTAATTGGGCACCTGCCTCCCTTGAATGACCCGACTTTTAAAGTATATAAAGTAGGAGATGCACTGTACTTTTCCGTATTCAAACATAACTCACGTGTAGATTAGGATCGATTGTCTGTCTTATTGTTGTCCGTTTTACAGATAGTATTTCTATATAGCTATTACCATGCGTTCTCGCTGTACGTTGTCGGATACTGGTATATCTTGTCCACTAATATATATTACATACTTGTTATTTACAAACTAAATTAATTCATTATTGAAGAATAAACAACATCTTATTATTTCCTTTATTTTCAGGGGCGACATTGAAGCTAAAGTTGCCATGTTTGTGGGAACATCAGTTGACAATGTCCTCGTTGAGAAACAGTCTGACACTGTTGCTTGTACTAAAGTCAATGTATACTTTTTGGGTGAGTATTTTACAAATTTGTTGATAATGTGCATTATGATAGAATTGTGTTTTCCCGGCACGGCACGTATCAAATACGCGTGAGATAATTCATTTCATGTCACAAAGCGCTTGACCTCCTGTAAGATGACTACCGGGACCGGAAGTACAGTTAGTTTGTACACTGATATTAAAATCCCCTAAACTTAAATGGACTGTTCCAAATTCAAAGATGGGAAAATACTTTACACAGTTTAAAGTTGGGTGACTCCTGACGAGCCAAATAATTTCAAGAAAATCAAACTTGAGAAAATTGTAACAAGCTTTCAAGAAAAGTAAAAAAAAAGGTTCAAGCTAAAACTTTCAATTTTATGTGAGATTAATGACTGATTTTGCGGCATCAATCTCCATATTACTACTGCATGACTAACACAGTTATGGCTTTTTTGTATATTTTGACCTCTTTTTTGGGTAATTAACGTGGATTTTAGTGCCGTTTGCCAATGTGTAAATTACTTTTTTGTTCATTTCACAATATTTTACTTTAACATGCATTTTCAAAATTTACATGATAACACAGATTTTTATTACATAATTATATAAATCTGTGATGAAAATTAGCATTAATCTGGAGGCATGCTGCTTAAGAATTTAAGTAATTGAAGGAAGTCTCAAAGGATGGAATGGCTTATGTTTGCTAAGCGCCTTAATTATTCTAACTGAATGTTGGGGGTCATACAATAATTCAATATATAAAGATTTGCATATTTTTTTCAGGTGAAAATAAAGATACATTAAAGAATCAATATGAGGATAATTTGAGAAGCACAAACTACAATAATCTCGGGGATTACGCCCCAGAAGATCCTTGCGCGATAGTTTCATCGTCAGGTAAGCGCAACAATGTTACACAACTGTGGCTGTAATTGTATCATTATATAACTCTAGTTACCTCCCTTTATATTCCGTTTATATACTGAACTATTTTATCTGGTGATCATAATGATAACTACCAACATTGTCACAAAGTAATTTCCTCATAATATATTTCTCTAATACAATATATGCTAAATCTGAAATATCAATGTAAATGATATGTAAATGATATACACGTTTTCTTTCAAGATTTACCTTCTACAGAGAAAGCCTCCTCCGCCTCATCACTAGGTAGACCCAGACCTGATCTGGATAACATTTTAACATTTTGTTACTGTTATTGTTTATAAAATCACCGTTTATTTTATATAAATTATTATAATATTTTGTTTCATTCCGCTTGTTGATGTTGTTGACTAATTACAATATTCGCCATTTGATTTATGCTATTGCATTGTTGTTGATTAATTGTATTCAGATAAAGTCAAATTATACCTTTTATGTTTTCGTATCTTGTTCCTATTTTACATAATTTTTTTCCATTTTTATGTAAGTATACATTTAAAAAATCAAGAATAATACAATTAAAAATAAATGCATTTGGTGCTTTCCATGGCCATTTATTGGAAGTAAAATATTTCCTTTTTTGTTTTAGATAAATGTAGGAAGATTTAACATACTGTAACTGAAAGCAACTGTTTTGGTTATTGCAATTACACAAAGATAATACCAAACAAAATTACAATGCTTCACATGCTGTAGCAGAAAAATAATTGTTGTCATCCAGGTGTCATTTTCAAACATTCCAATTTAATAGCTTTGCACTATTTCAAAAACATTGAACATTTCATTATGATATAATACATGCAACAAGGGTAGATAAAGCAAGGTAATGGTTTGAAGAATTTGAAACATTTTACAATAACCTATCATTGTTGTTTTGTTTATTTCAGACGTCATCAGCATGTCGATTATATCAATGGTCATCTGCCTTCTCTTGTCAAAACTTCGCATCTGGAGTTAGTTTACAGACAAAGTTATCCACATATATACAAATAATGGAGTCAACGATGGCGTTTTGACGGAACCGTAGCAGACGACAATTAGAAACATTTCCAAATAACAGTTGCTGCCCTTAGTCATCATCCAGAAAAACCGCCGTTATCCATTAAAAAATTCTTGCCATATTTAATATATTCCCAGATAAAACTCTTACACTACTATAATTTATATTTATATTCAAAACAACATCCAATTTTAACAGATACTGTATATCTATTTATCCAAAATGAATCACTGCTAATATCCAATGCAAACATTTATCTGGAATTAAATGTATAGTTGTATGATTATCTTAACGTATAATGTGCTACAGCCTACAGTGAGTTAAAGCAATTAGAATATCTGCTTTTTTTCTCTCAAAAATTACATTGACTGAAGACATTTTGTTTCAAGTTAATACGTTTATATCCCATCTTTTATTCGCTAAAAAATGTTATGCTTTGAAAATGTGTGAATTTGTTTAAAAGATGCTAGAATTATATATAAGTGTAATATGTGTACTCTTTTTTACATTTCCGGCTTTTAGAATATCTGTATTTTCTAAATGATAACAATCACCACACGATGATAATAGCAATACACTGCTATTATTTATATTAGTTGTAAAACTTCTAATCGCTACAATGCAGTGCATATTATATCTACATGATTAATTACCTTATTTAAGGTTTTTATTTGTTTGGGTCGTCAGACCAAACAAATAATGGTAGCGAAATTTCAGAGTCTAATGTTGTTAATTGCAAACGCCGAAAGTAGTCCACTTTTTTGAAGCGGTTACTTCCCTTTATATGTACACTAACGCCGAAAAATTCAGGGGAGATCACTGCGTAAAGATGGTCAAAGACAGGTGAATTAATGTTCAAGCAAAATAATTCCCGAATGGTCGAAGATTTCTAATATTGTTTTATTGTATTTTCTGATCGAAATTAAGTAAATACAAAGCGGACATTCAATCTCTGACACAGAAGTTCACAACAAACCTAACAACAAGTAGTTCTCAAAACAGCTTAAAACTAGCGATTTAAAAGAAAGAAATATTTTTATTTTGTTACAAGTATCCAACAAATAACAACGCATTCAAAGTTTAAAAATAGCGTTGGCTAATAGAATTGTCAATAAATGCACAATCACAAATTACGCGGATGAATATGATTTTATCAATGAAAATACTATTTTTAGCGATGTCTATTACCGAATACTACACAAACCGAGTAGTGGAATACATGTATATAGATTCTACATGTCGGACTGTTTGGGCGAGAAGATTTTCGCTAAATTATTTACTTCAATTTCAAACAACAGGTTTATCCTGAACAAAATACCTCGAAATTAATAAGGATAACAAACCCGAAATGCAATGGAAGTTCTAAATCTAGAATGACTTGATGTTATTCAAATGTTATTTGTATAACTCCTCCGTGGTGCAGGGGTAACGCGCTCGCTTCAGGAGTGAGAGGTCTGGAGTTCAAATCCAAGTCGAGGAAACTTTTTTTTAAAATTCTTTTTTAAGTGTCTTTGTTAAGGAAGTAGCCATGATATGCAAGGATAAAGTGTGACTGTCGTAAAAAAATGAACATAAATGATTTTTTGATGCATCTCTAGTTATGCAGAATTCCGTATGTATCAAACTCTGGTGCCTTGCAAAATGAATTATAATACATAAAAATAAACTTATACAGGAAAATGCATACATATATACAGTACGATTAAGATTGCAAAGATCAGAAAATACCACAGAACTTGCATCCCTTTGATTCTTTATAAATATACATGCTTATAGTAAGCTCCAGGATTATTTACATCTGTGTTAAACAACAGTTAAAGTCGTTACAAGCCCTAATTTAGAATAATAAGGTTTTCTTCAGGCCGTCCACATATATTCACCGTGGCTGAAGGGTTTTTGCGCTCGCCTATAAAGCGAGAGGTCTGGAGTTCAAATCCCAGTAAAGGCAACTCATTTTTTTTTCAAATTGTTTAAGTCAAATAAACATTGGATTGCATATCAGTGTTGCAATAAGTCTTATAGCCAATTTACTACAATTAAAACGCTGGAAAGCATTGGTGGCACTATACATATAATCTCACAACCTGCACCTTTCTTACATTCTGAGACCCAAACAAATTCAGCGCCTTCTGTGCTTTGATTACTTAGTGCAAAGGGTGTTGCTTTATTCACATCCAATTGGCGTCTTAATTTACTAGTTATGCATCAAAATGGCATCTTAGTTTACTTTAGTAATTCACCCAACTGGCTAAGTACTTTTGGCGTTGCTTGACGTATTACAATTATAATATTTTTATATAACCAGATCTTGTTTTTATGACATCGTAATTTTATATAACATCGCTGATCATTTAAAATGTTCATTTGTAAATATTGTCGCGTGTCATTTTATTTCTTTTTTTTATCTTAAAACGTATTGCTAATGCTGTTTCTGTTTTTACTATGCAGTTATTTTTACTTTCTGTATTTCTCTGTGTTACATGTTCTATATTTCTCTAGTTTCATCATCATCATCAATGTCATCATAATCATCATGATCATGCCTCTAAGCTATTTATTCTCGTGCCTGTTTATACAATGTTTGACAAAACGTTATTTTAATAAACAAAGAATGAAATTCTCTTACATTTCTTTTTTTTTCATTTACCAATCTAGTTACATAATTATGTCTGTTGTGTCAGGGTTTTCATATTAACCCTTGAAATAACGCAGGGATTTGTATGGAACGCCATAGCTGCCTTATGTTGTTACATTTCTTTTTATCTTGCCTAGAAAGCGTCTTTTTATGTTAGATATTAGTGTTGTGTTGCCATAGTATTTTGTCAAATTGTCTAAACATTGCCTTATTATGCGAAGCAGTAGTCTTATCTCTTCAACATGTGATGTTGACTTGTCTTAACATTGTTAACTTATTTCCAACAGTAGTGTTATCATGTCAAAATGACGTTTTGGCTTGTCTGAAATGCGTCATATTATGTCAACCCGTTGCGCTATTAGGTCAAATTGTGGAGCTGTTTTGTCAAAAGACTGTCTGATCATTTGAAACAGTAGTGTTCTCTTGTCGAAATTTGGTGCTGACTTGTCAAAGCACAGCTTTATTTCATCAAACTGCCATGTTATTTTGTCAAAATACGGTGTTTAAATGCCTTAACATTGTCTTATTGTGTCAAACAGAAGTGTTAATTAGCCAACGTTCACTACTGAATTGTCTTATTATATCAAATATTCGCATTACCTTGCCGAAATGGGGTGTTGACTGAACTAAATCATGCCTTATTATGATAAACTGTATGCTATTTTGTTAAAAAGCAGTCTTAATATGTCAAAAATTGCGGTATCTTGTCGAAATGTGGTAATGACTTGTCATAACTCTTTCTTATAATGTAAAACAGAAGTGCTATATTGTCAAAATTTGATGTTTTCTTGTAAAAAACAAAAACAGTCTTATTATGTCTAATAATTGTGTTATTTTGTTCAAATTTAGTTCTGTCTTGAGAACGCGCTGTCTGATTTTGTTAAACCGCCCGTTATCTTTTGTGCTTTATCTTTTCACGCTCCGCGCGGGCTCTGGTCACGTGATACTAAATTTGGACAACATCGCATCTGGACAGGATAACACGATTATCTGACATAATAAGACGGGAGTTAGACAATGTAACGTAATAAATTGGCAAGTCAACGCCACTGTTTTACATAATAATACTGTGTTTTAACAAGTAAACACCACATTTGAAAAGGAAAAAAAGATACTTCGCCATAAAAGGACGATGTTTAGTCTAATTAACACTGAAACTTGACAAAATAAAATGACACTTTGACAAAAAGATAGTAATTTTAGACAAGTCATCACCACGTTTCGACAAGATAATATTACTATTTGACATAATAAGACGAATCTAGACAAGTTAAATCTGTATTTGGACATAATAGCGTGACAGTTTGACATACTAAAATAGCGTTTTAACAGTTAATAACCATAATTTGTAAAGATACCACCATTATTTCACATAATAAGACGGTGTGTAGGCAGGTTAACATAAAGTTTGGATAAAACAGCATGGCAATATGAGAAAATAAGGCCGTGTTTAGACATGTCAATACCATCTTTCGACAAGTCAACAATACTGTTTGACATAATAAAATAACGTTTACACAAACAAACATAATGTATTGGCATGTCAACACTAGTATTTCACATAATAAGTGTATTTTTAGACAGGATAACAACAGTTTTAGACAAGACAGCATGAATTTTTGGCACAATAAGACAGAATAACACCAACTCATACAAAGCAACATAACAGTTTGACAAAACAGGACAATACTCAGACAAGTCAATATAAAGGTTGAACAAGATATCACTGCTAGCTGACATGATAAGACATGAGTTTGACAAGTTGGCACCAAGTTCCGACAAGATAACACAACTGTTTCACATAATAAGACAATTTCTAGACAATTTACCACCACAGTTGGACAAGACAGCATTCTATTTTGACATAAAAGACATTCTTTAGGCAAGATAACGCCGAATTTGAACACAATGTCATGGCAGTCTGACAAAATGTGACGGTTTTTAGACAAGTCAATACCACATTTGGACAAGACAAAACGACGGTATAACATAACACATGAGTGTCATAACAAACCAGGATCATTATTTGGACAAGATGACACCAGGTTCCGACAAGATTACACTTCTGTTTCACATAATAAGACAATTTCAAGACATTTCAACACCACATTTAGCAAGGCCGTGTTTACACAGTAATGTTGAAATCTTAATTCGAAAAGATGGCGTGCATGTTAGACATATTAAGACTTCCATTGGGCATGTTAACACCTGATTTGGACATGATAACATGACGTTTTAAAATAACAAGACTGTGTTTAGACAAGTCAGCACTACGTTTTGACAAGATAACACGAATATTTGACCTAATAAGACTTCGTTAAGACAGGTTCTCATAAAACGATGGCACGCCAACACCACTATTATACATAATAAGACGTTTTTCGGGGAAAATAAAGCGAAATGTAACAACATGAGGCAGCTATGGCGTTCCATAGATTTGCCTTTGACAACAGGGTATAGCCTGGCAGATCTGCACAGCCATGTTGTCTAGCCAGGCACTGAACTGTTGGTTGGCAAAGTTTTCATCTTAATATCCCTAAAATTATAATGAACAATTCCCCAAAGAAATGGAAGCTGGGCGAGTCGATTTTAGAAATTCGGAGAGAAAAAGGGGTTTAGAAAGCAAAACTAATGAGTGCAGGCATTTGCGTTTACTGCACTTCAGTCCCTTCATGACGAAGTAACACTTCATCAAGATAAAAGCACTGAAGTTATAAAATAGTTATTACTTAATGCCTTTATCTGCTTTTCTTAACTTAAGTTGGCAAGGAATATTAAAATTGTGATGACAGAGTTGTGGACCTTAATATAGAAATAATAATCAACGATAAACTGATTTTCAACTGAAAATATATTCTTTGAATATTTATACCGGAAACTGACCAAGGAATGACTAACGAGGTTATTATGCGAATTCAATATTACATGCAATATATTTTGATAATTTCCTAATGAGAAGAAAATACAGACTGAAGTTCATATAAAAATGTATGTATAGCTTTAAAGAAGTTTCAATGTCATTCAGATTTTGCAATATAAACAGTTTTGTTTAGAAAAAAAGCATTTTATAAATAATAAATAATAATATTCATGATAACATAATATGGTATTAATATTTTACTATTTCAAACACAAAGCGTGCATTAAGAAGTTTCATTTTTATTCAGAGTTTGCTTATCAACAGTTTTGTTTAGAAACCAAACATTTATATATAACAAATAATAAGCATGTATATATGATAACTTGCAGCATTTTCATAAATCATTTTTTTTTATTTCCAGTTGGAAACATGATGACGAATCACACAATGTATAGTTGTTAATGTACAGAAACAAAATCTGTCATATTTCTGAATAGTTTCTACTTTTATCGTATTCACCAGCTGTCATTCTAGGAGTTTTTGATGAAATCTTGGGTGAATCATTTTTGACTTTGTCAAGATTTTGCAGTTTCCTCTCGTGGAAAATATTGGGCAATGCGTTGTCCTTTTTCAGCGACGTGTCATTTTCTAGAACATTAATGTTAGATTTCTGACCGGTCTTCTTTGTGACACTTGTCAGCCGCAAACTTCTTTTTAATGAAGACCATTTCTTTGCCTCAAATTCTTTACGACCTTAAAAGTAAATACACTGTTAAGTTTATATAATCAGGCCGGTACTGTCTAAATGATAACTTTCATAACAAAATTACAGACATCTTTACATATTTGCATAGATAAGTTAAATGTTAAAAAGTATTTGATAGAAGTCAATTATTCTGTAGTTCAGAGCCTTTTATAGCTTATTTTCAAATATTTTACTATTATCTTTGAACCTACTGGGTTTTAATCATTTTTCTAGAGAAAAAAACTTACCCTTTTTAGTTCCAATCGGTGTTTCAGCTTCCGGTGCGTCTTCAATCACTTCCGGTGGTTGTTCCACCTTTACAACTGTCTGTCTGTAAGATGGCGTCATTTGTTCTTCCTTCATACCATACATAGAGTTTAGGTCGGCAGGAGGGCGGACATGTTTTCGGAGAGATTTACCATCAATTACTGTACTAGCAACAGAATCCACCTCAGACTCGTCTCCACTTGACATATTACCGACAGAGCTTACTGTCGGAGAGGCAAGAATTGACGGTGGTATTTTACATGGAGGAAAATTCTGAAGACAATTTAACATTGGAGTATTGCTATTGTTTGTTTCAATTTGAGCGTGCCCTTTCCTACTCCTTCGATATGAGAATCCTGTCAGAGGATCAAAGTCATCTTCATCAGACGATAAAGCACTTTCATCAGTGTCAGAATTTTTCAAGTGCAGTCTATCAATACGTCTGTTGGTATTACTAGGAGAATCTGTGACAGACGTCTTAAATTTCTCAATAGGCGGGAACTGCGATTTCTTTGTGCTATTAAGTTTAACCTTTGATCTATCTCTTAGACTAATCACTGCCCATTTTTCACGTCTATTAAACTTTTCAAATTCAGAATTCCCACTTAAACCTACTTTAGCGTTGCCTTCAAATATAAGGATGCTTTCACACACGTCATGTCCAAGACGCATTGCCTGCATTAATGGTGTTGATCCGCGACTGTCGGGTGTGTCTGCGGAGAGTCCATATTTCATCAACACTGATACTATTAGTTTAACAGTTGCTGCATTACCAGACGACACGGCGTGGAACAGCGCAGTCTGTCCGTTGATATCACATTTATTATAATCTATATCTACATCAGCATATTCGATCATGAGCGCTACATCGTTGTCTCGGCCGTACAAACAAGCCCACATCAAAGCGTTCCTACCAACAACGTCTGCTCGGCTAACCTGTGCACCTTTTTTTAACAACGTTCTCAGAATTTTATCCCTGAAATAATCACATTTACAAGGAATGAACTTTGATGATTAAGAAAAAATCTCGTGCATGTAGCTACTCGTAAGAATGTAACAACCTTTTCTTCGATTGTTGTAGAAACCATATCGAGGTTGTGTAAAATTATAATTAATTACTCAGTCGCGTATATTTTTCAAAACGACTAATACAGATTTTGATCAAAGTTTTTGTTATACTATTTTAAACGCCTGAAAGGTAAAACTTGAAAATATTAATTCGTGAAAAATATATATCAGTCAACAATAGAATTATTATGTAAATTTTATCATAACATTTCATGCATAAGTTGCACACACAGTTTCTTTTTCTGCTTTTTTTACCAGGTTTACGTATCATGGGTTCGTTTTGTGTTAGTTAAAACCATGTCGAGGTCGCGTATATTTTCAAAACGACTAATTAATTCAAAACGACGAGATTTATCAAAGTTATTTGATACTATTTTAAACGCCTTAAAGGGAAAACTTGAAGATATCAATTCGTGAAAAATATAGATCTGTTAACAATAGAATTATTACGTAAATTTTATCATAGCATTTCAAACTGAGTTTCTTACAATGTTTTTTTTTTATCTGGTTTACGTATTGTGGGTTCATTTTGTGTTAGAATATGGTTAATTTTTTTTATTTCTTAACATTCCAAAATTTAAGAAGGTTTCAATCGACGAGTAATTTGTGTATAAACACCTGTTGTAATGCAGTGTCTATTCTAGGATTTGAAAAACAGGGGTGATTTTTTATCGAAAAGTGAGAATTTATTACATTTGTTGATCCCCACCCCCCTCCTAGAATAGTCTCTATTCAAATTAAATTATGCAGTGTTACTTTTTATTTTGACGTTAAAGAAAGAAGGAAAATAATTCTTTAAGCCTTGTCTTTTATTCAGATGCTTTCCATTATGTAAAAATATATTTTTAATGAATTCTTGTATGTAAATATATATAGTATGTATACTGGGAATAAATATGTCACATTATGCCTCAGAAACGAATAAACTTTCTTTCTTTAGAAAGGGCAAACATTTAATTTATAACCTCTAAATAATGGTTTTAAAGCATGTAAAATGCTTAAAACATGAAGAAAGTAGCACTGAATGTGATATTATTTGTTATGAAAGTACCAAACATAAACAGTAGTATTTTGACTTCCATACAAGGCAATAAACCACTATGACGATACTAATTGAAGCAAAAGGTGATTCAGGTAATTGACCAATGAGAATTTATTTTGAAGTTATAACATGACACCAAAAATAAAAGGTTTTTAGAAAAATTAAAATAAAAGCATTTCTGAGGCATAATTGGCCTTTAAACTAAGAAAGAAGAAATATATATATATACATGTATATACGCTCCCTCAATTTTATCTTATTCACAACTTGTGTATTTTATTAACAGTTGTACTGGTAGGTGGTCAAACTAATATCACCTAACATTAGTCACATATTAACATGACAATTTTCTATTTTTCAGAATAGAATAGAAAAAAATCATATTGTAGGATTACGTATGGTGTCGTTTATTCGTATAACTATGTTAAAAACCTGAAAGATATACTATGCTCATCCTAAAGTAAAACATTTTAATCACAGAAAAATATTGAACTCTATAAAATTATTACTGAATATGGCTAATTTTAATATAAGAATTTATAAGCTATATATGGGTAGCTGCATCCCAAATCATAACGTCTATTAAAGTTGGTCTTTTTTGAAAATACTGCCATTTTTAACGTGATTAGAATTTTATCAAACATAGCATATCTACGTTGTGTGAGGTCAAAACATGCATGTTCATTTTATATTAACAAAGAGACTGTGTAGCAAATATCAATATTTTCTAATATTAAATTTGAGCAAAGTATATCTTACAAAAAAGAAGTAAGGAAATATAAAACTGTAGTTTGTATATCAAATTTACCTATTTCTATCATGTTCTAGAAGAGCTGCACGTATTAACGGCGTCTGTCCGCAGTCATCTTGCTCTTCCGTCGATGCCCCCAGCTCTAGTAGCAGACGAACTTGTCGCGTGCGCCCTGCACTTACCGCCTTCAACAGTGTCTTCGGACATGACATTGTTTTACTAATTTTATTATTTTAAAACAAGCAATATTTCATATATAGTTACGTTATTAATTAAGTCCTTTTCACGTAATGTTGTTTACTTAAATAATTCAAATCCACCTCATTTTATTATCTGTAGAAATAAAAAAAAACTCTTGATCGTTTCTTTAGATAAGGGTGTCATTAGAAATGCCAGTTTTTACCTCGTTCATACTATAATAACCCTCAGTCTGAAGATCTTGTCTACAGTTTATTTAGTACTTACATATATTGAATATTTCAACAACATAAAAAATGACAAACTGTGAAGTATTTGTGATCAACACTCTGACATTTTCAATTAATAAGAAAACACGACTCTCTTCTGTCATTTTATCAAATGGAGTTTACGTTTCAACTTTCACAAGAACGTCAAAACAATGTAAAACTGATATGAAAATCCATGTAAAATAAACATCGTAACTGAAGATATACACAAAGAAACAGACTACTTAATTACGACGTAGTTGCGCATAAATTAAAAACCTGTAAGACTTGAACAGACAAGAAAATTTAAACTATGTTTCACAATTATCATGATAGTTTTTTCAATTAAACTTCAATTAGAATTCAATTACGTTATCTTAATTGAAAAATGTTTTTTTTTTATCAATCTTATTTTTATTATGTTGTTTTCAGAATAACATTTCACCATTACTTTTCATTAATGTAATTGGCATCAACTTTTTACAGCACTACAATATTAAATATAGGTGAACTAAGTGATTCAGTCCTTTTGCAACTACAGTTATAATATACGAATATTTCTTACTACCTATAATGCATGTGTATACGAGTATGTTAAATTATTTGTAAGTAAAAATTGCATAAATAATTTATTTATTATTTAAAAGGTGTATCTTACAATAACGATATTTTCAAACATGTACATATTACGAAGACAAGCGAAATAACTAATTGTAATTCGACATCAAGGCTACTTATCAGTCAATGCTGCTTTTACGTGTACATTATCATATATCAATGTATAGTCCAGGGGATGTATATCAATGTATAGTTCAGGGGAGACGTATATCAATGTATAGTTCAGTGGACGTGTATCAATGTATAGTTCAGGGGGAAGTATGTCAATGTATAGTTCAGGGGACGTATATCAATGTATAGTTAAGGAGAAGTTTATAAATGTATAGTTCAGGGGTCGTATATCAATGCATAGTTCAGGGGCATGTTATCAATGTATAGTTAAGGAGAAGTATATAAATGTATAGTTCAGGGGCCGTATATCAATGTATAGTTAAAGAGAAGTTTATAAATGTATAGTTCAGGGGACGTATATCAATGTATAGTTCAGAGGACGTATATCAATGTATAGTTAAAGAGAAGTTTATAAATGCATAGTTCAGGGGCATGTTATCAATGTATAGTTAAGGAGAAGTATATAAATGTATAGTTCAGGGGACGTATATCAATGTATAGTTCAGGGGCCATATATCAATGTAAAGTTAAGGAGAAGTATATAAATGTATATAGTTCAGGGGAAGTATGTCAATGTATAGTTCAGGGGACGTATATCAATGTATAGTTAAGGGGAAGTATATCAATGTATAGTTCAGGGGCATATATCAATGTATAGTTCAGGAGACTTATATCAATGTATAGTTAAAGAGAAGTTTATAAATGCATAGTTCAGGTGACGTATATCAATGTATAGTTCAGGGGACGTATACCAATGTATAGTTCAGGGGACGTATATAAATGTACAGTTCAGGGGACGTATATAAATGTATAGTTCAGGGGACGTATATCAATGTATAGTTCAGGGGACGTTCATAAATGTATAGTTCAGGGGACGTATATAAATGTATAGTTCAGGGGACGTATACCAATGTATAATTCAGGGGACGTATTTAAATGTATAGTTCAGCGGACGTATGTCAATGTACAGTTCAGGGAACGTATATCAATGTATAGTTCAGGGGATGTATATAAATGTACAGTTCAGGGGACGTATATAAATGTATAGTTCAGGGGACGTTCATAAATGTATAGTTCAGGGGACTAATATAAATGTATAGTTCAGGGGACGTATATCAATGTATAGTTCAGGGGAACGTATATCAATGTAAAGTTCAGGGGACGTATATCAATGTATAGTTCAGGAGACGTATATCAATGTATAGTTCAGGGGACGTATATCAATGTATAGTTCAGTAATGTAATTTTGCGATTTCTGAACAAATGTTACATTTTTCCTTGATCAGAGGTGCGTGTTTCGATAGCATTACCCGTATGTCCATCGTTTGTCCGAGAATTTCTATAAACATTTCCCCCTGAAATCATACCAGGAACTATCACCTTGAGATCCTTTATAAAGGTTATGTAAGTCATTTGTAGGGTGAAAACTGGCACCATCCTGCATGGCAGTCACTTTCTTTACATAGATTTATACAGGAAATCATATATCAATCATTTTATGTACATGTATTGGCGTGTAACTTCGCCTAGAGGACTTCCATAAAAGGTAGATGGATTATGGCCCTGAGGTCAAATATGGTCCTCCCTTATGCGGAGATTTATTACAATTTCTTGCAATTGAACTCAAGGGAGTGATCTAGGGTAATCATGTTCCTCATTATTAACCATTATTACCAAGTATTTGAACAAAACTCATATAATATTAACGCCCGGAGTGTATCCTTCAATTTCAAATGGACATTATTTTGTTAGATCTATCTATTTTTAAAATAATAATACATGCATAGTGTTGTACATACACTTCACGACTTCAAAATAAATCTCTGTTTGCCACATTCGCAAATATTGTTTCATCTCTGAAAACTTTGTTGTGTGACAAAAACCTTCATTTAAATTGTGATTATTTTTCCAATGCCAATTTTAACTTTACTTTTGACATAAATAATTAGCTGAATAAACAAAAGCTTTACAAATAAAGTCACACCGCAAAATTTATCTTAAGATTTCCATGTTTTTCTTTTCTTTCTTTGGGATGTGGTTTGCATCATCATAGTAGAACATAATAGTAATCATATGACAACGTTTCAAGATTTACTCGTGGAGGAAACAAATTTCTATTCAAATGAGTAATACTATTTTAAGCTCAACAATAAAGGTAGACCATCCCTAATGCATAACCTCTACTTTGAAGAGTATAAAAATAGGTTAGACGCATTGTCAGAGGAGCGTGGGACAACTTTTTCTTTCTTTCTTTTTTTTCTTCTTTTCAATCTATATCACTTTACGTAAAATCTTAGAGTCAACCACATATTTCGAGCTTGAAATATAAGATTTGATCTGATCATTCTATAAATAGATTTCAATTTACACAGTCTCTGGAGAAGTTTCATATATAAATAAGTTTTTATTTCTTCATACTCAGTCATTTAATACAGAGATTTTTTTTTACAAACTCAATTTTTACAAACATAATAATCTAGTACAATTTCATATACACATTACTATTATATTAAGATAATAATATATAACTGGTGAAACTTCAAAATTTCTCTATTAACTGTCACATCACTTTCCTTTATTTATTACTTGTCGCCTCCACAACAAAGCACACACACAGCATTACAAAAATTTAATACCGATTATTTTTCCTTCCAAAAACTAGTATCTTCTTAGAAATGTCCATGATTTTCTATAAATATCGATTAACTAGGTGATGCTTATTCATTGAGATAATGTTATATAAGTCTGTAAAATATAGACAATTAACAACTGTAATAAGAATTCTTTAAAGAATTACAGCAAGTAACAATGTCAGTGATCTTCTGTCACCTTCATTTCATAGAAAGACTAGAGCATGGAAACCTCAATGAATGCATGTCTCAATTCAACAATACCTATCACATAAATAATCCAAATATTCAGGTTAAACAAACACACAAAGTCTCAACAATTTATCTGTGTTAATTAATTATTTTTTTTGTAAGGTATTAAGTCTTTCTTCCATTTCCTTTGTATATTTGCCTTTTTTCTTTGCCAATATAATGTCCCTTTTTAGATCTTGTACCTCTAGATCAGGAAATGCAGCATACAAATGTTTAGCAATAGCATCATCAACATCATGTGGTTCTCGTAAAACACAAAAATACAGGAGAAATATAGCAAAACATGCGCCAATCACAAGTGGTTGATACTTCCAAGAGTAATTTTGTTCAAATGGAAAAGATTCTTCGACTTTGAATCCACCTTCTTTCATCTTTGATAAAAATGGATAAGGTTTCTCAATTTCGAATTCTGACTCTTGTTTTCGAACAGCAGTAGATGTACATATGTTAGCAGTTGACCTGAAAAATAAAGTATGTTCATGATTAAATTTTTAAAGCATTTGAACTTTAAATATTGGCTTAAATATAAGTTCTTTAATAAACATTTTTTGTTAAATCAGCAACATGGTCCAAATGTCATAGCTGTCTATCAAAGGACAAGAAAGTAGGTCACTTGGTCAAATCATCTAGGTCAGCTAAAATCAAGTAGGTCACTTGGTCAAATCATCTAGGTCAGCTAAAATCAAAGTTAAAAAGTAAGGCACCATTCATCAAGATCAAAGTCAGCTGTTATCAAAGCTCAATTTTACATCTAAAGCTGTGCACATGGTCCAAATCACATTGCTGTAGGAAATAACAATAGAATTTCATTAACTTGACCTTGACAGTCAAGGTCAATTAAAGGTCAAGGTCACATCTTAATTATTCAATATGTTTATTTGGTGACAAGTCTTGTTTTTTCTGTGTATAAATCAGATATGTATGTATATAACAATATTATGACAATTTAACCAAATTCAATAATTTGACCTTGATGGTCAAGGTTATTTAAAGCTCAAGGACACATCTAAATTATTCAATATGTTTCTTTGGTAACAAGTCTTGTTTTGTTTACATATAAATCAAATTCATACATAAATAACAAAATAATGACATCTTAATTCTTAACTCAACAACAGTTATAGCCAGTTACAGTAAGAAAAAGAAAATTTCAATAATTTGACCTTCAAAGTCAAGGTCATTTATGACTGAAGGTCAAGATCTGTCTGATTTACTTAGAAGTCTATCTTAGAAGATTGTTGTCTTTAAGTTCGAGGACAATCCATTCAAAAATAACAAAGTTATAGCCACTTTTAGCAAAAATCAAGCAAAGATTATCATTAGACATTTGACATTGAAGGTCAAGGTCATTTATGAATGAAGATCAATTTAGTCTGGTCTGCTTGAAGAACAGCAATGGCATCAGGAACGCCAACATAACTGTAACAACACCTTTATTTTATTCTCCGAAAAAAAAAGAATTGAGTTAAAAATGTACAGGATGAGTCTGCAAATACAGCACATATGTCAACAGGTAACAGCCTGGGTGGAAAACAGTCAGGAAAGAAACATCAGGGTAGGAACAAAGGTAGTCAAGACTATTTTTCCCTTTACCCGCCGAGATTTTTTCATCAATTTTTTTCCAGCTTTTATTGGTGGAGGAAGACCCCAGGTGCCCCTCCGGGCATTATTTCAGACACGAGCAGGCACCTGGGTAGAACCACCGACCTTCCCGTAAGCCAGCTGGATCGCTTCCTCACATGAAAGATTTCGACCCTAGTGAGGATTGAACCTACAGCGGTGTGATCTCAAGTCAGCGACCTTAACCACTAGGCCACGGAGGTCACAGATACATTCAATCTAAAACATTTTAAGTAGGATTTTCAGGAATATTCTTTTAACAAGTTGGTTTACTATCAATCAAATTCATCATCTACAGTATGGTGATTAGATATTGTTTCATAATTGCTTGCTAATATATTTAAAAAATATTTTGCCTTCAGTACACTGTTTCCAATATTTCTCATATTGTTAGAAAATAAAGATAAGTTCAATAAAAATCCTTTTTAAAATATGAAAATGAATAATTAAATACATTTGTAACATTATTCTGAGGAGAAAAGTCAAGGGCGAAGGTCATTAGGAACAATTAAGAGCAGCTAGTCCAACTAATTAGACTTGTCAAAGAGGAATTAAGATGATTTTGGACAGGCGTTGTCTTACTCCAATGTTAAAGGTTTGACAGTAGCTTAACAGCTTAATTAATCAGTGAATTACATAAGGCCCTGGACATTCTATTCTATTCTACATCATACTGCTTTAAAAACTTTACGATCACTCTAAGCAGGTATACATTGTATACATTTTTAAGAGACAGCTACGAGATACAAGGAAATCCGGGAACCAGTCCCTAGCTCTTATTGAATAGGCCCCTTGGTTCTTTTACATGCCCAGTGTATAGCACTGATCAATACATGCTAGGATTACCAGTACACCTCTAGGTAGGTGGGAAACACTAAAAGTGTCTCTGAAAAATCCCAAGGTTATAACCCAGAATCGAACCTGGGACCTCAGGAGTGATAATCAGGCAATCTGGTCAGCTCGTCCCCTGGTCAACTTGTCCCCTGGTCAACTCGTCACCTTTTTAGTCAACTTGTCCCCTACTTTTGGTCAACTCGTCCTCAAAGAGTCAACTCATCCTTAATATGGTCAACTCGTCCCCTACTTTCGATCTATTTGTCACTATTATGTTGTAAATCAATGTCTTTAAATAGTTCTTTCATGTAAAATTTATAATGAATTTGATTGATATCGAAATATTGACAAAATAACGTCTGTTAGTTGAAGATCTCCAACATGGCCAGCTTTGAATTACAGTCAACCCGGCCCCAAGTTAACCCGGCCCCCAAGTCAACCCGGCCTCAAAATTGGTCAACCCGGCCCCAAAATTGGTCAATCCGGCCACACAGTATTTTTATTTGGTCAATGCGGCCCCAAAATTGGTCAGTGCGGCCCCAAAATCGGTCATTCCGGCCCCAAAATATATATTTTCAAAGAAAACTATTCAGGTCATTTTGTTGTATGATGGAATAAAAATGATTTATTATTGATTGAATATTATTAACTATAGAACAATAGTAAAAAAAACATGAACTGGCATAAAAGTGTCAGTAAATTTAATTGTGCCGATTAAGACTTTAATAGTTTAATACGCAATAGTGATAATGAATAATCATATAACATCAACAATTATATGTACATATGTACATCAACATTATTTCAGATGTGATAATCAAACAGTTAAAAAAGGTATAGCTGTGAAAACAAATCCTTTAAATAAGTTGGTAGTATCTCTCATGTCTTTATTCGATGTAAATTAAAGATGGTTTTGTGAGTGTTAATGCGATAATTAGGAAGAAATGCATAGAATTTCGAGTTAAAAGGTTTGTATAAATTAAGTGTCCAACAATCTTTTTTTCAGTACTGGACTATTACTAAATTCTGGAAACAAAGTGATCCCTCGGAAGCATTAATCACAACAAAATAACATAAGAATTGCAGACTCGGTTTGATTGAGTCTGTACATGAGGGATAATGAATAAGTGCAACATCCCTCACGCCCCCTAGCACCGGCTTGAGCGGTACTCAATTCTCTAAGTCTTCGAAAAATTGATAGTGTTTTGTGTTTAATCACTTTATGTCATTATGACTGATAACTGTATTGATTGTGGATATATTGTGCGTGACAGACAGGAGGCAGTGACCTGCGATACCTGTGATAGATGGCAGAATCTCTATAATTAATCTTACTGTTCATGGAAACACTTTAGTGTGCTTTTGGTCATTTCTTTTTTTGATTTGAACACATTAAGGTTTCTTTTCCATGATATATCAATAAAAAAGTTTTGTTTTTTTCTTAAAACTTCTATAGTAGAGAGGTTAAGGTTGAAGACAGACGTCACCTATTTTCGTGACGGTAAAAACAGTAAACTATGCATGTGTTGCTTGTTTGTTAATATTGATAGTTTTTATATAACATAAATAATAAAAGATATCAGCGTTAAACTTTTGTTGTTGTTTTTGTTGTTAATTTTTATTTCATTCCTTGATAAGTGTTTATATTTTAAAGCAAAATAAATAATAAAAAAAAATGGGGCCGGGTTGACCAGAAATAACATTGGTTTGGGGGCCGGGTTGACCAATTTGGGGCCGGGCTGACTTGCGGCCGGGTTGACTTGGGGCCGGGTTGACTTGTACCGCCAGCTTTGTATAGCTTTTAACTGTTAAAGAAATTTCCTTTTAAATTTTATTTTCACAAATAGCTATTATAAGTTCATATCTGAGAACTTCTGCACATTGCAAATCATTACCAGGTTATGTAAAAGCCTTCGCGAAAACATATTACAATCTTAATTTATGAAGTGTGAAATGATATTTAGATTTAAACATATATCTTTATAAACTCACCTGTAATTATTTAAAATAATACATCTACATTTTACGACAAATCGAGACGTTCTTGCTAGATTCATCTTATTTAAGCTGTTAAAACTTGAAAATTATTTTGACATTTGTTTATATTTTTTCAAAAGAGCGAAAAGAATTCATTTCCTCAAAAAGTATTAAAAGCTATTGCCCCATTATAGTTTTAATAACTTTGTCATATATCACATGCCCAAACAATCAACTTAAATTGCAAATTATATTTAGCTGCCTAGAAAAGCGCTGAAGGCAAATCCAAAAAATACTTTATTGCTTTAATAATGTAGCTACTGTAAAGATACTTCAGCGAACAGGTTTTATAGTTCTGCTAGACCTGTTCGCAACGTCGCAACGTCAAAATAGAAGCGACATATAAAGTTATGGAAGCCAGAGCTATAAAAATGATGCTACAGTAAATGGTTCCAACCATTTGTACTGTAAATAGATCTATCCACATTGGAACTTTCCAATTTATGTTAGAGTTCCTGGTAAGATACAATATCAAAAGCCTGGAAAAAAATCTAAAATGATGACCTGCGTGATCAACTAAAGAATAAATTTATTTATTTTTCTAAGAACTGGGTTTTTACACAAAAATCCAGATTAAAAACCTTGATTTAAGTTGTTTATATATAAACACTATTTTAAACAGAAATAGGTTGTACAGGCAAGTAATGGCAATGTCTCAAACTTCCTTTATTCTAACAGACCATCTAAATATGAAACATATAAACCAAAATAAAACAGCCAGAAGATAACATTTTGACTTGACTTTCTTTTATATGTTTCAACATGATCATTTTGGTGTTTTACTTATTTAACCTTTTGTAACCATAACAACTGTTAGAATTTCACTTGGCGGGGATTCATTTTATTTACACTGTCTTGTTTATAGGAACATGGTGGGGCTAAGCTAAGAGTGAGGTTTGATGCACCATTAATATGTTTAAACTCCCCAGTAGTACTTATGCTGCTGACCGTTTCAAGGCGGCGCCCCTCTGTGTTCATCAGATGTATGTCTTGTTTCATACTGTTTTGTGACACTTTTGTTTGTGTCCCTTGTTGTTTTCTCGTCTACGGTAAGTATCTTCCCTTTTTGCCCCTAGTTTTATTTCTTTTATTTCTTCCCCGAATCTCCTATACCCTTTCCCTGTGCCCTTTACTTAGTGGACCTATGAACCAATCATCTATTTGTTTTCTTTGATTTTCTTGACGTTTACTATTATTTCTTATGTATCATTTTAGAGATAAGCCTGTCCGTGCTCTGCCTTGCGCCCTGTCCTTTTTTTGTTTTTCAAGAGTCCTCCTAGGCTCATTGTCACTAGTTCTTCTTGCTGGGTCCTGTAGGGGTTGCGTTCACTGAAAGTGGCATTTACATTTTCAGTTTTGCCGTGTTGGGCTTTCTTTAGGGGTTCTTATTTTCTCTATATTTCCTTCTTGATATTTTTTATCATATTTTTTTATTATTCAACAAATGTAATATCTGTTTTATTATGTTTATTTTTTTCTATTTCTTTCATGATGTTTTAGTTTTTGTGCCTCCTTTTTTAATGCTTTGCTTGGTTTATTTACTTCTATTTTTATATCTAAAATGTAATTTAAATTTATATAATTTAATTGTCATATTTTCCAATTTTTATGAATCTAAAATTTACTGAAAATATGTCATAAAGTTTATTTCAATTATGACTAATCTTGCGATAAATTTAATTCATTACTCTTAAACCATTCAATTTTTTTCAGGTATATATAATAATATTAACATACGTACCTGGTTTTTTGGGGGGAGGGGGGTTATGAGTTTTTTAACACATTTTTTGAATAAGGATAAATCATAAAATCTTATTTGCAACATATAATTGTTTTGAATCTATTTACTAAACGCGAACAGCAAATGAAATGTTTCAAAGTTGATTGTGTCATATTAAGACAATAAAAATGTATCTTTTTATTCAACCATTGTATACATTTTTTTCTGACATATTTGAAATTAAACAATTATATTGCTTTTTTTTGGAATTGCATGTTTATGTAAAATAATATTAAATTATTTAAGAGATGATATTAATTAATTATTGTAACCAAACTAAATGATCAACATTCATTTTTTTATGGGGGGGGGGGGGCAATTTTGTTGTTGTTGCGAAATCAAATAAGATATATACGTCAAAACCAGGAGAGACCGTTCAATAAACGTGTGATATTATCTGCCGGTCTCTAGTAATTGCCGGGAGAGACCGGGAATATCGGCGAATACTTTTTGATCTTTGCTGCTCATTTGGGTTAATTGCTAAACTCTTCAAAATGGCGGCTTTTTAGAAAAATAATGAGATTATGTTATTTGCAATTTTCATTACCATTTTGTGTTGTCAGAGCACACAGATAAAATAAATAGTTGTTTTGTGTTCAAGTAATGAACATTTTGAAAGTTTTTAGGCGTAAGTATTGTTCGATTGCTGCTGAGAAAATGGTGAAGGTACTGAATGTTGCAGAGAAAAATGATGCTGCTAAGTCGATTGCAGAAGTGATGTCAAGAGGGAGAACAAATCGGGTAAGATTAAGAAAAGTTCTACTTCAAAATTTTCATTGCATTACAATATAGTTTGAGGAATCAACATACCTTAAACAGTTAAACACATGTAATAATTATATGAATCTAGGCAAAGCCTCTGAACAGGAAACTCAGATGAAAATTTATGTCACTCACTCAAGGGTCCAGAGTTCCCGCTGTCCCTCGCCACTCGCGCCAAATGTAATAATATAATAATATGAAATTAGGCAAAGCCTATGAACGGGGAAGTCGTTAAAAAATTCCTTTCATTCTTTCCGTTTTAAAATTGTCATTCGGTATTACATGCACCGCTTCCGTTTTCACTCGGAACACTCAACGTTTATTATTGATCCGAAAAGTTGAGATTTGTTCCATTATCGGAATACCCCACCTTTTATCATTGAGTTACATTGTAAATGGCAGCGCCCGACTAGAACTGACACTGAAAATTTCATTGATAGGTATAGAATTCTATATATTTTTTAATTGTTTTTTATTTGATTTTCTTTTAAATATACACGTGTAGTCTATAGCCGGGCAAGCCAAAGCCCGGACCCGCTTCGCGGGCCCGGTCTTTGACTTCCCCGTATGAAAAAGGCAAAGCCTCAAAGCGAGCTCGATGTACTTTTTATGTGAAATAGTATGAAATAATCGCTCATTTTTATTTCAAATGCAGTGACGAGTGCGTGTGACGTCACACGTACTGTGTTATAAATGGCTCCGCACCTGTCGTAAAATGAATAACGAGTTTTGAAAACGTTTATAAAACTATGTTTATTTTATTTCACTCTATAATTTTTCAAGCGAAATAAAGATTATTTAAAGTGAAATAAATGTAAAACTTAAAACGTTTGCGACATTAAAATAGCGTACTTGATTTGTTTGTTTTGCACGCGCTGTTTGGCGCTACATTGTGACGTCACGTAAACAATACTTTAAACGTCTGTACAGCGTTAACGACTGAATAAAAGATATTGGTGTTCGGATTGATTTTCTTAGTTAGACCATTTTCTTTCATTCTAGATAGTTTTCACAACAAAATTCGACAAAAAATTGTTTTTATTTATCAGATTTCAAACAAAATGGCGCCTTTGATTTTCATTTTTTATACACAGCTTCCGTTATTCTGGTTCCCTGTCCAATTATGGTTCCCATAGACGTGCGCGGGTGACCAGTCTACACATCCGTTTTCAGTCAGAATTCCTCAGTTTTTATCATTATCTTTAAATTCGAAAGGTTGCGATGTGTCCAATTCGGTACTTTGGACGAAAGTTTTCAAAGCCATCACTTAGCAGGTACTCGCGTTACCGTAAAGCTCGCTTTGCGAGCAGGCCCTTCGGGCCAGCTCGTCGAGCTCGCTATTACTTCTGGCGCATAAAATCTTTAATTGGCGAATTTTAATCTAATACTTAATACTAATAAATAGTATTTATATTTAAAAGAAACGGAAAACCTACGAAAGAAAAACATATATCACAAAAGGATACAGCCATTACAATCATAGTGAAAGCTTCCAGCATTAGTTGTGCCCCTTAGTTAATCAAACCCCATTTATCCTCATCAGTAAAAAGTGTAGGCTTTATGATTGATTTTGGGCTTGTGTGATTAACTTAATTCAGCAATGTTTGCATGTCACAGTTATGGTATAAATTCGAGATTTTTTGTAACAATATGATGCCTGACTGATTGACAGGTAAAAAACAAAAGAGCCGATAAACGATTACCTGCATATGTGCTCTTTTCACATTTTTTCTGCTTATATTAGCACAGTTATAAAACTAGTCTACATGAAAAAAATAATCATCATAAATACTATTCTCTTTTTTTTTGTTTTGTTTTTTTTTTTTGGGGGGGGGGGGCGGGGGAGCTTGATATATTGAAGTTAGGGGTTTTAAAAGGGGGCCATAAAACAGGATGGCAGTTAAATTTGTATTTATTGCCATCGTTGTTGTTTTTAGCTCGACTTTTCTATGAAAAGGGGAGCTATCCTACTCGCCCCGGCGTCGGCGTTGGCGTCGGCGTTGGCGTCACACCTTGGTTAAGTTTTTCGTACCACCCCACTTTATTTCAGAAGTATTACAAGTATGGCTTTGAAACTTACCATACTTGTTCACCATCATAACCTCCATCTACAGACAAGAGTACATAACTCTGTCAAGGTTTTTGACAGAATTATGGCCCTTTTTTGACTTAGAAAGTGTATTGAGCTTGGTTAAGTTTTTTGTACCACCTCACTTTATTTCAAAACCATTGGAGGTATTGCTTTGAAACTGACCATACTTGTTTACCATCACGACCTTCATCAACAGACAAGAGGACATAACTCTGTCAAGGTTTTTGACAGAATTATGCCCCTTTTTGACTTAGAAAATACATTGAATATGGGTAAAATCCACTTATTGCCTTAACCCTTTGAGATATTGCTTTGAAAACTTTTAATGCTATTTCACATCATTACCCCCATCTGTACGCAAGAGAAGGTAACTCTGTCAAGGATTTGTTTTAAAAATTAAGGCCTTTTATCGACTTAGAATCTTGGTTAAGTTTTTAGTACCAGTCCACTTTTTGACTGAACTGTTTGAGATATTAATTTGAAAGTTGGAATACTTGTTTACAATCATGATTCCCAAACATGTCCAGGAGAAGGTAATTCTGTCAAAGATTTTATTTGAATTATGGCCCTTAACTGTCAATGTTTTGTATTATAGGCAAGCACTAAAAAACTTAAAAAATCTAAAAAAATTCATTCCTATCCACTTGTTCACTTTACCATAAATTATGTCATAATAAAATAATTCTTCACTAAATATCTTAATGCTCATGGCCATTGTTCACTTTAAAAATACAGAGATTCTTGTATTGCCTTTTACTGCAAAAACTTTTTTTATTGGCAAGCAATAAAAAAGTCGAGCGCGCTGTCTTACGGACAGCTCTTGTTCTATATAAAGTGTACTGTAGCCAGAAAATGTGTTTTCAACAAAAAATGACTTATAGTCTTATAATATTGGTTAAACATTGTGTAGGATATAGACGCAACAAATTGTGCTTGAAAAATGGAAAAACATGCTTAAATAGTGCTTAAAAAGTCCTTGAATTTTGATACTGGATGTCTGTACGAACCCTGCTAAGGTTTGGAGTTCCCCCAAGGAACGGTCCTCGGTCCACTGCTCTTCCAGGGGTATATCGACGACCTGCCCTCCAGAGTGAGATCCAAGGCCAGATTGTTCGCGAACCACAGCCTTCTGTAACGGTCCATCACTACAGAGGCTGACACCAGGCATCTCCAGATGGACCTTGACAACCTCAACTCTGGGAATCTGACTGGATAATGCACTTCAATCCAGACAAGTGCAAGTTTATCTGTATCACCACCAAATGGAATCAACGCATTGTACCATACTATATTCATGGGGAAGAGCTGGCTGTTACAACCAAGGCCAAGTACCTAATGGTCAACATCTCCAACAACCTATCATGGAACCATCATATCGATAGATTTGTAAGAAGGCAAACAGCATTTAGTTTCAGTCTTATGTTAAAAAAAAAAAGCCAGAAAGATCTTGAACTCTTTTGACTTGTTTCTAAAATTTCTGAAAAATGTTCTCAAAAGTGAAAAATAAAATGAGACCTATCTTACAGAGGAGAGCATTGTTGTTCTGGGTATTGTTTCTAAATTAACATAGAATAGACTGTTTTATCTGTTTTGAAAGTTCTCCTTTGCAATGCATTTTCCCCTCTCCATTGGCACTGGCATCATTCCTCCAAAAGTGAAAAAAGCACTGATTTCTCAAATTTAGCAAAATCATCAGTTTAAATGCAAAATTTCCGATCCCTCCCCCCAATTAATGCCAGAGGCCTTTACCCAAAAAAGGGTTTTCAATGTTTTCAAATAAATTGACAGTAACAGTTTTCAACATGCATTTGATCCTTAATGGAATATGCTGTCGGAACCCACACTACATCAAAGATATTGAATGTTTGGAGAGAGTTCAGAAATATGCTACTAGTACTAGCTTAGAATCATCAAGCTTGGATTATGATGACCAAAAAGTGATTAGTGAATCAGAATGCAACCAATATAAAGTCAGGCCAGTCATCACCTCCATGCAGTCGGACCAGGCTCTATACTGTTGATTGTTATAACTTAATTTTTTGAGATTTCATATTAAATTTCCTTAAAGCTTTTGAACACTGGACACTGATAAGTGATTAAGTGTGTTATGGTTAAAAAAATTATTGGTTACTTAATCAAAAAAAATAATATGCTTAGAAATTTCTTATCTTTAGCACATTGAAATTGTGTGTTCTCTGTTATATTTACAGAGGATTTTCCAGATTTATGAGTTTGAGTACATGTTTGTTCTCTGTTATATTTACAGAGGGAAGGATTTTCCAGATTTAACAAGATTTATGAGTATGAGTACATGTTGTTTAACCAGAAATGTAACATGATGATGACATCAGTTTCCGGCCATCTTCTTGGTATGGATTTTATAGGGCAATACAGAAAATGGTAAGCTTTTTAAAACATACAGTATGATTCTATTTGACTATCTGTTTATCTGACAACATTATCTTTAGTATTTTTTCGGCCATGGCCTGTTGGTTTTCTCCTTTACTTGCGATAAATTTATTGGCTATTTGCCATCCTTATTCTTGTAGTTGTAGTAGAGTTAGGCCAACCTTGATGTTCGTGAAGTGTTGACCAGGCTCTATACTACATGTGTTTGAATTTTATGTTAATTATGTTAATTAAGGTCATTTTAACTTTAAATTGAATGTTCAAAATTAAAAGCAGTGTTATACTCTACACATACTCAGCTGGTGACAGGTTTCTTAATATTATATTATATATTGTAAATAAAAAGTGGTTAAATTGTTGTAAATTGTTTGATTTTAATATGTCAATATTTCCATACAGGAACAGCTGTAGCCCAGCTTCATTGTTTGATATACAAGTGGAAAAATACTGTCCTGAAAATTTCACAGATATTAAGGTATAAATTGTTAATAAAGTTAATATTAAAGTTATTAACTTCTCGTCATACATGTCTTTTCTGGCTGTATAGATTTGATACAGTCTTAAGAATATGTTTATTAATATCAAGTTAGCTTTAGATCTTTCCTTAAAAGCTCTTTACTACTAATTATTTATTAGAAAATCAGTTGTATTTCTCAAACATTCTGATAGTATACATTCAATTTACCTGAAACCAATGGTTTTCTTTTTCGAGCAATTAATCTTGACTGAACCCTTTGTCCCAACTAATTCACAGTCAGTTCTAGTTGTAAACGAATGTCCTATTTGATTAAGTTCTACAGCAAGTGTTACTGGAGATCAGTAAGTCTGTTGTTTTCTACAATGGTAACAACTTACAATGAATTCAGGTCTTGCTTTACCAGTGAATCTGGTATGACTGAACTTTTCAAAACTTTTATCAAACAACTGGCCAGTCACATTCCTAAATATTTTATGATAACTGACTGACTGGATATTTTATCTGACTAAATTAAGTTTTTATCTGGCCAATTTTATTCATTGGCAAGATTTTTTGTTCTAATTGTTGTTAATCCTTGTAATAAGTAATGGCCTTGTAATCTCTCAGACTTCTTTATATGTATTATAATATTGCACGTCCCTTTCATTGGATAATTGTGATGTTTATATAGTTTTATAAACACTATAGTTTTATAAACACGACTGCTGTCGATTTATGAAGAAATCTTACTTTTTTCTCTAAAATAAAATGATTTCAGTATTATAAATTCCCCTAGCGGCTCAGCTTATATTTCCAAACAACCGTTTATACATGTATATGGCCATATAACCTGTCAGAAATATTTATAATAATGCCTAGCGGTTGGGTTATATTTCCAAACAACTGTTTATATATGGCCATATAACATGTCAAAAAAATCTTTATAAATAATAATAATGTAGTTAAATTACAACAGCTCTAGATACTTTGAGATAATGCGCTGATCGTCAATTCCTGAACCCTGCTTTTACATATACAATAAGCTTCAATTCATTCTTCAAACTGTGCTTTGAAATATACAGTTATTTCAATTCCTAAAACTGTCTTGAATTATAAAGTGAGTTGATATTGATTTCAGCGAACATTGGAACGAGAGGTAAGAGGTGCTCAGTTCCTTGTTATATGGACAGATTGTGATAGAGAAGGGGAGAATATAGGATTTGAGGTCATACAAGTTTGTAAAGCAGGTACGAATGTCTGTTTGATTGACAGTTTTTGAAAAATACTGGTTTTTGTATAGCCTGAAACTGTTAAAATTGAAAGTGATAAGTGTTTGCTACCAGTATAGTGCCTGGCCAGTCTACATATTTGTGCAGTCTGACCAGGCTCCATACTGTTGGCAGCTCAATTTTTGAATATTGCTTATAAAATGCCTTGAAATTCAAATGGACCGTTCCAAATTCAAAGCATGGCAAATCCATTACACACATTCCGGGGATAACGGGTTGAAATACATTGATATGATTATACAGTGTACTGTGAAGTCTGTCAACCTATATGTACTTGATAAATTTAGTTATTAAAAGTCCATATAAGTTTTTAAATAAACATATGTAAAATTCAGTTGTAATTCTGTTTTCAGTAAAACCAAACATTCAAGTGTACAGGGCGAAGTTTTCAGAGATAACACCACAGTAAGTAATATGTTTGTCAAATCAAACCTATAATTCTAATTTTTGTTTTTTTTACATGGATAATGAAGGATGTATTTTGATTAATTTAAAATTAGGAATTTGATCTGGCATCAATGACTGACACTTACATATAGTTAAAGCTATAAATAAAAGTTTTTTTAAAGGAAGTGCATGGCAACAAAAGTTAAAGGTCAATGTTTAGTTAGAATTTTAACTGATGATGTAGCTCAGTATTTCGGTCACATACATGAATATAACAATAAGATTTAGCTCGACAATTCAAAGAAAATGGGGTTCACACTAACATGTTTGTTGTTGTTGTTGAAAAATTTGGTTGAGGTGTTGCATGCAATTTTACACCTTGGAAAATTACTAGAAACTTTACACATTAAAGGGACATAATTGTATGCCCAGTGTGCAAGACCTATAACTCTAGCATGAATTGTGATGACATATACCCCAATGAGCTGTTGAAGGTTTTGAATGCTAGTTCTACCTTCCTAACCACTGGATGGATTTGTTTTGAATTTTACCTTAACACAAGTCTTCATAATGATACTTGCAATTGTAGGTCACTGACTTTGACCTTTTTCCTGCAGCATAGAATTTTACTTTGTCAATTCTCATTGTAAACTGATCTTGTTTCATTGTCAACCTCTGAGAGTAGTCCAGTTCAGTGTTTGCAGGTGATAAATTTTTGTGTGTGCATTCAAAGCTGTGTACTTTTTAAAAATTTTCGAGATTATTGTTTGGACTTTATATGAGCCGCGCCATGACAAAACCAAGGTAATGTGTTTGCGACCAGCATGGATCCAGATCAGCCTGGCATCCACGCAGTCTGATCAGGATCCATGCTGTTTGCTATCAGTTTCTCTACTTGTTATAGGGTTTGTAAGCAAGCATGGATCTTGATCAGACTGCGCGGATGTGCTGGCTGGTCTGGATCCATGCTGGTCGCAAATGCATTACGTTGGTTTTTTTGTGACGTGGCTCGTATGGTATATTTAGAGCAATAGCCAGAGCCTGTCAAAATCTGATACCACCTGATAAACGAACAAGTGATGCTGTAGATGTTAGAATGGAGCTTGATCTACGGATAGGTTAGTAATTATACTTGTGTTACAACAACTTCAAATGAGATAAGTTTTTAACAGAAAATGTTCAGATATTATTATTTTTATTACCAGTTTCCTGAGGTAGTCAGGGACAAGTATTTTATTCACAAAAATTAAGTTCTCATACATTTGTTTGCTATTGAAAAAAAAAATGTATTTAAAACTGGACATTCTATCAAACATTGAATTTAAGTTACTTTCCATTTACTTTCACTATAGTTACGTGTCTTAAAATTTATTTGTACTTTCAATCAATTATGAAACATGGCTAATATGGTTTTATGGTGCTTCTTTTGTCAAGTTTAAGTTTCTAGATATTGCAAGGTTATGAATAACGAAATTACGTATATATTTACGATGTATATATTATATGATAAGAGGTATTTTCATGTCTCAGGTGCTGCGTTCACCAGATTTCAAACCAAGAGATTACAGAAAATATTTCCAAGTGTTTTAGCGGATCAATTAATAAGTTACGGAAGTTGTCAGTTTCCAACACTCGGTTTTGTTGTAGAAAGATATAAACAAGTGCAGGCTTTTGTACCAGAACCTTTCTGGAAACTTAAAGGTAACATTATACATGTAGCAAGTTTTTACTGCAGCATTTAACAATGGATTGTTACAAATTCATATGTTTTCAAGTTTTCAGGCATTTGCCATTAGTTCAGATTTAGGACTCCTGAAAGCACTCTCTCTATATAATAGAATATACAAACTGTAAATAAACAAGTTAAAGTACTGCTTTATTCAGGGTTTTCAGCCTTTACTGACATTTGGAACTTGTACCCAATACAAATTCTGATCAATACAAGTTGAGTGATTTTAGAATTGCAGATTACTCTATATTTCAATGTATGGCAGGGTGTCTCTTTGACCCTTCAAATTTGAAAAAGGCCTGATTTGACCCTCAGGATTTTGATTGGTGGGTCAAATTTTGTTAAAATCATGGGGATTTGGCCTTGTAGTCGGTAAAACTTAGTCACAGTGACCCTCAGGATTTCATGGCTAGTGAACACCCTGTATGGTTTGAGGAAATGTATTGTTGACTAAAATTAAGATAAAGTGTGAACTGTATTGAATGTATTATAATATCATGCAGATAGAATCATGTGATGATTTATTAACAAATTATGTATGCAGGACTTGGTGGAAAAGCAAATACAGAAAAAATCATTTAGAAGCAAGCACTGAATTTCTGAAGCTAGAATAAACATCTCTTTTAAACACTTGTAAATAAGTATAACACATATGTAACAAATTTTAACTAAAAAATATTTTGGTCAATATTTTGTCAGTGAAATTGAATGCACATGTGATGTAAGATAATTGTCTTGTGTTTATCGTAAGTGTTTAGTTATATATTTTGACATTTTACAGTATCTTACAAACTGGATGATATAATGGTGGACTTTAACTGGAAAAGGTAAGTAATTTCCTGTAATTAAACTATGCAACTTCTTATTTAATCTGAATGCTACTAAGAATTTTACTTTGGATAGCTTTCACTGTTTCCAACAATAACTGTGAGTTAGATATGAGCCGCGTCATGACAAAACCAACATTATGGGTTAGCGATCAGCATGGATCCAGACCAGCCTGCGCATCCGCGCAGTCTGATCAGGATCCATGCTGTTCGCTATCAGTTTCTCTACATGTAATAGGGTTGGTAAGCGAACAGCATGGATCCTGACCAGACAGCGCGGATGCGCAGGCTGGTCTGGATCCATGCTGGTCGCTGGTTTTGTCATGACGCGGCTCATATATGTTTTAAAGAGTAGTAATAGTATTTATGAAATAAGCTTACAAGTATGTAATAGCATGAAGTGGCTTTTATTAACAGATATTCTTTTTACAATGGTAAGAGCTACGGAACATCAGTCATGATCAGTTTAGTGGTCCATATATTTATGTGGTTAAAAAAGTCTTTTCTGACACCTTTAACATGTGGGGGTACAGAAACTTGATAATAAAAGAATTCAGTAATTGATGTAGCTTAATGATGAGTCATATCTATTTCTACTGTTAGATTATATTATTATTTATTACATGCTTTTCAGTGGATTATAGAAATATATCAGTGATATAAAACTGATGATAATTTCAATGTTTTAAACAAATATCCTCTATATATTTTTAGGGTGAGATTATTTAACTACATGGCGTGTTTTGTTTTATATCAAAACTGTCTAGAGGTAAGACATTTCATTTTAGTTAATATTCCAGTTTTCTTTCATATGAATAATGTTTTATATTTTATGTTTAGCGGATTTACATTATTCATTGCAAAAATCGTCCAAAAGACTATGAAAACTTGATGATTCTGCAACAGAAGTGTTTAGTTTTCTGAGAGAATATCTATTTACTTAATGTTGTCCAGCTGATGCTTATTTCAACCATTGATTGCTTTATTGATATTTTTCCCAATGAACATCTTATTATATGCTGAGTGAAAACCATGAGACATTAGCATTTCTTATGTATTATAATTTGTTAATATTAAAAGAAAGGACAAAAATGACATGACATTCTTCCAATGAGGTTCTTGTATTATCTACAACATTTATATCAGTCTGACTTAACTAAGATGATTTGGTCTATTCAGATGCCTGAAATAGTGCATCTATTTACACTTAGGTCCCTCTCCACTGATACAGGAAGAATACTATATGACTGTAACACTGTTTGCTTTATTTTAAAAACATACAATGAAAGAAAAGTGTGAAATATATAAAGTTCATATTACATATGTATGGTTAATTTTTAATGATCAACATATACTATGCTGCAGTTTGCTGACAGACCATTTGTTCTATTTTTTTCAGTCCCCACAAGCAAAGGTGGTGGATACAAAAGGTCGGAGTAAAAGCAAGTGGAGACCTGTAGCTTTGGATACAGTGGTGAGTTAACTTATGTTCTCTATATGTTAAATGTAAATTGCACCATTAAAGAAGTGAAACTAGTATATCTTAATTAGAAGTTATATACATGTATGCAGAAATTGAACTTTTCTATAAAAATTAATTGGCAACACAATAGTTTGGTAGTAGATGTTGTATACCCAATTATCATTATAATTATGACATTACATGCATAGTGTGTGGAAATCTGCTTAATTGGTTATCAATCATAACCCAAGCAAGTAACATTCATTTAAACATGTATATACACAAAACTGTATTTGGAAAACGAAGAAAGGGGTTTGTTGAAAGTTTAATTTTTAGCTCGACTATACGAAGTATATGGAGAGCTGTCCTACTCGCCCCGGCGTCGGCGGCGTCCGCGTCCAGATTTTAGATTAAAGTTTTGGTGCAGAATTTTTTTTTTCACTATAACTTTTTCATTTTTTAAGGTATCAACTTCAAACTTCAAATATATGTTCCTTATTATCAACTACATCTTATGTGTCAAGGTTCATAACTCTAACACCAATATTTTCAGATTTATCTCCCCTTGAGCTTAGAATTTTCCTTAAAAATATTATTTTTTACTGTTACTTATTTATTTCTTAAGGTATCAACTTCATACTTCAAATATATGTTCCTTACCATCAACCACATCTTATGTGACAAGTTCATAACTCTAGCACCAATATGTTCAAAGTTATCTCCCCTTGAACTTAGAATTTTCCTTAAAAAATACTATTTTTTACTGTTACTTCTTTATTTCTTAAGGGATCAACCCCATACTTCAAATATATGTACCTTATCATCATCCCCATCTTATGTGACAAGGTTCATAACTTTAGCACCAATATTTTCAGATTTATCTCCCCTTGAACTTAGAATTTTCTTTAAAAAATACTATTTTTTACTGTAACTTATTTATTTCTAAACGGATCAACTTCATACTTCAAATAAATGTACCTTATCATCATTCACATCTTATGTGACATGGTTCATAACTCTAGCACCAATATTGCAAGAATTATCTCCTCATCAACTTAGATTTTTTTACTAGAAAAATGTTATTTTTTACTATAACTTTTTTAGTTTTAAAGGTATCTACCTCAAACTTCAAATACTTATTCCTTATAATCAATTATATTTTATGTGACAATGTTCATAACTCTTGAAGTAATTTTTACAGATTTATTTCTCTTTGAACTTAGGATTTTCTTTAAGAAATATTATAACTTTGTTACTTTTTAATTTATTAAGGTATCTACTTCAAACTTCAAATATATACTTCTTATCATTACATACATGCTGTGTGACAAGGTTCATAACTCTAGCATGACTATTTCTAGAATTATTTCCCTTGATCTTGGAATTTATTTTAACAAATGTTATTTTTTTACTATAACTTAATACATAGTTATACATTATTGATTTTTCTTTCATAGTTTTGTCCTCCTTACTGCGTCCAGTATTTTATTAGTCGAGCTTGGCTGTCTCCTGTGACAGCTCTTGTTAATGTTCTCTGTAAGCCCAAGTGTTGAAATCAGAACCAAGATAAATAATTGTAGCTCATATTAGTGCTTTACTTTTGGCTACCTTAAAGTCTTAAGAGAGCACTGGATATAGTTTCTTGAAAATTAATAAATTATTATAACTGTGTAGTAAAATGATGACATTTTGAATAAACTGTTCTTTTTGTGGCCTTTATTAATCAACTGGTTTTTAATACTTGAAAGAAGATACAAACTTAAGGTGACAACAGACACTTTCCGTGATACTCACATAAATGTCATTTAATCCAACTTATTTTAGTAAAAATTGTTATTTATTTAATCTATTTGCATTAAATGTCGTTGATCATCATAAAAAATAACATATTTGAAAAAAATGCCTTTGTAAATGATTGATTTTTAATAAAAATCGTAAAATTTTAAATCGTCATATCAAAGTCATTTTGTATCTTTTTGTCATCAAACTTTTGGAAAATAAACATACCGTGTCTCAAATATTTTCTATCTTTTCTTAAAAAAATATTACGTAACGTCAAACATTTTATGCGACTTTTTTCACCATACATATTACGTAATTAAAGATTATTAAGTCGCTGATTGAGCAAACAAAAATCCCTGACACGGTTCCCTCCATAAATGAATTCCCTTTCATGTGTTTTAAACCGCATGTTAATTGCTTGATTATTAAAAAAGTTATGCCGATTCAAAGTTAGTCCGACCCGCATCAAACGAAGTGTCATAAATCGGCTGTTCTCTCTCGGACCCCTACGTTTCACGCTAAATAATTGCATAATACACAAATATCGCACAAGAGAGGGTCACAAGTTGCGGTAACATACTCTAACAACATTTTATGACCCAGTGACATCTGACCAATTAAAAAGTTGCTGATTAATATCAGTTTATTACAGAAATTTCTTCAAATCTTAACGTGATTTACTGTCCGTCTGGTATCGGTCGCACATGTCACGTGACTTTCGGTAAAATTTGAGGCACTCGGTGGGGGGAAATGGAACGTATTTGTGCACCGCTAGCGGGATATTTTATTGTTTCACTTTTAAAGTTTATTATTATCATCATCAGCATTATTATTATATTATACCAGTGTCAATCTGTCTGTGTATTCGTGTATGAAATTCCGTTAAAATATAAATTAAAATAACAAAAACTGAGCTTCTGACGGTCTTTTAAAGTCCATGGTAGATGTACAAATAAGAACGGGATATTATATATTTTTTCCTCCAACTTGATATAAATGCTTCACATATTTTTATAGAATTAAAAGGTATCACGCGATCATTATGATCTGACCTTCTTGACTTCTATTATCATGAATACACGTATCATCTATGCACGACATAGAGATCCAGTTTCTACTGGGATATTCAATAAATTCCATACTTTGTCCTAGGTTTATTAGTACTTTGTTCGATTTACTTGTGAACAATTTATTCAAAGCATTCACTGATAATAAATATTAATATCTTTTTTTATTTCTTCAAAGAGAAATAATCATCCTTAATCAATCTAAAATGGATTAGAAATTTGTCAGGGACACCTTACCACAAGTCATATAGGCGTTCACATAAAAAAATGCTGTCTGTTTTTGTTGTTGTTTTACTTGACGTTGTTAGAAAACGAGGTTGAATGTAAAGCAAGCCCTTGAATCCGTACAAAAGTCCATAAACTTAATGTAATATCTATCAGATTAACGGGACAGACAAATTATTTTCACACATTATGGATATTTTAGCAACTATATTTATAATCAACCCCGTGGTCGTGCGATTTGCCGCTATGCTTAATTATTTATGTTTCGTACATTATGTTACGTACATTGGCCGACAATTTCTTATTTTATAAAAAAGGCTAAATAAAAGGTAGACGATATTCATAAAAGATGTACGGTATTTGTACGATACATGAATTACGAGTAGTATGGACTAGTATGTACCGGTAATTCACGGATATATGGAAATACCGATTTCCCTCATTGATGCCTCAACAGGGGGCGGAGAGTTATCGATAATTGACAGGTTACGCGAATAGCAGATAAAATTGGTACAGGTACCGTTTTAAAACGTTTAAAAACACATTTTTTGGACAAACTGCTTCCAAAATTAAATCACGAATGTGTTCAGAAAAGGTTGATAAATTTACTAAGCAAAAATCTTATTTTAGGTATTTTCAGTGATAATTGACTCCGTTGTCACCTTAAACAGTGCAGTTATACTTCGAATTGAATCAGGACACTAAGTGGCTTGAAATTATAACATTATTTGTACAGGAATTAGAAAAGTTGGCATCTAGAAAGTTACGTATTAGTGCCAAAGAAACAATGAAGATTGCTGAGAAGTTGTACACAAGTGGATTCATCAGTTACCCAAGAACTGAGACTAACATGTTTGCCAAGGAGATAGATCTAGCTTCAATGGTTGAGAATCAAACAAGGGACCCAAACTGGGGAGGTAATGGTATCATACTGCTTTCGATTCTTGGGGAATACTAGTATATATTCCCATTTAAAATAAAATATTATTTTCTCAATCCACAGGAGAAAATTCCCAATAGAAGTTACAAAGTAAAAATATTGAATAAAGAAATCTAAAATCTTTGAAAATTAGGGCTTCTTCACTGTTATAGTGCTTAAATGTTTAAAGATACCATCCTAGACAGTGCTTGTTGCACTCATTAAATCAAAACGCCATCCTAGACACTGATTGTTTGCATTCAATTAATCACTTTTTAATTTCAGTCATGCATTTTTTTCCCAGTTTAACAAAAAACTGCTAAAATTCCAAATTCCATGATAATGGGTCATGTATGTTCCTGAAATCCTGGAAAAAAATCCTGGAAATGAGTCATGTCTTAAATTTTGTCTGTTTTCTGTTTAGAGTTTGCCAGTAGAGTGTTGGAGCGAGGGCCGACACCTAGAAATGGTAACAAGACAGATAATGCCCATCCCCCTATACACCCCACCAAGTATACTGACAGTCTACAAGGTAATGAGAAGAAGTTGTACGAGTTTATAGTTCGACATTTCCTGGCTTGTTGTTCCCAAGATGCACAAGGCTTCGAGACAACTATAGAAATAAACGTGGCTGATGAACAGGTAAGTACTTAGCTAAATTGTTACAGGGAAATTTAGTAAGACATTTAGCTATATTTAACAAAAATTCACATAAATTGCATGTTTTGTATAGATTAGTAACATTTAAGTTCTTATTGAAAAATGTTACTTTCTGTTTTGATATTGTTGGATTGTTTTTATTACAGAAATTACACTCAAAGTGCCATATATCTTGCTTACCTCAATTTGTATAGTTGAATCTATGTAACTATTAAAGATGAAGACAAAGGATTCCAGATTCATATGGAGAGATCACTTGAATATGATAAAAAGTACTTGTTTTTGAATCTGGGAACTTGAAGTACATTATTGAAATACTGTTGACATCTGTTGTTATATGAATGTATTACATGAGTTGAGTGTAAAAGTATGTTTTGAATGTAGAAATTATATTTACTGTTCTATAGAATATATCTGAAATATTGATGTAGTTTTACATTGAACTTAATAGCTGAATCTTGAAATGGACTTGTCTGGCTTACATTTTTAGAATAGTCTGTTATCAATTTTGGGGATGCCCAATATCATGACCAAAATATAAAGTTTGTCACCCAGCAATATGGATGTACAGTCTGACCTGACTTCACTGGTGACTAAAGCTAACTTTGTTCCATATGAGTAAAAGTTAAAAAAGCTTAAGTTTATATACAACTTGGATACTTAAGAAATTTAGTTTATATCATCATCATATGTATGTTATTTTACTGTGTTACAGTTTACAGCTCAAGGCCTGATGGTTACAGCCAAAAATTATTTAGAAGTATACATCTATGAAAAATGGAATGCCAAGGTAAGTGTTCATAACCACTTTGATACAATTTAAAAAAAAAAAAGATAATAAATGTTTATTTCTAAACTCAAAGAGCATAAGGATGTTCTGACATTTAAAATATTTTTACAGACATTGAGTCAAATGGTCATTTGTATCTGCTGATTCAGAAATCATGTTAGATTAACAGTTGGTCACTTGCGCTGAAATTGATAATTACTGATTTGTTATCCAGAAAAAAATCAAGTGGACCAAATGCCAAGATATGATGAAAAATGTGTTGAAAATAACCTAAGAGCCAGACAATCAAATAAGGCTTAAATATCATCTTAATAAAGTTTGTTCAGTTTTTCTGAATAAATCACTAAACAACTTGTATTCTACAGGAAATACCAGTGTTTGAGAAAGGAGATGAATTTGAACCAACATCAATAGAGGTATTATAATTTTTCATAACATTAATAATTTGTATTAACATGTCTAGATGGTATTTGTCAGAATAAAGGGAGTTTGAAACATTGCCATTACTTACTTGTATAACCTATTCCTGTATGTTGTGATCAAAGTGGTAAACCACACTAAGTGAAATTATATTATATGTACATAATTATGCAAATAAAACAGTTTTCAAACATCGAAGAATATGTAAAATATGTACTGCAAATATTTGTGCATATTATATGTAATCATTAAAATATATGCATTCATTTCTTATTGTAAAATTTGACTTAAACTTTAAAGAAAATAATTTTTTGTTGCCTCCCTTTATTTTCATGAAATGTTAAATTCAGTAATATCTAATTCTTTATAAATAATGCTTTTTTGAACCTACAATATTGATAAATCTTAATTTGAGATTTAAAACCATAAAAAAATAGTGTTACAGGATATTTAAAATAGTGTTTATATATACTGTCTGTTTTCAGGCTATATTAGAATGATTACTTCGAACCATCATTTGATTTAACTTTTAATTAAATTACTTTTTTCTGACTTATTCTTTTATTCATCTATGTTATTGAAGGTCAGAGTTCTACCAACTCAGCCCATTTTCTGATTACATACATTTTTAGGGCCTTGCACTATTTGTCACTACTCAACATCATAAAGTCAATGAAATTGTTTTACAGTTTAATATGAATTAAAGGGATTTTACTGAGTTTTTTTTACATAACTGGACTGGAAATAATTTTTCAAGTTTGATGTTCCATTTGATGAAGATCTAAAATTATAGCTTGTGTGCAAAATTTCAGATCATTCGCTCACTCAATTATTCCAGGATAAATATTCTAATTGTGAAAAATGACCCAAAATTGGGTTAAGAATTGCACAAAAACACAATTTTCAATTTATTTCTGAGTATATTTAACTTTCTCACATTTTCTATTATAAGAACTTCAGGTGATCTATGTAATTCAAATTTTATATTTTTAAACTTTTGAACTTCATTGGAGTTTCTCCGAAATAATATTTTCCAAAATTACACTATTTTAGCCTGCTTATGAAAGTTATGATTATTTATTCTTTAATTTGATGTATGTTAATAAAGTTAACTATTTGATAATTTAGATGAACAATGGCGAGACATCACCCCCACCACTGTTGAGTGAAGCAGATCTGATTGCATTAATGGACAAACATGGGATAGGTAAGGTTATCATCATGTATATTAGCCATTAGTATTATTATCACCACTTTTTGAAGAAGAATAAAGTTTGATAGTGTTGGAAGCTATAAGCTTATTAAAACACTCTCCAAACAGTTCCTGGAACCAACCAGTACTAAGCAATGAGTGTAAAGTTTCATGTCAATGAATACTAAATAGGAAAATGATTCAAATTTTTCCATGGATATTAAATAGGAAATTGATACAAATGTTTTCATGTCCATGAATATGAAATAGGAAATTGATATGATATCAAAATGGACATACTCTGTAATAGTTTTTCTGGTGAAAGGTCTTTAATATAATATGGGAATATTTTGAATATTGCAGGTACTGATGCAACCCATGCTGAGCATATAGAAACAATAAAGTCAAGGAATTATGTTGGTGTACGGCCTGATGGGAGATTTGTACCCGGCCAACTAGGGATGGGACTTGTTGAAGGTAGTAACAGATGGTCAACATTCATGTTATACGTTGGATACGTAACGTTAACATTAACATTAACTTCTAAAAATTGTATATATGTTTATAATATTTTATTACTTTTATTACAATCAAGTTATCATTGCAAATAACATTTGCAATTCAATATGGTAATCTCTAGATGACCTTGATAACCTCTGTTTGACCTTTGTAGTGTATGTTACCTTACTAGTCTAGATCTGACCTTGAAAGTTTAAATATAAGATACAACTTTGTTAGTAATTATACGGCTAAAAATTGTATATGAATGAAATAAAATATTGATTGTTTTGCAGGATATGATGCAATGGGATATGAAATGTCAAAACCACATCTGAGGGCTGAATTGGAAGCTGATCTGAAAAAGTAAATTTTCCTTTCATATACTTTTTGTTGGTAATTATTTAGATAACGACGTTGGTTAATCAGTTATATAAGGGGCTTTGACCATAAACAGAAAAAAAACTCCCTAAACCGGAAATGTTCCCGACCAAGGTGAGTTTACTCTGTATATATATAGTTCATAGCACATCATTGAAGCTGTATAGGGGTAAAATGATATCTATACTGTGCATTGCTACAATATGTAGAAAAGATTATAAAACAAAGCATCTTTATGTTAAACAAATGTACAAAGTTTAATTGATTAATGCTTTTGATGAATTAAGTTCTGTCTTTTTATTCTTGTAAGGAAATCCTAAATACTTGCTTTACAATAATAGTTTCTAAAATTTCAAGATATTGTATGCTTGATATTTATATGATTTTATTATTTGGATTTTTACATTATTGCAGGATATGTGAAGGGAGAAAAGAAAAACAGGGTAAGTGAGCAATAACAAACTATCATAACATTATTATAATTAATAATTTTCATTTTGATGGTTTTGTATGTAGCACAAGAATATAATTCTTTTTCAGGTAAATATCTAACTGAAAATTCATATATTGAGTGACAACAATATAACTGAGTACAGAGCAATGAGTGTATAGTTTCTTGCTCAAGGAAACAAGGACTTGCCCCTGACGGGGTTTGAACCCATGCAGCTAGCGATCATTAGATTACTGGTCTGACACATTAACTAGGCCATGCCGCCACTTATTGTGCTTTGTATTATAGTGTAATGAATTGTTGGAAACCAAGATATTTGATACAGTGTCACTTTCACTTTTAGTTAAAACTAGTTTCAACACATATTTATTTTCAGTGCAATTAGTAAGTGCAGTATGACTGAGTAAATATTATTATTGTGTATTTGTTTCAGAGGTGTTAGATGCACAAGTTAGAAAGTATAGAGAGGTGTTCCTTGAAGCTTGTAGACAGGTATAATATACTGTACATGTAAAACAATGTTCTTATTACAAATAGCTTAATTTTAAGAAAGAAAAAAGGACATTCTTAATTGAATTTTGCAATTTCTTACATAAAGCTTTGTATTAAGTATAATTGTCTCGATGAAGGGTTATTTATTTACTTATTTATGTCAGGTATGATATCTATTTAGAATTAAAACATATCTGATAAGAATGTATATATGAAGATATGGTATGTATATAAGAATACATTAAGGTATCTAACACGACAGTACTGCTTTATATATTTATCACATAAACCGCAGCGCAGGAGTGTAATAAAGCCATTTAATAAAAACGATATTACACTAGTGTAATAACACTTTGACGTGACGTCATTTGCGCTACATAGAAACATAGCGTTAAAGCGCGCTAATGTTAGCGTTACACTATAAACACGTCATTGAAAAATTACTCATTTTAACAGTTTACCATTCTTATTTTATATATGTGATAAAAAGAATATTATATTCGTGTAGATTCAATACTAAATTTATTGAACTCGTTGAATAAAACAATATTATGCTCGCCAGAGGCTCGCATAATATGATTTTATTCAACTTGTTCAATAAATTTAGTATTAAACTACACTCATTCAATATCGTCTATATATATATATATTAAGAATATATATGACGGTATCTATGACAACTATTATGACATATATTACAGGCAGAGAAGATAGATGAGTCATTATCTACATATCTAGGTCAAGATGCTCAACCTGCCCCACCCGAGGAACGTATGTATCAGTTTCACTTTTCATAGCATTATCGTGATGTTTATATAAACTATATGCCATTTCGTGCTTGAAATGATTTATGGAATGGCACTTGAGATTTTCTTTCACCAGTAAAGCTGGAAAGTCACCATATGACCTATACTTCTGTGTTGGTGTGACGTAAAACCTAACTACAACAACAAAAAATATATATTTGTATATAAACAGTATACATTGCTTCAGTCATTGTATGAATTTTTTTTTCATTTTTCATTCTGAAATATTGAAAGTTTGAGATATTAAAATTTTGTTGTTAACAGTTTTAACATTTTCCTAGTTGCTCAGGTTATAAATGAAAACAACCATTTATATAGGGCTTTATAATACTGCATGTTTGTAACGTCACTTTTCATTGGATAATCTTGAGGTTTATATACACGGCTGCTGCCAATTTTCTAAGAAATCTCACATTTTCTCCAAAAAAAGGACGCTTGCTGTATTATAAATTCGTCATGAATATTCCTGACAGGTTATATGACCAAGTAAACGGTTGCCTAGCGGCTCGTGTTATATTTCCAAACAGCCATTTATGTAGTGCCATATAACCTGTAAATAATATTTATAACTAATAATATAACCAATAAAAATCTTTATAACTTTAATAAGCTTGTGATCTATGTTGTTTAAGGCTTTGCAGAGGTAAAGTACTTAAGTGGTTAGCTTTTAGATACTTGCCTTTTTTTTGCTGTGCAGTGTTGTTATGTATGACAGCTAGTTGAAGTTTAATGCTAATTTAAAAAATGCCAATTTATCTTCTGATATAAATAATAAATAATTTGGGTGATATTAATTCAGGTTGGGAAATTGATAACTCTTGTCATGTCATTGTTAGTTATACCAACAAAACTTGTTGTTTTTAGGTTGATTAAATAAATGCATAAGTAATGTAAGAGACAGTTTGCGACATTGACAAGTTTCTATTATAGATACAATATATAAAAAGTCTTTGGTTATAGAATTTGAACTGTTAGCCTAGTGAGTTTTCTCTAAGATACTCTATTGATTCTTTTGTATTATCTGTATCTATTACACACTGATATATTTGCATTTATTATAGGGATAGAGATGTCTACCCCAGTAATGAAATGTCATATGTGTGGATCAGATATGTTACTAAAACCAAAGAAAGACAATAAAGGGTGAGTTATTTTAAAGGCACATTATGACTTAGAAAGGAATAAAAGTTTTCCTCCTCTAGAAAGAGCAAACTTTAGTTTTATAACATTTAAATAATGGTTTTTAGAGCATGTTAGATGTTTATCATCTGAAGAAAGTAGTGTTTAATGTGAATTTATTTGCCTTAAACATAGCAAAATGTAAACAAATTAGAATTTTGACTTCCGTACAAAATACTAAATCACAATAAATGTACTAATTGCCAATAGGTAGTGCAAGCAAAAAATTGTTCAGGTAATTGGCCAATGATTAACTTTTGGGAAACTTTGAACAGACCACCAAAAAATAAAAAAAAAACTTTTGAGAAATAATAATGAAAGCAGTTCTGGGGCATAATGGGCCTTTAACATCATTCATTTAGTTTTATTTAGTCTCATATCTCTGAAAACAGATATAAACATATTACGTAAATTAATCACCTAAAATTGTTATTACATCTTACTTTTTACCAGGAGCAAAAAAATCAAATATTCTATATATAACATAGTGTAATAGAGTTATTATGTGTTTTGAACAGGTTTTATATAGGTTGTATGGGATATCCAAATTGTCGTAATGCAGTATGGCTGCCAGACTGTGTGGCAGAAGCAACTGTTAATGACAGTACATGTTCAAGGGTAAGTCTGTAGTACATACAATTATACATGTAAAAATAACACACATGATAATTTCCTCGAAAAAAAAATTTTTTATGAGCAATGATGTGTATTAAAGAAACTCCACTGAGGTTTAAAACCTTTAAAAAAATGCATTTCTTCCATATATGAACTGGGGCATTTGATACCAACAGATATGCAAAAAATAATTAAGAAATATACTCAGAAACAAATTAAAATTTTTATTTTTGTGCTATTCTTACCATGATTGAGTGAAAAGCTTTGTAACATTTCAGTTATATGTAATTTTTCACAATGAGAAAAATTATTGGAGTAAGTGAATAATCTAAATTTTGCAAACAAGTTATTGGTGTAGACCTACATCAAACGGAACATTAATCTCGAAAAATTAGTTCCAGTCTTGTCATGTCAAATAAAATCTAAGTGGAGTCCCTTTAAGATTTCATATTTTCACTGTTTCTTCTGTACAGTATATTTCAGTGCATAACAGTACATTTTAATGGTATCAAATTCAATACTTAAAGATAATCAAAAGATATTAAAAAAAAATGAGAAAAGCATTATTATTAGTTTCTTTTGATCCTTTAGTTTAGTCTGTTATTTCTAATAAAAATATACCCCATGCTGTGTGGGTGTGTGTGTGTTGGGTTTATTTACCCTCGCCACCGGTATAAAACCATTTGGGCAAGCATATGCTTCATTTATGATAGGGAAAAATTGTATTTAGTTAAATAACTGCATATGTGGCTAGTGAGTGCCATATTTCCTGCCCTAAATCGGCAAATAATTGCCGTAGATGAAGCCGGAAAAAGGTGAGATTATATCCCACACTAAGATTAAAAACTGTATTAAAAACCCCATGCTGTTTTAGTTTGACACTAATTTATTTGTTGATATATAAATGTTACAGTGTGGTCCAGATGTACATCTAGTTAACTTCAAGTTTAAAAGAGGATCAGTTCTTCCAACTATACCAACATCGTAAGTTTTGTCAGTGTTAGTTACAATGTTTAATATGATTAGCTCTAAAGAAAACTCTATCTTTTTTCTGGAACTAATTAGAACTAGTCTGATGAAAGATGGTTGTGACCTTAGTGGGGCTATCCATGATCCCTGGGTTTAAAGGTAAGACAACCTTAAACACTAGGCCATCACTCTTCTTGCAGGGATTTTTATGTCTAAATACAAAAACTTGGAAGTCAACAACATAGAGTCTTCTTAGTCACTTGATCTTGCTCTGATGAATTATAATTGTTGGGTTAACATGGTGAAAATTTAAAGTAAGCCAACTGTAAAGAGCCTGATCAGACTCCATGGATGTGCAGACTGGCCTGACTCAATACTGTTGATAAAAGCTAATCATTTGGTCCTAGGAGGTTAAAGGCCAACATGAAATCACTCTTCTTCCACTTCACAACAGTAGGTGTCAATGTATATTTATGTTGATATATTATAGATATACAGGATGTGTGGCTGGTTGTGATGATATATTAACTACAGACATAGGCATTAAAGTTTCTAGATCTTCTACACAGACTACACAGAGAAATAATGGTATGTTATTCATATCTATTTAAATAGCTGAATATTTGATCTATATTAAATGAAACTGGTTATTGTTTACATATGTGAAATTATTAGGCTCCTACAATGCTAAAGGGATAAAAGTAAAACATTGTGGTATAAGAAAAATGTAGATGATTTGTAATTAAGCATGATTAACACTTGTTGGAAACATGTTACTTCCTGCTAAGAAAGTTGAATACTGTGTAACAAGTGGCTTCCTTGACAGATTTCACAGATCTCCAAACATATGCACTTACTGCTGTGAGTTGGATTTTTTCATATCAGGAAGCTAACCAGCTAGCCTACAATAGGTCCATGGTTGTAATTAAATGTCAGTTTGTACCTGCACAAAGGGATACCTGAGCCTCCATCAGGAAAGCTGGATAGTCGCAATATGATGTTTACAGTGTTGGTGCCATATAAAACCCAACCAGCCAAAAAAGTAGAAAAGTACATTTAATATTATTCAGTTTTAGTTTTTAACAAATTGCAAGATTTATGTGTGCTTACTATTTTTTAAAACTACCGGTATTTCATTGTCGTGACAACAGGTCCTATGAGAAGTCAGAATGATTCTGGTATAGGGAGTTCTCTTAATTCTTCAACAAGTTCTGTATCATCTAGAAACTACTCTACACAATCATCTACACAGTCTGTCAGTGCTAGAAACAGTTATCCTAATACTGCAAGGACCAATCAAAATACATTTAACAACTCTAGCTTTACATCACCTCCTAGCCAATCAAATCAATGGAATTATAATAGAACCAATCAAAATACAGCTAGGAATTATGAGACTTCTAGGACACCATTGGCACCTTTGGCAGGAAGTTCAGGGAATTCTGGGAATTCAGAGTCAGGGAACAATGTGGTGTGTAATTGTGGGAATGATGCAATACAACTTACTGTGAGGAAAGAAGGACCAAATACTGGTAACAATTTTAGTTCCAACACATTTTAAGATTAACATTCAAACAGTAGAAAAGATAAGTTTGAAACAGTTATCTACATTGTTAATGACATTATTGATGTTTTTTTCCTATAATGAATTTATGTAAGGCCAACTATTCACACTAAGTATATGCTACGATTTATGCCATTAATTAGGGATTTAGAAATAGCCCGGTAGATTTAGAAATTTTCAGATATTTGAAAGACCCTGGTAAAATGCAATAAATCAGTTTTAAAGTTTAATATAAATTATACATGTATAATTATTTTTACAGGGCGACAGTTTTATAAATGTGGAAGTTCAGCATGTAATTTTTTCCTGTGGTCAGATGAGGCTGGTAATGATGGAGGTGGTGGTGGTAGTGGTGGTGGCGGGCATACCACGAACAGGTGGTTATACTATTATATGATATTTTCTCCAACTTTATACTTTTATTTCTTGAATAATCAGTGTTGTGTCATTTATCTTTTGCTTTTCCATTTTGCATCCTGTTTATCTTCATTACTATGGTGATTTTTTTGTACTTTAAATGTATAAATTATTCCTTAAGTATTGAACAATAATTCGCTGGCAGTGGTGATTTGTTTAGAGTGACAAATGTACTTTATTGTCTGAAAAAAAAAAAAATATGTGTTAATGGGGTTACAAAGATCATTTGTGTAGTAAAATAAGATTGATTGATAAGTATTGCTATATTGAAGGAAGCATCCTTTCTTATGTGATTCATCATAGGTCTTGTTATATTTAGAGTAATTTTGACAATTTCTATGGTCATTTATATATTTTAGCATAAAATACCATATTCTTCCAGATGTATTTGTGAAAGAGCAATATTTTATATATCAATCTATATATTACTAAATTATTTAATTACTTTTTACTACATTGTCAGATCAAGCTCAACCAGTTACACCAGTAACCGTTACACAAACAACAACAACTTTAATCCTCCACCTAGTAATCATAGAAATCAAAATACAGATCCTGGTGAGGCAGTGACATGTCAGTGTGGTCAGACAGCAAAAAGGTAAATATATAATTTGAGTCGCGTCATGACGAAACCAACATAATGGGTTTGCGACCAGCATGGATTCAGACCAGCCTGCGCATCCGCGCAGTCTGATCAGGATCCATGCTGTTCGCTTACAAACCCTATAGCAAATGCAGAAACTGATAGCGAACAGCATGGATCCTGATCAGACTGCGCGGATGCGCAGGCTGGTCTGGATCCATGCTGGTCGCAAACCCATTATGTTGGTTTTGTCATGACGCGGCTCATATAAGGAAAAAGGGATTTATAAATATTTGTTTATAAACTGTTAACTGAATTAGTCAGACAGATTGAATTGTTTTTGTACACCCTGGAATATTCTGATACATGTACTCTGTGTTGAAATACCCTGGTGATAGTCTCTGTTATTGAATGATAAACAAAAGACCCAAATTATAAATTGAATGAAATTGTGGCATTTTTCTTGCTTTTAATTGTGAAATATTTCTTGTTGAATTAATCATTCTTTAATATAGTCATCTTTTCTTTATTCACAGTTTAACTGTCCAAAAAGAGGGACCAAACAAAGGGAGACAATTCTATGCATGTCCCGCCCCACGAGGAGAGGGTTGTAATTTCTTCCAGTGGGCAGATGATCAGCCTGGGGGAGGAGGATTTTCCTCAGGTAAATATACATGTTAATTAGTGACTGGTTATTCTAGAGTCAAAATAATGCCACAAATTAATGAAAAACAATGTTCTACAAGAACAATATGTTGTTAATTGCTTTCCAAGCACATTTGAATGTCGAAGTGAATGATTAATTCTACGTTGAAATTCATCTTTTTTTAACTTGGTACAAAAAGAAATTATTATGCAAAACTATTTTTTGCCAGAATTTTTCGTAATCTGATAACATATTTTTTTGTTTTTGTTTTTTTCATATTCCAGTCACATAAAACGGTAATGAACATGCATTTGTTAAGGATTATGGCATAGAAAGAATAAAAGGAGTAGAAATTACCCCAAAATCACTAAGCACCCAAGAAAACTTTCAAATTCACTATTGAATAAACATTCATATTCCTTCCTTGCTTTTCATAAAATAGTACTCTATCCTGGGTAAACCACTTACATACCACACCTTACTGAATAGGTTTTATTTTTTTAATCAAAATTTTATTGTCATTTGTATGGTTGAAATATGCAGCAGGATAGGACCAATATTTTGTAAACAGAAAGTTTTAAATACATGCATTAACTGATTATCATTCAAATACTATGCTATAATTACATTATAACAGGAGGTGGTGGTGGTGGTAGAGGTAGGGGAGGAGGTAACGTTAGTCGAGGTGGAGGCAGGAAAAGATCAGCACCAGGTGATGACGGGGCACCTGTTAAAAGAGCAGCTAAGAAATGTGGGCTGTGTGGAACTGAAGGTAATTTAAGACTACGTGATTTACGTACAGATATTATGTACATTAGGGGGCTTGGTTTATTTTTGATTAAATACAGGGGTTTGAAATTAAGAAGTCGTAAGACTTAAAAGCTTATAAAACAGAGAATGATTTTGTTGTATTTGTTGATAAAACCAGAAGAAAATTACTTACTTAAACATATTCTCACATATAAGTATAATACTTTAAATTTAATACAGCGTTTTCTGTGTAATTCCATGTGTCATGGAGGGATTGTTAGGGAGTCAATATTTACTCAGTAATTTATTATTTTAGACTGCATTAAGTCACTTGGGCTAATGTACACTTATGCATGTTTATATAGAATTGTTGAATGGCATTCATATCATATGTTTATCCCAATACTATTTGCTGCACTAACATGCATTCATATGTTTAATGTATTTTTAGGTCACACCAAAAGAACATGTCCGCACAGATGACAAGTCCCATTTCATACGAAAGTTGATTGTTATTTATTTGTTAATTATTATAATAAATTTATGTGATATGCATATCTGTGTTACTCGGTATTTTCTTAAGTGTGGTTTTGTTTATAGAACTGTTTGTAAATAGTAATAAATACGCTCCATATTCCCACTGTTCCACAAAAAAAAACAGGTAAATAATTACGCGTATGTCTCTGTTGAAGCAGAAAACCCTAGAAGATTAAAGAAGAGTACACGCTTCAGATTACCAATTACAGATTACCAATTACGAGTATATCTAAAGTAATACAGTCAAATATTAATTCTGAATTATAACTGCAAATCATTACTTGAATAGAATAACCCCGACCTTGAACGTTTTGTAGTATTAAACCGCATTAGATAGCGGAACAATCACTGAATTCAGAAACAAAAGAAAACTTGTATGTTTAATTTATAAAACAAAATTGCTGCTTTAAAAAAAAGTCCGACACAAATATACTGTAATGTTTTCTAATATCTGAATTACTTAGTATTTTAAATGCTATTGACCTCACCATGTACATGAATTATTGTTCCGGGATGCAATTTGAGATTGTAATATGTAACATTTTATAGACTAGAAATCCTTGAAAGAACCATAGACTACTACCATGATCCTGCCAGTTTGTCCGTCAGTCAAGAAACAGTTCGTCATACTGTTAAAAACAACCCAAAGTATCGGAACAATGTCTTGCAGCATGGATCTAACATGTACATGCCATTGAACTGTTGGCATATATTTGATTGTTCCCTATATAGACGAGGAGATAAGGAATGACGTATATAAAACTAGAGTTCATTTATTAATCTGTCATTATCACACGTTAGTAAACTGATAAAACAATGAAACTTGCCATCTGTGTACTTGCTGTAATTGTAGGGCTTAGTCAGGTAAGATATTTTACTTTGATATACATGTACTTTTGTCTTGTCATCTTAGATACGCAATACTGTCAAAATTGGCTAGAGAGAGTATTCAAAAAAACTTTACAAGCTTCCTACTCAATCCGTAATTTTTATTATATGTACTTTATAATGTAAATGTGTGGATTTACTGGATTATAAATAAAATATTGTTTAAACTAAAATTGGCTGATTCACGTATATTCAAGAAGCTTATTATTTCCATTTTTTTTTTCTTTTTAAAAATGTCCAGTTCAAAGCTTATTTCAAAACACAAGTAATACGTTTGAAAAAAATACGAAAAATAGGGCAACAATGCCTTCAGATTATGTTATCTTTGTCTCCTGCATTATTTCAAAAACAAGATTCCATGCACATTTAACTGTCAGTTTGTTTGCTGCCATCTATCGTATATCTGATATTAGTTTTTGAAGTCCGGGAACTAGCGCGGAAAGATGTATGTATCAAATCATAAAATTGATGAATTGACTGACCACATTAAATAAGCCGAAATTGTGAAAGAAAATATGTTATCTGAATAGTATACATTTTTAATAACAACTTCTTCTTTTTCATGTTAATAGAAATAAGACTATTTTTGCCTTGAATAGGCTGCCGACACCACGCCCGCCCCCAAGGAATGTATGAGTGACTCGGACTGCATGGATACAGAATGTTGCTACAAGAAACATGAATTTCTCATAGTGAGCAAGAAACGTCAGGGAACATTTGAGGGATACCCAATCAACCATCAAGATTTAGCCCACACTAAAGGTATAATAATGATGTGATTACGTGAAGGTTTATATTTGGCACTTCAAGCTTTCGGTCATTGCTGCAAAAATGGACGACTGCGAATTCCATCAATTAGCAAAGCTTAACAAATTCCAACATGCGGCCTTTCATTTATTTCATAATCTCGGTACAATTTCTTATAGATCTTTCAGTTCTATGGTTATTGAAAATATATGTATTGCATTTTCATACTAATTCTACAATTATCAGTTTAAATTGTGTGCTTTTTTTCAAAAAAAAAATTGCACACACTTCTATAACTGATTTTTGGAAGAACAGAAAGTAGACGTACATGTATAACTGATAATAATCAGGTGACTAAGTCTGACTATTTTTTACCATATTTACTGCCAGGTGTATGTCAGAGTTACCATGACGAGGGAGATCACTGCAGTATGTATGACAAGAGAAATGGTTACTGTAGTTGTAACGACAAGAAAGGATTGTCCTGTCAGTTTGTCCGTCATCCAGTGACCAGCGTCAAGAGACAATTCGACAACGCCTTCGGATCATACCAATGCGCCAAACAACAATTACAAACTGTATCATAAACAATAAAACTGTAGTCGCGAGATGTATTCTGTAAAATAAAAAATAAAATTACTAGAAAATATTCACAGGTCTTTCATTAATGATTGATAATCAAACAAATGGTCTTCGTGATTGATTCAAGATCCATTCTTCTAATCTCTCCATTCGTCTCTCCTGGTTCCAACCTTGCTAAAGACTTAAAACTTTATTAGTTACTATTATGCTGAAAATAGTCAACTTGTTATATGAAGGGATGGCGTCCTCTTGTTCCTGGAAAAAAAGACGAAGGGCACGAGACCAGGAAAAAGATCACGTGATAAACTGAAGTCATAACCTTGAAAAAAGTTTATCGATATTCAGATACATGACCTCTTATAAATTTATAATGTTGGTCAATAAATACATAAAGTAGATTTAACAGCGTTGGAATAGATCCATGAAGCTGACTCGAAAGAGAATAATGTCATAAATATCCTTTTATTTCGTTCATTTAAACTTTAATTGTCCATGCTGATGAAAATGGAAGAAACTAACAAATCTTTTTTTTATATTATACTATTTTCAATATAAGTATTCACATAACTCATTTCTTATGAGATAAACATCTCACTTTTATAATTATTTCATGTCATTTCAGAAGTAACAAATTAAAGCACCCTTTTTATACTAATAATTTCTCGCTCATGAAGCGAAAAACATGTAAAACATGAACAATATCATTTCTCTTGCACAAAGGGGACTAAGACTATAGGTTTATCTTACATAAGCGTACGTGCATGATGCAAAGGGTAACTGATAAAAATCCGTGCAAAACGTTAACTCCGACAACACCGTTAGAAAGTATAATAAACAGAATTTTAAATAATATACATGTAGTAGAAAATACATTTTAATTACTTGTAGAATAACATATGGCAATGTCTGCAACAAATACTGATATCACACTCGATCTTAAGTAAATATGCATCAGGTTAAGAAATGCCGATTTCCGTATTACTAGTATTCATTGCGGGCAATGTTTTTGTATCAAAGATTAAAGCAATACACAGTTTGTGTACAAAGTTGGTGTGCACATAAGAACTTAAGCTCTTGTTATTTAAAATAAAGATTTGAAACAATGTAGTGACCGTACCTAAGGTTTCAAAACCAATTAAAAAAAACAACAACATTAATTATATCCTAACCATTCCAAGCAAAATGTCCGGAAAAGCAAAAATGCGTAAATAATAAATTTATTATCAAATACTCACTAGACCATGTAGATGAAAAACAATGAATATACGGAAATTTGTGTATGGGGAGGTTCCAGATTCCTTAATGACTTGTAGGTTATCATATTTATATATCTGCAGGATCAAATGTTTTAAGAACAAACTCGAAATGATTCTTCTTAAATATATGGATCAAGATTAGAATGAACATTGGCACATAACTCCATTAGATTTTGAACTTGTTGATTACGTTTTATTTTGAAATGATCAACTTATCTCTGACATCACACTGTCATATCTAGGCCTATTGAAGTTTTTTAACTGGCATGATTATATGTGTGTAATCTAGGCTTATTGAGGCTCCATCAGCCCTTTCAGGCACTGAGAGTACGGACCCCACTGACAAGATTACATACATTAATCACGTTAAGTAAAGGCCTATCACATAAACTCTGGCTGCTGTTACATTTTTTTTGACAATTAAAATGTTTTGTCCTGCATCCACGGCAATTGCAGTATTTCACCTTTGCTCTGTTACCCAATGTTCATTCCATTCATAGCATATTAGAATGCTTGAAAATTTTAATGAATAACCTAGTATTTTAAAAAGTATGGCGACCAAAAATCTTTATTTGTAAGTTAAGTGTCATTATCATATAAAGTAACGGCATATGGATATACATGTATAAAAGCCAGTCAGTCTGAGAGAAGTACCGGTATTTTGACTAAGGCCACAGACTATAATTAAACGAACTGTTTTCAGTTCAATTAGCTTTTCTAGATCTGGCAATTTAGTTTACAAGAAAAGAGGCAATATACTCAATTATAAACTGTTCGAATTCAAATGTGAGCGTATTTAAATGTGAACTGTACTGATTAACTCTACACAAGTATACACGTATAGTCGGACCACCTCCACATTGTGGGCGCAGCTGGTCTGAGGCCGATATATCAATGTGACAAATTAAATTGAAATTATTGCACACCTGTACGAATTCCATTCCTCAAAGATTGTAAATGAACTTCTTTTTAAACTGTAGATAAAATGTTAACTATATAAAACACGTCACTAATTACAGTTACCATTACTTATCTAACATTGTCTGCTAGTAGAACTATGAAATTTACAGTGTGTATTTTGGTGGTGATTCTTGTGCAATGCCAGGTATACTTTATCTTTTGTTCAATACTTTCACTGTGCATCAATACACAGTATAATCAACTTATTTATTAAATATATATCATTTCAACTTAGTTTTATAATTATTAATAAAAATGTGATATTCAATTAACGGTTGTACCTGCATCTTTAAAAGCCCTTTCTATGGTGGAAAAAAGAACACATGCTTACTCTATCTTCGTAATTACGAATTGGCAAAATTAATGAAGTGACCGAATGTTTAAAATGTTCATCACTTCCACATTTATTTTTATTTATTTTATTTATTTTTTAAGGCTATTCCAACAACTGTTGCCCCTAAGGAATGTATGAGTGACGCGGACTGTACGGCTGATGAGTGCTGTTACAAAGAGCCAGAGTTCCTCGTGGTCAGCAAGAAACGTCAGGTCCCACAACCATATAACCCCATTCATCCCGCTGACGCCAAAGGTATCTAGAAATTAATTGAATCTGTTTAAAATAAATAAAAGAGAACACGTGAACCAGTTTGAGTTACATTTATCTGGCATACTCTGCTACTAGTCTCATTACAATAAGTATCAACGAATATTTTTTTTTGCCCTGGATTCACCGTACTTTATAGTGATAAGGGAGAAAGAGCAATGAACGTAGACTAATTTCAAGCGACGGCCTTTTTCGAAACTTAAATTTCTGTAAAGTAGATAATGTCATGTTCAAGCTGTACAAGAACAGGTTTGCGGTATTGGCCCCCAATAAGTTCTGATCTTTTTACTCCACCGTCAGGAATTCATGGTAGACCTGTTTTTTCTTCCCTGTCAGTCTCTTAAGGAAAGGCTTTTGTTGTAGCGATTTTGCCCTACACTTAAATTGAAGAATCACTGTTATCACTTTTATACATTGTATTTAAATAAATTCATTCTATGCAAAGTTTAACAATTTTGCTATAAAAATTGTGTTGTTATATTACAGGTGTTTGTCAGGCATATTCTAATGAAGGTGATACTTGTGGATTTCTCGATAAATCTAATGGACGCTGTAGCTGTAATGATAAGAAGGGACTAACATGTCAATTCTCAAAAACTGACCCGACCTACAGCCCATACCCAATAGCTGGTCTAGGAATATACCGGTGTGCTATAAGTCCACAAGCTGCTTCCAAGAAATAAATCTTATTAAATGTAAAATGAATCGTTTATTAAATTATTAAAAATAAATAAATTGTTTCATTTGGTGTATAAATCACTTAGATTTTAATTGTCTTTTTTGTGTTGTTTTTCTTCTTTTTTTTTAAAGAAAAAAAAAAGATTGAATAAGTGGGTAAAGAATCAGTAGAAGATGGGCTGAACAAATACATGGGCACAGGAAGGATTTAAACCAGATACAGGAAGTAAACAAACTCAATACTGGAAATACACTGAACCGTTACAAAGTGCATAAACCCGTTACCGGATGGTAAACTGATCAGATACAAGAGTACAAGGGCCAGACGTACTTGTTACAGAATGTACATAATAGAAGAGATACAGCGGGCACGTGGACCAGACAGGGGGCACATGGGACAGGAAACAGAGATTCATGAGACGTTGAGTACACCGACCAGAAACAGGGAGCACACGGAACAGATACAATGAGTACACCGACCAGATACAGGGAGCACACGGAACAGATACAATGAGTACACCGACCAGATACAGAGAGCACACGGAACAGATACAATGAGTACACCGACCAGATACAGGGAGCACACGGAACAGATACAATGAGTACACCGACCAGATACAGGGAGCACACGGAACAGATACAATGAGTACACCGACCAGATACAGGGAGCAACCGGAACAGATACACAAGTACATAACCATTCAGGAGTACATTGAGCAGATATATAGAGTACAATTGGACCAGATACAGGTAGAACATGGATAAGAAATAGAGAGTATCTGGACAAGCTACAAGGATCACTTGGTCCTGATTAAGAAAATACAGTGGTATTTTAATCATTTACAGGGAGTGTATGGATCAGATCTAACTAATCCTGAAACCTTCTTGATGTAATTTTAACCAGTTTACTTAAACAAAAATAATCATGACAGTAAAACTTTAATAGTGAACCCAATTACTTGGATATAGCTGTATATATATGTTAATTCCATAACTGAAGAAAGCTTATCAACATATTTAATATGAGCAAACAGCATAAAATGGAATAATCACAGTCATCCTTTCATTTTATTTCCACCAAACTTCAACCAAGTATATACAATTTAAAGATAAATGTAAAACAAGAGGGCCATGATGGCCCTGAGGTCGCTCACCTGTATATAGCCCCCCCCCCCCCCCCCCCCGGTCCAATTTTTACCCAAGGGCTTTTATTTGTTTATTTGAACAGACTTGGTAGACACCCATAAAAAGATGTTTCATGCAAAACATCTAAGTTCTAGCTCACTGGGTTTTTTAAAAGAAGATTTTTTAAGTTTTTACTATACACATATAGTTAAAAACAATGACACCCCTTGGGCAGGGCCAGTTTTGACCCCTGGGCTTTTATTTGAACAAACTTTGTAGATATTTACTTAAAGATGTTTCATGCTTAATATCTAAACTCTAGTTATTTGGGTTTTTTCAAAGAAGATTTTTAAGTTTTTGCTATGTATATAAGGAAAATCAATGACCCCCGGGGCGGGGCCAGTTTTGACCCCAGGGCTTTTATTTGAACATACTTGGTAGACACCCATTAGAACATGTCTCATGCTAAATATCTTAGCTCTAGCTCTTTGGGTTCTTTAAAAGAAGATTTTATAAGTTTTTACTATATGCATATAAGGAAAATCAATGACCCCCTGGGGCGGGGCCAATTTGGACCCCAGGGCTTTTATTTGAACAAACTTGGTAGACATTCACTAGAAGATGTTTCATGCCAAATATCTAAGCTCTAGCTCTTACAGTTCTTTAAAAGAAGATTTTTTAAGTTTTTACTATATGCATATAGGGAAAATCAATGACCCCCTGGGGCGGGGCAATTTTGACCCCAGGGCTTTTATTTGAACAAACTTGGTAGACATTTACTAGAAGATGTTTTATGCCAAATATCTAAGCTCTAGCTCTTACGGTTCTTTAAAAGAAGATTTTTTAAGTTTTTACTATATGCATATAGGGAAAATCAATTACCCCCCAGGGCGGGGCCAATTTTGACCCACGGGCTTTTATTTGAACAAACTTGGTAGACATTCACTAGAAGATGTTTCATGGCAAATATCTATGCTCTAGCTCTTTGGGTTCTTTAAAAGAAGATTTTTTAAGTTTTTACTTTATGCATATAGGGAAAATCAATGACCCCCTGGGGCGGGGCCAATTTTGACCCACGGGCTTTTATTTGAACAAACTTGGTAGACATTCACTAGAAGATGTTTCATGCCAAATATCTAAGCTCTAGCTCTTACAGTTCTTTAAAAGAAGATTTTTTAAGTGTTTACTATATGCATATAGGGAAAATCAATGACCCCCCGGGGCGGGGCCAATTTTGACCCCAGGGCTTTTATTTGAACAAACTTGGTAGACACTCACTAGAAGATGTTTCATGCCAAATATCTAAGCTCTAGCTCTTAGGGTTGTTTAAAAGAAGATATTTAAAGATTTTTCTTTCGGTTGCCATGGCAACCAGAGTTCTGCATGGAATTAAATTCTTTGAATAATTTTTAAAGGTGACCACCAAAGGAACATTCCTGTGAAGTTTGGATGAAATTGGCTCAGTGGTTTATGAGGAGATGTCATTTAAAGCAAAAGTTTACGGACGGACGACGGACGGACGGACGCCGGACGAAAAGCGATCACAAAAGCTCACCCTGTCACTTTGTGACAGGTGAGCTAAAAATAGTTAAATCTAGGCATTTATTTAATTACCCACCAAATCTTATCATCAAGGCAAATTCATACATAAACACTAACAGTCCTTATTCAAAACAATATAAAATATTTTTAGTAATTTACTTTAAAGTATGTTTCCTTGCATGAGATTTAAGATTATCTTTCCGAGAGAAAGATTTGTTACAAACATCGCAGGTAAAAGGTCGTTCACCTGTGTGAATACGTCTATGTCGCTCCATATCACGTAACTGACTAAACTTACGTTTACATAAATCACACTCGTATCTCTTGGCAACATGATTCACGTTCTTTATATGATACTGAAGCGCTTCAACTGTGAGGAACTTGTCCGGACATAACGGACATTTTACCCAATCTTTCTCTAACTTAGAACCACTAACAATTACAGACTGAGAATTTAGAGGTTTTTTAGTGTTTGGGTCTCTACCAGGTTTTAAATTAAACACACTTTCAATCAGAGATTTACTAGAGTCCTCAACATTATTATAATAACTAACAATTGGTAAATCTGTCAACAAAAGTCCGTCAGCTAGCTCCTCTAGGTTTATATGAGGGAATGATGTCTCAGAGTCTTCCCCAGCAACTTGAATACTGATTATATCCTGTGCCTCGTCATGACCAATGTTAACAGCTGAGGGTGATATAGGGAACTGACTAATGTGTGATTTGATGGGAGTTTCTGGGCTTGAGATGCATGGGGGTTTTATAACTTCCGAGTTGTCCTCGTCATCACTAGCTACTCCTATATTGTATCTTGGTAGTTTCGGTTTCCTGTGTGAAGCTCTGGAGCCATCTGCAAAAAGAAATATTTCCAGATTTGTAATTCTGTAAAATCTATATATTCAATATGAAAGATTGCTTGCAATGACATTAAAGTATGTCAGCATATCTGTAAACTATCAGTGTAAAAAGATATGAACTAAGTCTAACTCATCAAATTTATCCAAACAGATACACCACAACCAATGTGCCCTGCTGATAACAGTGGTTATAACTATTGTCCTACTTTTTCATACTGTACTATTGTTTTAAGAGAATTGTCCAAAAATAATGCAACTAACTCACATTTCAATGTGATGATGACAAAATTATAATTGGTTTTACATTTGTCAATACCAGCAAAGCTACAAACTGTGCTCAGCTATTGATTGCATCAAGTTGTTAGTTAAAGTCTGTTTAAAATCAACTATGATGGTTTCCTGCTTAAATTACACCAATTAAAGCCCTGATTACAGCAATCAATAAAAGTACATGTATATAAAATGCTCTGACACATAGAAAGATAAACAATGTATTTATGTAAGAATAAAAGAAAAAATCAAACCTTTTAATTTTGTAGGGTCACCATCATGTAGATGTTCCACACTAGGAGGAGTAGATACATTAGGACTGTCATTATTTAAACTGTCATTGTTGCTATGGTAACCAGCTGGTGTTGTTCTAGAATTATTAGAGCATGTTGTCATATTGTTATCATGATCACAGTCACTGGTCTGAACTGTGTGCTGCTTTATAGCATCATCCTTCGTTATACGCTGTGTGATTTCATCTATTTTACTTGATAAAGTTTTCTTTGTTTTGTCTTTCTCCTTCCCATCTAGGGCATGCTTGGTTACACTACTGACTGAATGAACACTCTGGCCATTTGATTCGTCCAGCAATGATTTAGAATGGTCCAGTGATTTACTGCAGCTGTCAGCAGTATTCAGGGAACCAGATTCCAGAAATATTTTTCTCTTTCCATGATTTGGATCATCTATTAAAACAACAGGCGGCATTTTGAGAAGTGAGAATCCTGCTGTATTGCTAACATTTGGAGTAGAAAAGTTTGTAATCATAGAGGTCACTGAAGGAGAATTTGATATGTCTTTACTCTGACAGGATGACGTCATTTGATGCATTGTTACAATGGTTTGATTGGCTGAAAATTCTGGTGATAAAACTCGAACCTTCTTTACTGGTGTATCTTGCAAGATAGTATTTTCTGTTTGAAGCTTTGGCCCTGTACTTCTTTTCTGTTTTCTTTTTGTAGTTTTACATACAACTTCATTGGCGGTTGATATGCTACTTTGTTTTAAATTTGCATTCTGTGAACAGTTTGTAGACACTTGTGTGTTATCTTGTAATAAATTAAAATCTGCATTAACTTTAAATCCTGTTATATTTTCCTGATTTGGTACATGTACACTGGAAACTGGTACAGTTTTAACAGGTGAACTTTTCAGATTTCCAAACAAGTTGTATAAAGTATCGGGGCATAGTAAAGATGTAGTTTGTTCTAATTTTGCTGAAGATGTTACACTTGGATTTTTATCAGTAACTTTTACTGGGGAAATGTTAGATTGTAAATTTGATAAAAACTGTGGGACAACTGGAGTATTCATAGGAAAATTCAAAATGTCCTTTACAGCGGACTGGTTTATAGTTGGTAGATTTGTAAATTGTCCCGACACTGAATGTGCAACAAATGGTAAATTAGTTACTGGCTGGCCAGACAACAATGTATTAAGTGGAGACATCATTTTGTTTGAGTTCTGTCTGGGGATACAGTCAACTTTGTCATGCTGTTGAATGTTTGTCATTACTGGAGCATCTTTAAAATTATCTGTTTGATTTGTTAAAGAGTTAGAAATTGTTTGCTGTGGCTGCCCCTGGTTGCTAGGCAACAGCAACCTGTGAGTTTCTGCTTGGTTACCTAGTAACAATAAATTATGAGTATCAGCTTGGTTGCCTGGCAACAACAAATTATGAGTATCAGAAGTAGGTTCTCCACTTATATTATCAACAAATAACTTCTTGTTAAACAGGTGATACCCTGTACCACTAGACTGAGTTAATAAGGTTGAATTTAATTGGGGAAACACAACACTTCTTGACTCTGATAACTTTAAAGCATTTTTTTCAAATGGCCTTGAACTTTCTGCCTGTGTTGACCTTGTACTCAGTTTTCCAAAATCTCCTATTTCTGTTAATTTACTGGTTCCTGCATGTATAAACTCAAACCTTTCTGACTGAGATAGAATGGTGGAACCATCATGTGACATTGTAGTACAGGCTGGTTCCCTCTCAGTGGTAGTAGATTTCAAAGATTCTGAAAGTTGTTCAGCCATGACTCTATCACCTTTAAGGTCAACATTAGGAGGTACTATTACCCTCTGACATGCAGTTCTCTGACCAGGTGGTTCAGCTGTATGGTATTTCTGCTTCCCTAAAACAGTAAAATAATTATCACTGTAATTTTATCTTTCACATAATAAACAAAACCACCTTTACTTATTCAGCTTGCTTTACTCAACCATTAACATAATACAAACATAATTTGGTTAATTGGTTATCTATCTTGGAAACCCAGTACACCATATCAGCAAAATACTTTTTTATATGAAAATGCCAGCCTTTGCTACTTTTCTGGTATGAAATCCGACCATTTTATGACTCATATAGAATCATTTATAAAAGGTTAAAAGTTCACCTTTAGCTTGCTGGTGGCAACTAATTCTACCCATGCAGCCAATGAAGACCAAGATCATACACAGTTTGCAATTCTGACAGTAATTATTTTGAAAATTTTCCCTACCAACGACTAATGGTTTTGTCTAAATTGAAAGATGGACAAGTTCATAAAGACATGGTAATGGCTAATTAAAACAACTTAGTTAAGCACAGAATAGCAGAAAGGGTTGAAGTAATAACCTTGTAAACAATGAGTCAGGAACTGAGACTTGATGTCATCTCTCATATCTAAAAACCCCTGACCTCTCTCAGATTCCAGGTGACTTAATGTTCCTGCTGTAAGATTGGCAGAGAGAACAAGAGTTTCCTCCCCTGCATGATCCTGTAACTGCTCCACCTGTCATAAAATAAACAACATTAGGATAACTATTATATACTTCAATACAAAATTGCATCTATAATCTAATCTTAATTTTTATTCTGGATGACAATAAATAATTCTACTTACATCTTTTTATTCATGAAAAAAATTGAGCAGATTAAAGCCTGAATGTTTTTATGTAAGGTACTGATTTAAATTTCAAAAAAAACTTTTTGTTAAGATATAAATCATCCGAAATACTGTAAAGGACTCTCCAGCTTTAGTGATGAACAATATCCATGCATTCATTTCAGGCACAAGTGGGCACATGACCATTGACCTTCAATATGCTAGCTCAATTGCTTTCTCGCATAAAAGAATCTCAAGTCACTGGCAGGGATTTTAACGTCAGTGCAGTGAAATTGAAAAGCAAGTGATTCAAAGTCAAGCCTCAAGGACCTTTACAACTTTACTATGGTGGCCCCTAAAATAGAATTATTTCATACAATATATCAGATTCTGACATTTTTCATTTACTTACCAGATTTTGTATCTGAGTTTTAAGGACAAATTTCAAAATCTCAACATAGCCAGGTATATCCTGTATACTAGATACATCCAACACCTTCATGTTGGTCACTAATGTTGAGACAAGACCTGAAATATTGTTGAATGTACATTATGATATATGAAATATAAATAATTGATGACAGATTGGGAGTTTGCCTTAAGCCTGTTTTTTACCAAAATCCTTGATCAAGCAGATGTGCTAATCTGGCAGAAGGTAAACAAAAGTTTCACCTGTGTGTTGTCAAAACATGACAACATTAGAGTATTGACCTTTTCAAAAACCAAGCTAAACACCGTTTTCCGGTACGTTACGGATTTAGCTCTGGGGAATTACACCAAATGAAGTACGTAACACAGTTACAAGATATTTCTATTTTTCTATCATTATTTTACCGTTAAAGGTGAAAATATGATGCATTTGAAAATTATCAATATTCCTTTATTAAATATCTATTGCAATTTTTTCAAAAATAAATTGTTAAATCAATAAAATTGAAACAGACGTAGTGGTATCTTCCATAAAGAAAAAATATAATTATTATTATATTTGGTGGTTAAATTTGTTTTCGCCTCAGAATTTCCAATAGAAACGTTCGTTAAATCTTCTGTGTGTAGAATAACGAATTTTGGAAACGTTGATAAAACTTTGTTTGTTAATTTTATTTCACTCTATAATTTTTCAAGCGAAATAAAAATTATTAAAAGTGAATAAATGTAAAACTTAACTCGTTTGCGACATTAAAATAGCGTACTTGATTTGATTGTTTTGCATGTGCTGTTTGGCGCTACATTGTGACGTCACGTAAACAATACTTTAAACGTCTGTACATCGTTAACGACTGAATAAAAGATATTGATGTTCGAATTCATTTTCTTAGTTAGACCATTTTCTTTCATTCTAGATAGTTTTCACAACAAAATTCGACAAAAAATTGTTTTTATTTATCACATTTTTCAAACAAAATGGCGCCCTCAATGTGAAAATACACAGGGAGATAATAAGAACGGCGAGTGCATTGTTGTAGAATAATGCACGCTTCGGTGTCTTTGTTTATATAGAAACGTTTTCGATAGTGTGATTAAAGGTAGTTTGCCTAATAAAATTCTTTAAAAAAACGGTGACAGGATAAATAGAATAATAGATTGGTGCCGTGAATGGAAAAAGTTTATCTGGATCTGCTCCGGAATTTATTGGGTTCGCCTTTGGCTCACCCAATAAATTCCTCCGCCTCGCCAGATAAACTTTCTCCATCCACGGCACCAACCTATTATTCTCTATGTACAGGCTAAGTCAAACCGAGCCTGCAGCATTTTCAATTTTGGGCGTTTTTCTCCCTTTTAAATATTTGTTAAAAAAAAATAAAAAATTACTTTTAATAGAATTTTATCCTAAAAAATATATATTTAATATCGACATTAATGAACTTTATGTTTTAGCGTGATATCAATGCTATCTTACCTGAAATGATTTGTCCAAAGTGTTCTTTTGTTAATGGAAAATAAATCCTTCAAATTTAGTACAAATGGCGAAAATTATAAAAGGGAAGCAACTACAACTGTACTGTATGACATATTTAGTTTTATTCACGTTCCATACCGTACAAATTCGATTTAAGGCTCATTGTACCAAATCTTAGTGGTTTTCAAAAAATTATTTCTTATAAGTAGTTGTAAAAGTCAAATTTGGACTTAAAAATATATTTTATACTTTTATATATACTTAATCAGAAATATTTTATATATACTTAAATCATTATTTTCAACTTTTCTGGGGCTTATTTAGACCTAGTTTTTTCATACAAAAAAGAGACAAAATGTACTATGGAAATTTGAGGCTTGTAAAATTCCTTATTAGAAATTTTTAATGACAACACCTTTTTGAAGTTTATGAAATATGAAAATAGAAAATACATGGTTGATGTCGGGATGGAGAAGGTTTATCCGGTGAGCGAGAAAGTGTATCCTGTCGAGCTTTAGTAAGTTCTAATTAGAGACTAAATATCTAAATTACATTTTTATTTCTTATTATTAGTCTTTTTTATTTTACATATTAAGGGTAAAAAAATTCTACTTGGGTTTTTATGTAATCTAATTATGCTTAAGGACTTTGTAAACAAGCAATTATCATAGTATTGCAAGCAATCCATAAGTCCCCTACCGGTTAGAACCCCAGCAACTTTCTGATGGGCCATTGGCCAGTCAATTTTACCAGTGAATGAATGACATGAATGAACTTAAATCTTTTGAGTTCTAAGTTTGTCTATATCACAGTAATGTGTTAAGTTTCCCTGCCTAGTAAGGAAATTATGTTTATACAACCTTGTCATATTATTATGATGTGGGATTTTAAAGTAAATCCTATAATAAATGAAGAAGTTGGAGTGAAAAATACCAATTTCTCGAAAAAAATCTAAGTTCAAGGGGGACATAATTCTGGAAATAGTCTTGCTAGAGTATTTAACCTTCTCAAAAATGTTGAGTGATAATAAGAAACATATATATGAAGTTTGAAGTAGATACATTAGGAAATGAAGAAGTTATTTAAAAAAGACAACATTTTTTTCATAAAAATTCTAAGTTCAAGGGAGGTAATACTGATAATTTTTGTGCTAAAGTTGTAAACCTTGTCACATATGATGTGGTTGATGACCAGAAACTTATATTTAAAGTTTGAAGTAAACACCTTAAGAAATAAAAAACTTATAGTGAAAAGCTGAAAAATTTAAATCAGAAATCTTGAAATTCAGGCTATTTGTTGCCATAGCAACCAGAATTTTCAACATAGGAAGAAAAAAAAAGACGTGTATAATCTCCATACTGCCATCTATCCATATATCAAGTTTCATAAAAATATTTTCAGTACTTTTTGCGTTATAGCGGGATCCAGTTTATGTGTTCAATTTGCCATATTTTCAGGCTATTTGTTGCCATAGCAACCAGAATTTTCCACATAGGAAAAAAAAAAAAGACGTGCATAATCTCCATACTGCCATCTATCTATATATCAAGTTTCATTAAAATATTTTCAGTACTTTTTGTGTTATCGCGGGATCCAGTTTATGTGTAAAATTTGTCATATTTTCAGTCTATTTGTTGCCATAGCAACCAGAATTTTCAACATAGGAAGAAAAGAAAAAGACGTGCATAATCTCCATACTGCCATCTATCCATATATCAAGTTTCATTAAAATATTTTCAGTACTTTTTGCGTTATCGCGGGATCCAGTTTTGTGGACGGACGGACTGACGGACGGACAGACGGACGGACTGACGGACAGACGGACGGAGGGTAAACCTAAAGTCCCCTCCGGTAAACCGGTAGGGGACTAATTAGGGCTTTTTAAGTCCTAACTAGGAGTTACCAAGTCCTAATTTTCTTTATTTTTCCTAATTAGGCTTTTATAACTGAAAATTAAGCTGTTTATGTCCAAGGAAGGCATTTTTAAAATTTCTAACTGGGAGTGAGTTCTTTCACAGAACATAAAGATTTGGCCCAGCTAGGATGCATCAGTACATAGTGGTTTCTGATCTAGTGAGTGGACTTAAACAATTTCGGTAAGAAAATTATTTTTGTAATATTTCTTCATACATGTAGATAGCCACATTATATGGAGCGAAATATAAAGGTTAGTTCACATTTGATTAAAAGATAAAGTTGCGAGAGTGGAGCCTGAGTGATTATCATTTAGTTCAATGCAAACTAAGGTATGCAGAACATTATATTCCTCCTGTTAAATCGATTTTTGCCATTTGTATTTAATTAAAAACAGTTTTGTGAGAATTTAGTTTATACTGATTTATTTTAGTTTGTGTTGGAAACTATAAGCTTACTGAAACACTTGCGAATCAGTTCCTGGAACGAACCAGTACTAAGCAATGAGTGTAAAGCTTTTTGCTCAAGGAAACAATAGCTTGCCCACGACAGGGTTTGCACCCAAGCAATCAGCAGCCAGACATGACCATCTATTCACAAGCATTATATGACTTTGGAGTTTAAGGTTTGACTTTGAACTCCCACTTGCTCATAAAACGTCTTCATCATATGAAAAATTGATGGCAAATTATGCAGCTATGTTTTTTTGTTTCTATAAAGTTCAATGTACTCATTTCATCTTTTGTATAAGTGTGTAAAACATCGTACCTTTCAGCATTATTGTTGTAGATATTTCATTCCATGGGGTGTCCAGGTTTTTGATTTTCTAGTATGTACTTATGTTCTCAGTCGTTCATTTATGTTCTGTTGCATTGTTTAGATAATAAATAAATTGTCTTGACACTACCATCAATGTTCTTTTATAAAATACCGGTATTCTTTACAAGCCCTTGCGTTGCTATGGCCTTTGACCTACAAACCTGGATATTCCATTTGACATATTCTCTAAATGTGCTACACATTTGTTCAGTATTATTTTTAAAAACCATCAGTGAATCACAAAGATACGGCTGGACAAAAAGCGGACAACTAAAAAATTATATGCCATCCTAAGTTAAGTGGGCAGAAACAACAAAAAATATTCTGATACAAAGATTACTTTCTCCAAGTTTATTCAGAGTTATGCACATACTTTAGAGACAGAAGTCATCTGATGTCAGCACATCAAAATATGTCTTCAATCCACGATTTCCAGTACTTAATTGACGCACATAATAATTAAGGTTTACAAGATTATGTTTCAGTTACCAGTAGTTTGTTTATTTGGGTTTTACGCCACACCGACACATTATAGGTCATATGGCGATATTCCAGCTTTACTGGTGGAGGAAGACCTCAGGTGCCCTTCCGTGCATTATTTCAGGCACGAACGGGCACCTGAGTAGAACCACCGACGTTCCGTAAGCTAGCTGGATAGCTTCCTCACATGAAAGAATCCAAAGTCCCTGTCGAGATTCGAACCCACAGCAGTGAGGGGTAAGTGGTTTGAAGTCAACGACCATAACCACACGGCCACGGACGCCCCATTACCAGTAATGTAAACTGAACTCTAAATCCAGATATTAATGCATCTTCCAGTCTTCTTGACATTCAATAAAACAAACACAAATAATTAATAGAACAATCTTTTTATTCTTTTTTAATAATAAAATGAATTTTGAAAACTCTGAATAGATCTACAAAATATCTTCATAAAAATGGAATGTTAAATTGGCCAACCATAATTTTAACACAGAAATAAGAAACCTGAATAATTGTACACTTTTTTATATTCTAACAAGTTTTGATTTTGTAAACACACACATTATGTTGAAAAATATATTATTAGCTATTCTGTTTATTATTAGCTTTTCTGTTTATTAAATATATACAAAAATTAATGAATATTGTAATATTTCTCTAAAATTTCTCAGAAACTACAGTATGTTATACAGAATAACTGCTCCTCTTTTATTTTAATGCCATGACTAATATGATTATGTTATTACAGATCTTTTAAGAAAAAAAAAGTGATGATATTAAATATAGATATGTTATGACAATATGGCATGTTGTTCAGATTAGCTACAGATCTTTTAAGACAATGTGTTATGTTACAACTTTGTATACAAAGTAACTACAGATCTATTACGACATTATGGCAGTTTTAAGTATTAAAAATAGCTACAATCTTCTATGACAAATGATGAACTAAAATTAAGAATAGCTAAATATGTTAAACGACTAGTGTGCGAATAATTAGAACAGCCAGCTAGAGATTCTTCTACCACTTCAATGGTGCTCAAATTTAAGAACAGCTACAGATCGTCTGCGACATTTTGGTGTGCTAGTGTTGGGAATAGCTACAGATCTTACAGGATAATATGGCACACATATTGATATAATTATTACATAAATGATATTTCACTGAGATATACATGTATTACCACCACCGTACTGTTGTTTTAATTGTACATATTTGCATGAAACTATTTTTACACTGTTAACATAAAGCAAAATTTGAAAAAGCAAATGGAAAACTCCAGCGTTATTGTACAGGAACACAATGTAGCTATTTTAATTATCACAAGAAAATCACATTTTAAATTTTACTTTTTTTCCAAAAACTCACTTATCTCTAGTCATATAGAAATTTTACAGAAAAACAACTTGGCACATCTAGATATTTTAATAAGGCACACATTATTCAATAATCTTTAAAAAAGAAACATATAATAAAGTATTATATTTTAGTGTCAGACTTTGTTTTTTATGTAAATATTAGTAACAAATTGTACCCTGTTGAAGATCAGATACTTTATTTTTAAACACAAGAATTAAAAAAACTACAATAGATTTATCTTTTTTCATAAAAAGTTAACTTGTCAAATTCTGATCATAGAAAAGGTTGAATTATTAGTCATTAAAAAATATCATGTTTACTGCAAAGTTTTCTCTGGGAAAAATAATAACAAAAAAACAGAAGCTTATAAGATATGAATCTATGTTCATAATCAGCTACAAATATCTGGAACAAAACATTGAACATTTTAACAAATTTACAGCACTTCGTTGTAGGAATTAATCCTGCCACATTACATAACATTACAAAAATGTATACAAATATCACTTGATATTCCAACAGAAAACATTTGATTCTAATGCTAAAACATAAAAACCATGCAAAGACTGTAAATATAGTTAGTATAGCTGAAAAAGAAGGTAAATAAATTTGATATTATACCATAATGTACTCATAGTAAATTTTTTTTTTATAATTTTTTTATTTGATTGCAATGCAATGCATCTATGAAAAGGTTGTGATAAAATGCATCTATGAATATATTTAATAAAAATCATCACTTGTATCTTAAAAAGGTATCGTTATTCTTCTCATTTTTAAAGCATATCAATGTTATGTTTGTAAAATGAATATAATATTGATATGAGAGCAAAATGTTAATTATATAAAGTGCTGCTTTAATGTTTGCCTTAAGCAAGGTAAACAATACTTTATCTATAATGCTAGTTAAAATACACTTATTTAACAATAATAAAAAAGCTAAATTAATTAACATTGTTCAATAAAAATACAATGAAATTCTCTTTTTTTTTAAAAAAGGTATCATAAAAAGGAAATATAAAGACTTTGTAAAATATATGAAATAATTGTGATAGAATAAATTTTTAAAAATTTCTACAAAAACCTTCTCGAGAATTTTTAATAATGATAAAATTGATGAGCATTAGTTCTTGTTGGCTTCTTCATTAAAATTATGCATTCAACAACAGCAAGTGAAAAACTGTAAAACAATTTTGTACTAGAACATTTACGTTTTTTTGGTACAAATACATGTTTAATATACTATACACCTGTTTAACTTAACCTTTTTTTTAATTTCCAGGTCCTGATTTACAAAGAAAGCTAAGAAATCTGATTCTGCATTTAACTTTTTTTTTTTCAAAAGGAAATGTTTAAAATGTTGCAGTATCATAATGATGACATATTGGTATATTTAATTATTGTTCTTGTTCTTGTTAATATCCCAATGACTCTATCAAATAATTTACATTGATGATTATTTCAGCATAGAGTATAACTCAATAATTATTTTTTTCTTATGTTCATGATTTACTGTTATGTTGAAAAATTAGGATATTTAAGCACTGCTGATGTTTTTGTTGTAACTGATGTTGTTATTGTTGTTACTCTTGAACCACCCTCTCTCTCTGCATCTCTACTGCTTCTTCACATCAAGACGACCATTTGGGTCATACTGACCTGAAATAAATATAATGAACATATATAACAAAATATATTACCATCATAGCTTACCTATTGTAAAGGTATGTTCAAGTTCCAAGGGAAAACAAAATTTATTAAACTATCTGACAAAATCATTGAAGGGTGGTTAATTTTTAAGAAAAGCTCACAAAATGTTCTCATTTATATCTTATGTTGAAACTATCAATAGATAAAAACAGTAAAACATAAAAAGATCGCTAATCTGACTAAAATGACATATGTTTTTTTTTAAATTTGCGCCTGTCAAGTCTCATTGGTTGGACTAGTGGTTGACAAGTTGCTGTCCAACTTTATGTCGTGTTATTTACTTGTAAAAGCTTTATATTTTAAACAAACAGTCCAGTGCCCTCTGGGCCTGGACATTTTAATCCAATTTGGTATTTTGTTCTACCTTATCTTGACATAAATAAACTGCAGAGTCTTGCCAAAACTTATTGGTAAACTTTTCTACAATGTTAAGACCTAAATTAGCCCTTGCAATGCTAACTATCATCAATGGCTTGTCAATCTTTCAATCTGAACAAGACCATTCATCCTTTTTTTTTTCAGGTAAATTTCAAAATATATACATGTACTGACTGAATAGCAAACAGTGTAGACCATAATCATATGGCATAGCCACATTTAAGGTTACAAAATATAAGTATAATCTTACCACAATGACCACCTCCCAACTTCTTTGTTCCAACAATTTCATTTCCGTTGATATCTACACACCAGCAATACCCGGATAACTTGTGACATTGTTCACGTTTGTAGAAACCTTCCTTGTCACATTGTGGTACCCAGTCCTCTACAAGGGTCAATTTTAATCAATCAGTTTTATGATTATACTTAATACACCCTTTTTTAATTAACAAACAAAAAGTGGACTTTAACAGGAATAAATTCCAGTTCCAGTCACATAAAAAAACCTGAGTGGAGTCCCTTTAACATGTCTATACTAATTACATTCCAAGGCTTGTCAGAATACTCAAAATCCTCTGTCTTAAACTCTTTATGTTATTACTTGTCTACAAAAATATCTCAGTGAAATATGAGTATTTACTTGAAGGTTTGCTTTACAAAATTATCTATACTAGTTATCTAAATATAGAAAACCTGCATAAAGAATCTTCTACTGTTATGTTACTATGGTAACAGATAACAGCATGTCCTTTTATCAATCCCTTTTATGCTTAAATTATCTTTCTTGAATTAAGGGTAATCAAGCAAAAAGAATCCACTATATTTACTTGCCAATTTAAAATGCCAATATGATGACCTGTATAAAATAAATGTTAATTTACTTACTAGGATCTGTAAGGCGTTTCTTCTCCAGGCAAGGTGGAACTAAAACGATAAATAAGGTAACAGTACAAGAAACAGAAAATACAGAAAGTGACAAAAAATAATTAAATATGCCTTCATTCAATTTAAATGGTTCTTACTTGTTACAATAGATGGAAATATCAACTTTTTTTTCAACAACGTTTCTCTTGAATTATGATTGTTTGAATTATATATATTATAGGACATGTTGTACAAATATTTTGCATAAAATAAACTTACTATTGAGGTTATCAATTTTAAATATTTGAGTTTTAAAATTTGAAAACCCTTTTTTGACTGAAAATACCATAAGACTTAAAGGGAGACACAGGCAAAATTTCAATTTCTTCCTTTAAAATTTTTCATTCATTATTCTGTAAATGTCCTCAAAATGAATACACTAGGTAGTCACAGGAGCAAAACTTTTCTTCTTATAAAGAATAAAATGTTGGTTTCCTAACTATAGATTGTTAAAATTTCATAACAGTTGTCACAGTGAACTCTGGAAATTAACGTTAATGAACATGTCAAATGAATTGCTTAGACTTGTTTCAATTATACAATATCCACAATATCTGTTATTTGTCTTTCAGGGTTTTTTCAAGTCACATGACTTGTTTTAAAACTACTCGGTGATTCTGTCAGCATTTAAATTTCGTTCAACATATATAGATATTTTTATGCTTCAAACCATAAATACATGTATATAGAATTTAAACAGACATTCATGCTGGGACTTTAAGAAAATGTCGTTTTAGCTTGATTTTAGTATATAATAAGATCATTGTAATATTTAATTTGCCTGAGTATCCCTTTAATATTTCTCATCATTTTTGGGGAAACTTCAAGATTAGTACTGACTGAACAGCTGACAGTTATATCTATAGATTCATTTGTAATAAGCAGGGTAAAGTTTAAAGATATGGACTATGTTCATCCTTAAGTAAAATATTTTAAACACAGAAATTTATTGAAATCTATTAAATTCTTACAGAATATGTCTAATTTGAATAAAAGAATGAATAAATCATGTATAGGAAGCCGCGTTCCCTATTACAGCATATTTAAAGAGAAGGTAGGTAACCTGAAACAACATTTTTTCTTGACCTAAAGGGAGGCTACTATACTGTCAGTTTCACCAACCATTCAAAATAATTAACATGTGCAGATTATTTCAAAATATAATACTTACTTGTATATGCCATACAGCAGCACCATTCACCATGTGTGAGGGCTCCATCAGCATCAGTGTCACATGACTTCAACAGTGGCTTCATACAAGGCTCGCGTCTGTTTGCCGCCATCACTTCAAGCTCGCTATCACTGAGTATCCTGTTCCTATCTTTGTCTTGTTTCCTGAACTCCCACATCACTGACTTGGCACATTTACATTTGTCTGAAATGAAATGTTAAAATTATTAAAGTTTAGTGGCCATATTAATGAAAACATCACTTTAGAGCAGAAACTTAGAGACATGTGCCCATTATAGTGACATAAATGTCCCCTCAACAAGTACTTTTTGTTGGTTAATATTAATGTTATTATTTTATGTTGTGTATCAATTATACTTAACAGAAATCTTTAAGAATTGCGATAGTACATTATTCACTATCGACCAAATATGAACTTACAGTTTTACCTCTTTTCATGTTTGCTACTGTTGCAGCACAAATAATCTAAAACTCTCCCCCCCCCACAAAATCTTTATTAATACACCGTCTTGTCTTCAATCTACCTATGTAGTTTCATCCTGATACCTTCTACATTATTTGTGGTACATAACAGAAACAAGAGCTGTCGGTAGGACAGCAACGCTCGACTATTCTTAGTGCTTGATAGTAAAAAAAATGCTTGATAGAGTTACCTCCTCCTGTTTACAGGTTGGGGTCATGATGGTGAACAAGTGTGCAAAGTTTCAAAGCCATATGTCAATGGACTTTGAAAATATTTGAAATATTACAAAAACTTTAACGTAAATTCTAAGTCGAAAAAGGGGCATCATTCTGTCAAAATGCTTGATAGAGTTACCTCCTCCTGTTTACAGGTTGGGGTCATGATGGTGAACAAGTGTGCAAAGTTTCAAAGCCATATGTCAATGGACTTTGAAAATATTTGAACTATTACAAAAACTTTAACGTAAATTCTAAGTCGAAAAAGGGGCATAATTCTGTCAAAATGCTTGATAGAGTTACCTCCACCTGTTTCCAGGTTGGGGTCATGATGGTGAACAAGTGTGCAAAGTTTCAAAGCCATATGTCAATGGACTTTGAAAATATTTGAACTATTACAAAAACTTTAACGTAAATTCTAAGTCGAAAAAGGGGCATAATTCTGTCAAAATGCTTGATAGAGTTACCTCCTCCTGTTTACAGGTTGGGGTCATGATGGTGAACAAGTGTGCAAAGTTTCAAAGCCATATGTCAATGGACTTTGAAAATATTTGAACTATTACAAAAACTTTAACGTAAATTCTAAGTCGAAAAAGGGGCATAATTCTGTCAAAATGCTTGATAGAGTTACCTCCTCCTGTTTACAGGTTGGGGTCATGATGGTGAACAAGTGTGCAAAGTTTCAAAGCCATATGTCAATGGACTTTGAAAATATTTGAACTATTACAAAAACTTTAACGTAAATTCTAAGTCGAAAAAGGGGCATAATTCTGTCAAAATGCTTGATAGAGTTACCTCCTCCTGTTTACAGGTTGGGGTCATGATGGTGAACAAGTGTGCAAAGTTTCAAAGCCATATGTCAATGGACTTTGAAAATATTTGAACTATTACAAAAACTTTAACGTAAATTCTAAGTCGAAAAAGGGGCATAATTCTGTCAAAATGCTTGATAGAGTTACCTCCTCCTGTCTACAGGTTGGGGTCATGATGGTGAACAAGTGTGCAAAGTTTCAAAGCCATATGTCTATGGACTTTGAAAATATTTGAACTATTACAAAAACTTTAACATTAGTGGTTACGCCGACGCCGACGCCGACGCTCGGGTGACTGCAATAGCTCTACTTATTCTTATCGAATAGTCGAGCTAAAAAATCCAATGGCTAGACAATTTTAGTATACAAGCCCTTACAACTTTGTGTGAGAGCTTAAAACTATGAAAACTGGACTGGACATCGTGCTTTTCTGTTTTACTCTATGTATAACATAAGAATATATTGACAACATTAATAAATTAACTTACGTGATTCTGTGGCAACAGTGTCTGTTACAGCACGCTTGCCTCGTTTAATCTCCTTCATATCAGCTTTCTTCATGTTAATCTTCTTATCCATAAAATCAAGTTTATCAAATTTGTGCTTCTTATCCATGAAGTCGTAGTGTTTCTTGTGATATTTTCGGCCATGTTTGCCGTGTTTCTTGTGATTCATCTTATGGCGACTTCTACGGCTTTCAGTGTGCAACAAAACAAACCAACCAACCATTCGCTTTCTCAGCTCATATAGCTCCGTGGGACGACATTCTTAAATACAAAAACAATTTGTTCATATACCTTTGTTGTTATAGTAATGTAAACTACAGTTTATCTATACATGTATAAGTAATGTCCAGAAATATTTACATATATAATACACTGATAATTTTGTGATAAACAGTACTGTATGAAAACCATAAAAAAAATATATATGACATGGGTCTACACAAAATATAACATTTCTTTTACATTTCCTTTCAAAACTATTGGACATCAAGGCCAGCAAAATGTGATCTTGACTTACTTGTTGTCTAACTTTTTTCTAAAACATTTTGTAACATGTCCATTATTATGACATTTATAAATGAAATCGGGAAAATTGTCACTTGTCCGTATTTGCTGTGGGCCAAGCTGGGCATCAGAGATAAATGATTTTGCACTCCCCTTAATAGAGCTTAATGCAACAATTCCTAATATGACCTCAGCTATTACAGAGCTCTTTCATATGACAAAGTTATCCATATATCTTTAAAGGAAAGTCTGCAGTATTTTCACTAAGGTGTACACCTTTGCTAGTAATAATACAGAGATGTGCATTAGACTTCTACATACACCAGTAAAGGTTGAAGGTTACCATATAAATCTTTGAATATTGGTGTAACTATTAAGCAAAACAATATAGTAACAAGAGCACCGCTAGGCGGAGCATTATATGCCCGAAAGTGTTTTTTTTAGTAAGGATGAAGCATTTGTAAGACATGGGAATTAGTTGTTCATCCTATAAAATTTTACAGCTGTAGGTTGATTAATACTTAAGTTATAAATGACCTTAACCTTTGACCTTGTGACCCAAAATCAATAGGGGTCTTCTCTCTAATATGCACAATCATACTATGAAGTTTGAATATTGTGGGCCAAATGGAACTTAAGTTATGCTCTAGAAACTATTTTCAGTATTAAGGTAAAAGTGACTTTGACCTTGTGACCCCAAAATCAATAGGGGTCTTCTACCCAATATGGACAATCTACCTATGAAGTTTGAATATAGTGGGCAAAATGGAACTTAAGTTATGCTCCGGAAACTGTTTTTGGTTTTAAGGTAATTGTGACCTTGACCTTTGACCTAGTGACCCCAAAATCAATAGGGGTCTTTTGCCCAATATGGACAATCATCCTATGAAGTTTGAATATTGTGGGCCAAATGGAACTTAAGTTATGCTTCGGAAACTGTTTTCAGTATTAAGGTAATAGTGACCTTGACCTTTGACCTTGTGACCCCAAAATCAATAGGGGTCTCCTACCATATATGGACAATCATTCTATGAAGTTTGAATATTGTGGGTCAAATGGAACTTAAGTTATGCTCCGGAAACTGTTTTCAATTTTAAGGTAATAGCGACCTTGACCTTTGACCTTTTGACCCCAAAATCAAAAGGGGTCTTCTACCCAATATGGACAATCATCCTATGAAGTTTGAATATTGTGGGCCAAATGGAACTTAAGTTATGCTCCGGAAACTGTTTTCAGTATCAAGGTAATAGTGACCTTGACCTTTGACCTTGTGACCCCAAAATCAATAGGGGTCTTCTACCCAATATGGACAATCATCCTATGAAGTTTGAACATTGTGGGCCAAATGGAACTTAAGTTATGCTCCGGAAACCAAATTGCTAACGGACGGAACTGTTTACAGTTTTAAGGTAATAGTGACCTTGACCTTTGACCTTTTGACCCCAAAATCAATAGGGGTCTTCTACCAAATATGGACAATCATCCTATGAAGTTTGAACATTGTGGGCCAAATGGAACTTAAGTTATGCTCCGGAAACCGGACGGACGGACAGATGGACGGACGGACAGACAGACGCCAGGGGGTATAACATAATATGCCCTTTCGGGCATATAAAAATAATGATATGACAAAAGTACTCGTAAGTCAAAGAAAGGGGAGACAAACAAAATCCCACACGTCAATACCTCACATATCAAAATTTTATAGAGTGGACATAACTCCACACTATTTATCACTAATTTGAGGACATGTTATTTTTACTTACTAGGATCTGTATGGCATTATTTTTATTTTTATTATTACAAATGCATGTCAAAAAACATACATTAACATCAATATAATATATTTGTGTAAAATTTAAATGAGAACAGTTTTATTCTTTTGATTTCTTATTTTGAAATTGGAAAATACAACACGTCTAAAGGTAGACGTGACCTTTATCATCTCTACAAAAATCAATATGGAGTGCTAAATATTTTGTTCTTCTTACAATCCTAAATAAACATGTCATATATCAAAGACATCAAAGTTGCATTAATATATCTTCGCATCTTGATTTTTTTGCTTTATTTATTGATTCTTTCAGAGAAATTTATTTCTGTATAACTGCTACCAAGGCAACATTTTAAACAGACAACAAACTTATCATATCACTTAACATAAACGGAGGATATGATTATGATGTCTGGAAATAAAATAACTTGGCAAAATTATGCATTTAGAGAACAAATATTAAATATTTTATATATACATTACCTTGAGCAGTATCCGTGGCAACCTCAGTTGGAGTCTCGTCTAATGTCTTAGCAGATACTGGCTGAAAGATTAAAGTGAATGTCATTAGTAATTTAATCATCAATTATGCCAGTCTTAAGAAATAATGCTATCTTAAAATGCATGCAATCATATCAAACATGCACCTGTTTAATTAACTGTTTTATCTCTTAAGATCAAACAAAATTCATGTCACCAACTTTCAACTTATCTTGGTTTTATTGTACCATAGTTAAGACATTCATATTTCAATTTAGTTTTAAAAGTTAGATATTTGAAAATAATTTAGTTTGATTATCTTGGAAGCTATAACCTTTTGAAACAATCACTTGAATATCTTAGTTTGATTATAAAAAAGTTTTAACCTATAATAATCAATTAAGGGCCTGCTTTCAAAACTAAACCAGTACTGGTGTCAGATAAAGATCTAGAATGTAGATAGGTCTGACACCAGAAAGACCACCAGGAAGACTAATAGAATCTATCATTGGGTTTGATAGAGGATACGGAAATCCCAACCCGAGGGTGATCGGTTCCATCGGGAACGAGCCTTGGCGAGTTCCCGATGGAACCGATTGCCCGAGGGTTGGGATTTCCCTATCCTCTAGCTAACCCAATGGTTGATTATTTTTCTCACTCACCTGGACACACAAATATCAGTGAATCTACTTGCTACGCGCATTACAACGTACCTAGTTTTGAAAAGGGGGCGGGGCTTAGGATTAAAAAGCATTATGTACGTCCGCAAAAAATTCTTCTGACCAAGTTTATGTGTGAAAAATTTAATGAGAATAAATTCATATAAGATCCCTCATCAAAAAGCAAGGTTATCATGATAAAACACATCGATATTAAAAACGGAAAGTGCCATAATATTAGTGTTTATAAGGACTTCAGTCCATACTTCAATGGTTGACAAAAAAGCGTTTACCGTTTGCAAAGATTTTTCTACTTTTTCGGTTATTTTGGCCGAATATTCAATTAAAATATATCAAAATGAGATTCGTCATCAAGAAGCATCGTTATCATAACAAAAAACATGAATGTTTTTCAGGCAAAGTGTCATAATATCCGATTTTACGAAAAATGTTTCGATATTTTAAAGTGTGCTATTTTTTTTTTAGTAACAGATCGTTATTGAAAAGGGCGGATCTAGGTAGAGTAGGACTCATTGCAGTGTGAAAGTTAATATCAATCTATTTTGATTCCGTAGACAATTTAATAGATTAGCTCACAAATATTTAATACATTTTGACCTTCTGACGTTTCATTTTTATTAAAATAGGAGTGAATCGCGTATTATTTAGAAGTGCTGCACGTTGAGTGTGAGATAAGCCCATGTGAGATAAGATTTTCCAACACCGCTATTTTTAGTAACATTTAAGGATTTTTCTATCTGGTTAGTGAGAAATACTGTTACCACATGAGGCAAAATGGCTGGAACAAAATGCTCAAACCATGATCTTTGGGTTGTGGCACAGGCACATTAATCACAATTCCATTGCTACTCTTTTCACCCTTACTCTGCTGGAAAGTAAAGTATTTAGTGTTTGCCACAATTAGAGAGACAGGCCAGCCTGCATTTAAGTTTAGTCTGACCAGACTCTATACTGTTGGTTTACTAACTTTGAATTTTCATCTTGATATAACAAAAATTGGTAATGGACAATTTCAAAATAAGGAAGCTTGACAAGTTCATTTAAGATTTTTGTTTGTTTGTTTGTTTCATTTTACGCCTTTTCCCAACAGTATTTCAGTCATATAGGCGGGTAGTTTCCTTACATTCGTTCCTAGAGAGTTACAGTACTAGACTACCTTCCTCCACGCTAAACTACCAAAGCATTTAGGAAATTAAGCATTGTAAGGATTAATCTATTTACCTTCATATGAACTTTTTTGTCATGTTTCTTGTTGTATTCATCAATAAGTTCATATACATCTTGCATGTGTTCAGCTCGGCTCAATTTACTGTCTAGGAAGTCCTTTTTGTCATGCTTCAGGATTTGTTTCTCTTTATGAAAGTCACGGAATAGTCGGCGGCTAAAACCAAACAAAAAAGTTCGATTTTAGGGAAAAAGTTGAAGAATTCTGTATTGCTTAATTGATCGCACTACATTATAAACTAGGGTTCTTAAAACATTTAAGAGTATAGATAACTCCTATTTTTTAAGTTTTCTGAATTATTTGGTTATTTTACTTTTTTCTCAATTTTTACCACGCTAATTATCTATTATTTTTCTCTTTCTGATTTAGTGTTTGAAATTGAACATTGTCAGTATAAGGATTTTATTATCAGGATAAAATTGAATAGTTAACATTGTTTATTATTGGCTGACAAACATTTTGACTGTTGGCATACAGTATTAATATTCATGCTAAGATGGTAAAACTCCCTGAATTAGAATATTTTAGGTAGAATAATAAAACAAAAATACTGCAGAAATAAATGTCTTATAAAATATGATAACAAAACTTTAGTTGTAAATGAACATAAATCTTGACAATATAATTTTGTTCTACAAACATGTAAAACTATCCTTTTCACAGAAAACATACATATTAATGTTTCACCACAAAAATCATTAAAATGTCTTATATACATTTCCCTTTTCCTTATTCAATTATTTAATAACACATATGTGGTATATATTAAGAATAAATCATAACTATATGAGCCGCGTCACGACAAAACCAACATAATGGGTTTGCGACCAGCATGGATCCAGACCAGCCTGCGCATCCGCGCAGTCTGATCAGGATTCATGCTGTTTGCTATCAGTTTCTTTACTTGCTATAGGGTTTAAAAGCGAACAGCATGGATCCTGATCAGACTGCGCGGATGCACAGGCTGGTCTGGATCTATGCTGGTTGCAAACCCATTATGTTGGTTTTGTCGTGATGCTGCTCATATAATTCTTCTACTATAACAGTCTGCAGCTTTCATTGGACAATCATGAGTCTTATCCATTAATGATTTACCAGGCTGCCACAATTATTTAATAAAGTTTTAATTTTATCAAAGAAAACAACAGTTTTTCCTGTGTAGTGTTATAAATTTAATTGACAGGTTATATGGTCATATATAAACACTTATTCAATGTTTTATTACAACCCTTACCTATATATAAGCTTCAGTTATATAAGCATTCAGCCATATAATTTTAAGCCTTAATGACTTGTTAAAAATGTTTATAACTTCTAATATGAACTTAATCTATGACTTCTGTCTAGGCAAACCTTAGACTGGCAAGTTTGAAAAACAAAATTTTTCTCTGGTTAGTTTCATAAATGTTATTTTATTTATGTAAAACTTGTCATTTCTTTATATTATAATTAAAATGAAGAAATGAATGATAAAATAAATGAATGAATAAATGAATGAATAAATTAATATGGCATAGATTTTATATGTTGAACTATAACAGTTGCATCCATTAATGGATAATTTAAATAATTTAATGAATGAATGAATGAATAAATATATAAATGGATTATAAGATAAATGAATGAATGAATGAATGAATAAATGAATGATTGAATGAATGAATGAATTTGAAATAGATTTTATGTGTTGAACTAATACTATATTGCATCAACATTATTCAGTGACAATTCTACAGCACAACACTTACAGAGGTTTAATTCTGATTATAATCTAGAAATTACATGTGTTGATGAAGATATAAAAACACAGCTTGATTCTATAATTCTGGATACTTGTCTGTAGTCAGGCTACAAACATTTATAACTTTTGATTTTAAATCCCAAGATGGCACTTTGCCAGACTTGATAAAGACTCCTTTTTTGTGTGAAAAAGATTTATTCATTAGCTGTGTTAAATTTTCCACTACTTATTACACTGATGATTAGGGTTAGTGTGGTGCATTGAAATGTAGGATCGTGTAAGAAAATATATACCATGTGTACACGGTTTATATTAAAAGGTCACAGACAGTATTTTATAACAAAATAAAGTATCATGTTACATTAATACATCTTCTATTTCATTACAAACAGACATTCACATGTCATAACATTTTTTTTATAAATGTGCAAAAAGCAGTAACATCCTATATGAAGATATAGGATGTGGATTATGGAAACAGCATTTGAATTCATGCATTATTTAACTCTGCTGAATAACTTTATATTCACAGTATAAGTGAGTATATAAACAAAATCACTGTACCCTGTCTTGCGAGCCTTCACAATTCAATATGTACTTTAAGCTTCATACTGTGTTATTTCTGATCAGTGTACCTTACTTGGGAGCCTACATATTTTAACTTGAACATTTCTTGTGATAACAGGAAGGAGACTTGTATAAATACTGTGTTGTTATACTTAGTACAAATATTTTCTATGGTAAAAATAATGAGATTTAAACAACAAAATTTGAACACTCTACCATTTTCTTTTAAAATCCAACTGAAGAGATATTCAAATGAAACCTCAATCAAACACCTCACAATTTTCACCTTCTCCTGCATAACACTGCTGGCAGCTCAATATCAATATTTCTAAACTATAAAATCCCAAACAACATCCCCATACAATTAAATTCATAGCAGGACAGGTCATTTTCCCCTCTAATGTAGTCACCTGAACATTCAGAGGCATTCCCAATGCCAAAACATAATTATAAGATTTTTTTCCTCAGTTAAGAAGCATAAAATTGTCAGTCTGCATTAAAGTTATTGTTGATTTTCTTTGAAAAAGTATTAAAGAACCCCTTAAAATTACTTATACATGAAAATATTAATATATAACTTAAGGTTATGTGTTGATTACTTTCCATTAGTTATCGCAAATTCCCAATTTGGACTTTTTTCATTGCTTTTTTTCCCCAATTCTTACAGTGTTTGGTGGCCTTAAAGTTCTCATAATTTTGAAAACAAGACCTGACTTAAGTTTGGCATAAAATTATGAGTAATCAAGTAAAGAATTAAATTAAAACAATCCTCTACACATTAATGCCAATCATAATAACAGCATAATAAATTTATGGTGAAATAGAAATTTTTATGATAAAAAATGATACGTAAAACATCGTAAATTGTATGTACAATGTTCCGCTGTGGTAAGATTTGTACTGCGTATGTTACCGTTGAAGATCTGTGTGGTTTGATTTTTTGGTATACTTAGCCCCAGGACGTAACTAAAGGATGAACAATATATCATTAAGGTAATGTTAGTTTAGGGGCAATCTGTCAACATCTAACACACACTTTCTTGTATTTTTTAAATATAATATCATCAAATGATAATACAGTGTATAGTCTGATCACAGTTATAACAATTTGAAAACATGTTCCAATATTTTAAAATATATGAAGTAAACTTTTCATTGTTGCTAAATTGCCACATAAAATACATTCAAGTATTAACAGCCATGTATGTTGCTTTTTTAAATGTTTACATACCTGTTTGAAGACATTATAAAGTCAAACCAAAAACATTTAGCAATTCATAATAATTAAGTGGTGTTTTACCAAACATTTACATATTTTGAGCAGTTATATAGGGAAATGTTTACTTGTACAAACAACGCAATGCTGAACTCTTGCCAAGACTAGTTACATGTACTGTGAATATTATAATGTACTCCTCATATTATCTGATAAGGTGTTTTCTTGTTAATGTTTTGTGTATGTTACATGATGTGCCATTATACCTCAATATATATCAAAATCAATCAATCAATATTGACCAGTCCCAGAATTTTTAAAATTCCCTTAATGCCTAACTAATTCAAGCAAAGAAGTTATCAGTAATGTTTTTTATGATGGTCTATGGCATTACATGACCGAGGATTGAGACTACAATTCATCATGACCGAAGAGCTGGTTAAAAAAACACTACAACTTCTCAATCATGAGTCATTATGGTTACTTTTGTTAATGTAATCTTTTACAATGATTTCTTGCTGGTCCTTAAATACCTGCAAATAATATGAAATGACCAAGCTTCTTTCAAATATAAAGAAATCCCTACAATCTACTGTTTACAACCTAGATCAGCTCAACAACCTGTTCAACTGCTGCAGTTTACTTATATTTAATATCAACTTTGAAGTTTCTAAATTAAATGACCAGTCTCAGGAGTAAACCCACAAACCTCTTCATGCATTGAATGTAAATTATTAACAACTTCATCAATGCTGCAGTTTTAGATAATATTGAAGTGTATTATTTCAATGTAAGAGGGTTCTTATCGGTTCAAAGATTTATCTACAATCAATACATACCTTTCCTTATAGTCATGTTTGCTGATACACTTTTCATCACCAGTCTTGCTATCACGTAGGCAGAATTCCTTATGACCACATTTCAGTGTACATGAATCTTAAAAATAAACAAGGAACATAATTATATACACTAATTGTATTTTCCTTTGTACTGTCATCGTATTATCAGAACAGGGTCTTTCAAATAGAATGGTCTGGAAACACGCTATGTAAACCCTTCTCGCTACAATTAAACATGTCTCAGTATAGTTTGCTATACGCAAATTATGTAAGTGTTCAAGAAAAGGGCGAATATTAAAAACAAGAGCAAAATGAAAATTTTAAAAACATGATGTTATTTAAAAATCTTTAAACTTGTGAAAAAAAGCATTTCAGAAAATAATGTTTTTAAAGCCATATTTGTTGAAAAAGATAGATGGCTTGTTCAGATAATATTTGCCGATAAAGGGCGCCATTTTGAAAATGCATCAAATTAAACATCAAATAGTGCAAATCATTGAACATCGTGAAATATTAATTATAATATTTTTACATGATACAATTTAATACCATCTTTTCTCTTTAAAATCAATTTCTATTTTGTCATTGAACAATGCATAAATTAAAAAAAAAAGCTCATGAAACTCGGACCTATTTTCAAATATGAGCAGTAGATTTTTACCTTATAATGACACCCGGGGAACGAAAAATTCCTTATTTCATTGCAAATCTTGAAAATTGTTACTTTTAAAGAAAAACTGATAATATAATGTAGTCAGAGTTAGTTGTTAGTAATTTTTTGATTGATTTAACAAAACATTATCTTATAATTTGATTTTTGAATGGTGATGTGCTATGCCAGATCACGGTAGGTAAGATAACCCAATCACGTGACTCAACCGAGACAGCTTTTTCCATAAAATTGGTCTGTCTTCAGACCATTCTATTTGAAAGACCCTGCATGATCAGAATAAGGAAAATATAAAGGAATTCACTGCAGATCATACAGACATTGGACTGATACAATAATGAGGTTGAAGTTGAAGTCTTACGTAGGAAATATAATAAATTACTACTCTACATTTATATTAAGGGAAAGACTTGAAGAAATGGTTTATAATGCCTAATGGCTTTTTTATCCCCTTATGATCCAAGAAATTTATATACCGGTATAATGCCTTCTCACATGTCAAGGAAATTATATGAACCACGATGGTAATTAATGCTATAGATACATTTGGAATATGGAGTAAATTCATTATCTTATTATAAATTTTATTAAACTGTATCAAACTTTTTTTCATAACAGATAACTTATATTGAATTTTAATTGAAAGTAATATTTTTTTTATTTTACCTGATTTCTTTGGCAATGACATCCATTTATCATCAAACTTTGATTTACGTCCAGCATGGAATCCACCCTGGAAAGTAAGAGGTACACTTTGTAAATTCAAGTCAAAATCTAGAATAACTAAAAATGCATCGACTCTTCCTTGAAGCAATTTTGACCCATTCTTTACACTGAAATATATCATTAATATCATAATCTGTTTTATGTTTTTTCAAAAATATGACTACATATGAGCCATGTCATGACAATTAAAACCAATGTAATGGGTTTGTGACCAGCATGGATCCAGACCAGCCTGTGCCTCCCCACAGTCTGATCAGGATCCATGCTGTTTGCCATCAGTGTCTCTACTTGTAATAGAGTTGGTAAGCGAACAGCATGGATCCTGATCAGACTGCGTGGAGGTGCAGGCTGGTCTGGATCCATGCTGGTCGAAAACAAAAAAATGTTTTTGGTCTCAACACCAGGGGTAAAAAAACCCATTAGCCTAAGAGATACATAGACTCCTGTAATTCAAACCCATTTAGTCGCCTCTTATAATCACGCGAGGATAAAATTGGTGGCTGCATTAATCTGATGCCTTAACCCTTAAAGACAATTGACCTTTTCGAAAACCTAGCTAAACGCCGTTTTCCGGTACATTACGTATTTAGCTCTGGGGAATTATACCAAATGAAGTACATAACACTAAAACATGATATATCTATTTTTCTATCATTATTTTACCGTTTGAGTTGAAAAAAGTTGACGTATTCGAAAAATATCAATGTTCCTTATATATCTAATATTGCAAATTTTTCAAAAAAATAAATTTTTTATTAATATGAAAATCAATAAAACTAAAACAGTCGTAGTGGCATCTTCCATGATAAATAAAGATATTTTATGCGTAAACTTGTGTATTTACTTTATTTTTGTGTATGAATTTATTTAAATGACATTTGATTATTTTCTTACAGATAAATAACTGTTTTATTTCACATTAATTAAAAAAATGCCAAAAACATAGAGTTCGCTATTCCAGTCCATTAGGCTGAATTCCCCAGAGCTATGTACAGAAAGTACCGGAAAACGGCATTTAGCTAGGTTATTGAATTCGTGAATCCCACAGCCAAAGGAGCTTGTCTATTAATGACTCTATATAACACTTAAAACTTTCATATGTCAGCTAACCTGTTTAATATCTTAATTTCTTGTAGACATGTATAATGATTATCAAAGATATAATACCCCTTTAATCTTATTAATATGTCTTTCAGAAGAATTAGATATGATAATTATTGTGCATAATTATATAATTTGTTATTTAATATTCTGTAAACCTAATTTAGACAATTTAAATACAAAGCAATAATTTTATGCATTTATTGAACAAATAGCTATATGAATGAGTAACAGCACACTAAATAAATAAATTAAGACTGATTGCGCCCGAGTCTTTTAAACATTTTTTTATAAATACCGTAAAATTCCAAATAAACGCCCCTCCCCTAATAAAGCCCCCCCCCCCCAGGCCTTTTGATAAGAAAAACAATCTACTCATCAGTGCTGAACTCATGAGTAAATCCATAATTTCATTCAAATCATTCAGAATCAATTTTATTTTATAGCATGAAATTTAAAATCTTAACCCTTTTTAATGTTATTACCAACACTTGCTAACACTAAATGTATTAACCATGATTTTTGGATTTAGGAAAAACTGTGTTGTAATAATAGCCCCCCTTTTGGAAAATGTTTAGCCCCCGGGGGCATTTAATAGGAATTTTACGGTATTTATATTGTGGGAAAATATCCTGAGTGATATTTCTAACAAGAGGGCAAGTAACATTGTATTGCCAACTTATAATTTTTTCACTTGGCAGTGAGTATTATATAAATGTCCAACATTGTCTCTGATCAAATTGTGCGCTTTATGGCTTTTTATTTTATAGACGATGGTCGCCCTTCGACAGACATCTATGAAAAATCAGATTATAAAATCGGTCGGTATTGCAGTCGAAATATTGAGACTATGTCTCTGATGTAATTTTGATAGGTCTAATTAATTGCATTATGAAGTGGAATGGTCAGGATTATGCAATAATTAAATAATCAGTAATCGAGTTTTACAGAATTATTTTGTTAATTATATTTATGTGTGGACTTCTCTCCTTCAACATGTGCTATATCTATATATGACTAATAAAAACATTACCTATGCACAGGTGAGTAAGATGTATATTTTACAGTGACATGTATACATGCATACAGGTATGTCTTAGCAACGTATTTAAATAAAAAAGATATACCTCATTCAAATCAAGATGTTTTCCTCGTAACATGCTCTGGTGATGATTATGATGATGATGCTTTTTCACATTCAAGTGGATACTAGGTGCCTGTCCCACTTTAAAGTCTTTATAATCACGTTTACCAATAAACGAAATACACTCACTAAAAGCAATAAAGCTGGCCAAAAGTAAGGCCGTGACGCTTAACAACTTCATTGCCCTTACTAACTCACTTATAGATCTCTATATTTTGTTTAAAATTCCGTTAAAACACTCCTGTAAAACTTTCGAAAACTTTTGTCAACTTCTGTCTTACTACTGTCACATTGATTGACATTTGGATCAACACATTTCTATATATAGGTGTATCATTGACATGTGACAACTTTAAATGCGACTGAATTTAGTTACACAATTAACTAACCTGAAATCACAACAAGTAGAGGCATTCTGGTAATGGCGAGGAAAATATTATTGTGTACATTTACAGATACTCGTACGATATCATTGCATACGATTTTTTCAAAATTACCCTGTCTGTTTAAATGGGCTCGACCTCTTCTTACCTGGATGACGTCATAACACGTCGTTTATTGAATGGCCAATCATTTATATATGCGGTTCTCTAAAAGTTACACATACGGTATACCTTTTCTTTTATAAATATGAAGTGACCACACAATTAAAAAGACGAACAGCATGTTTGAGAGGTGTCTGGATTTGAATTTAAATTTTAGTCCTTTGTACTTTTTGACAAAATTATTAAATGAAAAGTTTGACTTTTATTTTTGAATAAGTCCATAGATTAGCATAATTATATCAGCTTAGTATTTTCAAAGATTTTGCAAACTTATATGTAAAATATAATAACTTTTTTCATTTTAGTTTGTCACAATATCCTTGGTTAACATATTCATATTTTATGCCTTTCACCAACCACAATCTATGTGTAGGGACTTTTAAGTTATCTTCAGGTATTATACAAAACTAGAAATGTGTCCATAGGACACGGATGCCCCCACAAGCCACTGTTCTGTCAATCTTATGACTCTAGTATTTAATATTTTTTGGACTACATGTGCCACAAGTTGAAAACTAAAAATCAACAAAGGGCCATAATTCTGTTAAATTTGGACGCAGCAAAAATTTCTTCCTTTACTACCATCTACACATTAAGGTTGTTCATCCCTGGAAGTTTAAGCAAAATCTGCCATCCGGTTTAAGAGGAGTTGCGTTCACAAAATTTCTACATAGTATATAGTGAAAAAATCAACAAAGGGCCATAATTCTGTTAAATTTAGTCGCAGCAATAATTCCTTCCTTTACTGCCATCTACACATTAAGGTTGTTCATCCCTGGAAGTTTAAGCAAAATCTGCCATCCGGTTTAAGAGGAGTTGCATTCACAAAATTTCTACTTAGTATATAGTGAAAAAATCAACAAAGGGCCAGAATTCTGTTAAATTTGATCGCAGCAAAAATTCCTTCCTTTACTACCATCTACTCATTAAGGTTGTTCATCCTGGAAGTTTACGCAAAATCTGCCATCCGGTTTAAGAGGAGTTGTGTTCACAAAATTTCTACATAGTATATCGTGAAAAAATCAACAAAGGGCCATAATTCTATTAAATTTGGTCGCAGCAAAAATTCCTGCCTTTACTACCATCTACACATTAAGGTTGTTCATCCCTGGAAGTTTAAGCAAAATCTGCAATCCGGTTTAAGAGGAGTTGCGTTCACAAGATTTCGGGACGTACGGACAGACGTACGGACGGACGGACGTCCGGCCGAAAAGGAACAAGGGGCCATTTCTTTTGTTATTTTCTTTTGTTTAATAGAGGGCCAATGGCCCCTTACTCTATTGTTACGGAATGAACTCTATTGTTCTCTTTTGTTCTGTTTACAGTTAGATGGCCCCCTATCCCTATTCGGTAGTGCGGACGGACACTCGGACGGACAAGTGCAACGCTATATGCTCCCACTCTGTGGGGGCATAAAAAGCTAGTCAATGCAATCTCACTTCATATGAAAAACAATCACTTCAAGAACATTTAAAGGGATATTCAGGCAAAATAATGACAAAAATATTAAAACAAGAAACATGGCAATGCCATGAAACCAGGTTTTCAATTATCACCATTGTAGATAAATATGTTGTATTTGAAATACAAATACAAGCAACAAACAATGTAACTATGTGCAATGTAAAACATGAATAATGTAGGAGGAATTGCACATAGAAGAAGTGTGCACTATATATATTCTGTATAAGGAAAAAAAACAAAGGGCCATAATTAGGTAAAAAATTATCCAATCACAAAACCCCGACAATATGTGCTAGGGCACTTGATGACAAAGCTTCTGTGAAAGTTTGAACAAAATCCGTTGAGAAATGTAGGAAGAGTTCAGCACAGAAGAATTTGTTCAATTCTGTATAAGGAAAAAAAACAAAGGGCCATAATTAGGTCAAATATTATCCAATCACAAAACCCTGACAATATGCGCCAGGGCACTTGATGACAAAGCTTCTGTGAAAGTTTGGTCAAAATCTGTTGAGAAATGTAGGAGAAGTTGAGCACTGTAGAAATTGTTCACTATATATTCTGTATAAGGAAAAAATATACAAAGGGCCATAATTCTGTCAAATATTATCCAATCACAAAACCCCGACAATATGTGCCAGGCACTTGATAACAAAGCTTCTAAGAAAGTTTGGTCAAAATCCGTTGAGAAATGTAGGAGGAGTTGCGCACAGAAGAAATTGTTCACTATATATTCTATATATGGAAAAAAAACAAAGTGCCATAATTAGGTCAAATATTATCCAATCACAAAACCCCGACAATATGCGCCAGGGCACTTGATGAGCAAGCTTCTCTGAAAGTTTGGTCAAAATCCGTTGAGAAAAGTAGGAGGAGTTGCGCACAGAAGAAATTGTTCACTATATATTCTATATAATGAAAAAAAACAAAGGGCCATAATTAGGTCAAATATATACCAATTGCAAAACCCTGACAATATGTGTCAGGGCACTTAATGACAAAGCTTCTGAGAAAGTTTGGTCAAAATCCGTTGAGAAATGTAGGAGGAGTTGCGCACAGAAGAAATTGTTCACTATATATTCTATATAAGGAAAAAAAAACAAAGGGCCATAATTAGGTCAAATATTATCTAATCGCAAAACCCCGACAATATGCGCCAGGGCACTGGATGACAAAGCTTCTGTGAAAGTTTGGTCAAAATCCGTTGAGAAATGTAGGAGTTGCGCACAGAAGAAATTGTTTACGCCCGCCCGCCCGTCCGCCCGCCCGCCGACATACCTCAATCTAATAACCAGTTTTTTTCCTTCGGAAAACCTGGTTAATGATCTTATGTACTCAAATCAGGATAAAATGACGTTTCTTGAAGTTTCAGCATGAATTTCTGTTTGAATTTTATATATTTTGGGTTTGAAAAGTAAATATATCTATATATGTTGAACAAAATTTTGACGCCAATAGAATCACCAAATAGTTTTAAAACAAGTCAGGTGTCTTGAACAAACCCTTTAAGTTACAATAACAGATATTTTGGATATTGTATGATTGAAACAAGTCTATGTCATTCATTTGCAATGTTCTTTAACGTTTCCAGAGTTCACTTTGACAAATATTGCGAAATCATAGCTCTTTTGAGGGCATTTACAGAATAATGAATGAAAAATTCAAAACTAAGAAATGAAAATTTTGCCTGTGTCTCCCTTTAAGCCCCTTTTTCATGACCGAGTAGTTGATTTCTTGAATATATTTAGGATTATTTCGAAACTGAAATGGTAATTGTTATCCTTTTTATGTTAAATATCTTTCTGTTTTTATGTTTTGGCAGATATATCCGATCAAAATCTTCTAAACTGAGTCTTCTAACAGTACCGTAATACATCCATAAAAAAAACAACACTGACTGGCACACATGGATGAAAATAGATGTTATCCGAAATTTGACTAACATGGATTTTACCAGGGCGCATAAAAATACTATCCATTATAGCTTCATGGTGCTCTATTGTTCAAAATAAAGTGATCAACACATTGCATTTATAAGTGATTCATTTACCAAGATGTAACTGTAAATTTTTGTACTCATAAATCAGATGGGAAAAACCCACATTTGCCGCATTCCAGAGTATCTCTGTAAGTAACAACAAAAGAAAATGATTTTATTGGCATTTATTTATAAAAAGGATATACAAAATATTAAGGCACATAAACAGAGTGGTAAATATGTGGTAAATCAACCTGTTTTTTTACCGAAATGTTCTTTTTCTCATTTAAATTATCATGTGACTACAGTTTTATCTTTAACCCTGAAACTCCTTTATTTATGATACAGACTTGCTCTGTTATAAATTTGTAACAGTTCATCCAAAGTTTAAGTGATTTCAATATCAAAATATGAGTTACATACATCAACAATATAGAGCCAAGTAAGATTGCACAGATTTACAGGCAGGTCTGGTTCTAAACTTAAAACAAATGCCAATCAGTTTTGATTCCAGCCGATTCAGGGTTAAATTGATAAGCAATGTCCATTGGATAAATTTATCAGAAAATTACTTGTTTAGTAAGAATAACTTTATTAATATATAATGCTTGAATGAAAAAAAGAATTCTAGCAAATAAAACAATATACTACATGTTTCCTAGATTTTAACATCACTATAGAAGAACTACATGTACTTCATTCCAACAAAGATCTGTAGAAGTAAATCAAAAGATATTAAATTTTGTTTTGTACCATAATTAGTTTTCTATATAATTCATTTAGACACCTCATCATCTGGATGAACAAAGTAAAGGACTGAAACTAGTATATTAATTAACTAAAACCCCTAAACCTACCCTTGTAATAAACTTTTTGTATATCAATTTTAAATATTGTGTGATAAAATAAAAAGAAAAACAAATTTTAGCATTATATGGATTTCCTATATACAATATCATTATTTATTTGCTTGTTCTGTACTAGTACTCTTTGGTTTTAATGAAATTCAAAAATGCAAATACTTATATGTGAATACATGTTGTTAAAAGATATTTGTATAAGATCAACTGTGTAACAAGTTAATGCAACTTATGTTAACCACTTTCAAATCTGCCTCTGGGACTAACTATAGGACTGAATTTAGTTGAAAATACATGGTCCTTACCAAAGTGGGACTCAAACCAAGGATCCCTGGGCTGAGTAAGACAGACACATCACATATTCAACCACTGATCAATTTGTGATGATCAAAATCACATTAGTAACAAATTTTAACCTCTACTGAAAATGTCTTGATTGTCCTACAGTCTAGTTATTTACCCATGTTTCTTGTGATCAAACAAAATGTAGATGTCTATAATAGATTTACTATCTAAACAAACTTGTCTTATACACACATAAACAAAACAACAAATATACGACATGTGCTTAAATAAATTGAGCAATATTTAATTTATAATGTCAATTATCCACACAAACATACATCAATTCTGTATATTATATACATATTTATTTGTAATATAAAATATATGCTGGAACTGTTCAAAATACATTGTTTTCTAAATACAAAATCTAAACCTTTTCTTTGTAATAAAGAAAAACCATTCAAATGCAGTATTCATTTTTTTTAAAATGTCATTTGTAAGTCATTTAAAATTGCCTTTGTTTGTCTCTCCCACTGTCCGTATATGGACTGACAAAATGGTGGATTGTGGGGGCAGCCATGTCCTATGGAGACATTTCGTTTTATAATATTCTCATAAATTTTTTGTTTTTATTGTTTATTCTGCCAGAAAAATATATAATATAACTGTTTTATTCATGGGATATTTTTTTTGAATATGTGAGCAATGATGTCATCATATTGCACAGTATATATTATAATTCAGGTATATAACAAATCAAATCATGAAGACCACAGACCTGAGTGATTAATTATCTTTATGACAATACATTCAAAATTAAAATCTATCGTAATTCATATGCTTTCTTGTATAAAAGAATTTTTTTGTTGAAGATGGACTTTTTTCAGTTTTTTGGTTGCTCAGAAGGATGAAACTTAACAGCATTATCAAGTATCTGCACAGGCTTTCCACCTTCTAAGTATTATTATTACTATTATAAAGGCTGATATAAGGTATTGAAAGAATACAATGTATTATTTATTTTGTATGTTTTCTAACAAACTTACTGTCATTCTGTGTAGAGGAAATACATCTAGGCAGACTGATATTTCCATATTTCTCTTTATGTTGCAACATGTGTACTGACTTTATATTTATATGCCTATTTTAACATCATAACAATACTCAGGTGTATTTATACTCAGCATATTTTTTTACTAAAAATCAATTCTATTCATAAATGTTACTGTACGACTTTATTTTGGTCATTGTGTTAAGCTGCACAAACACAAGCTATACATCTTTATTCTGTTCCTTATTTGATGTTGCATACTTGTTAGCAAAACAAATTCATACAATAAACTAGAGATATACATCAGAAAATAACAATAACACTTGTTAAGTATTCCTTAATATCATTTGATAATGTATAAATTACACAATAATTCACATGACAGACACTACACAACAACAATTTTATCAGAATATTATACAAACTTGACATAAGTATATAAACCTGACATCTTTCTTTAATTGAACAATACCAGATGATACAACATCCATACCTAAATAAATACAAAAACCAAATACACAACAACATTAATTAAGCAAAACCTTGCAAAAAAAATTCTGGTTAATCATTTTATATGATACATAATTATATAACAAGGAGATAGGCATATGTAAAGTTTCATCTTCCCCCAAAATCTTAAGAATCTTTAACTCTTTGAATACTTATGGCAATAACAAACAGGAAAACAAATAAACACTACTTAAAATACATGTACCTGTTTAAACCTTCATTCTCACTATACAATTTAACCATAATTTATAATCTAAACATGTATTCATTACACAAACATTGCTCGAACATTAAATTTTCATATAATCAAGAACATTATTTTATCACTCAGGTTCATGAAAATGATAGCCAGGTAAATTAATTTATAATTTTTTTAAACAAGCTTGAGAAAACTGTTGTACATGAAGATAACCCACAAACATAATTAAAAGGAATTCATGTAGAGCTTCGATTTGTACCACTGTTAGTTTTACCAAAATATCTAATCTTCATTTATTGAAATACATAAAAACTAGCATTTCTTTTTGGTTGTTAAAATATTAAAAACAATGTGCACAGAAAATTAATCAGGCATAAGCAAATATTTATACTGTAACATTCAAATGGAATGTGTTAATAAATTGGTTTAAAAGATGTAATACTACAATCTGGAAAAGAGGTGACCATGAAAATAAGGAAATTACATAAAATTTGCAGACATGGTTTGATTGAGTCTTGTTCATGAAAGATAAGTTCAACATCTCTAATGCCCTCTCGGCACCAGCTTTAACAATATTAAATCTGCAACATTTTATGTGCTGGAATCTAAAATACTAATCTGACATGTACTTATTTATAATAACTTAATCCTTTATATTTGACTTGCCAAAATTAAATACATATACGAAAACAAATTTAATGCTGTATTTTTATAACTTCAAAACCTCAACAAAATATATTAAATAGAGAAAGAAAATTACCACAAATAATTCAAAGATTATGTGTCCAATTTAATTAGTATTGCTTACAGTATTCATACAATGATGGCAGCTTTGAAAATTAATTAAACTAGAAAAATATTTTTCCTTTTTTTATTTTTCAATATGTACAAAGTGATCTCCCTTGGTAAAATATGTTCATATTACAGGAGGTGGCAGTACTGTGAAGTGTATACTTCATGCTTTTGTTATTATTTCCTTCTACAGAAAAAAATAAAAAGTTTATACCATGTTTAACCTATGTGTACACAAGATAAAGAAAGTACCCCATTTCAAAAATTGAGATAAATTAAGCAAAAAAATAAATTATCTCCCTTAGATGTGATATGGAATTTATTGTCCTATTATTTCAATGGTTGTTCCCTGATATATACACATGCTGGAGGAAGTCTGTAGATATCATATGGAGAAGATGAAATTGGAAAAAAAATCTATGACCTCCTGGCCCTCAAGTCTTGGTCTGAAAAATAGAAATACATGTATGTTAGTTGTACACAAGTTTTCTATATCTATAATTGTATGTATCACATTAGCAAATATGATGTAACAGAAAGAAAATCTGTATAAAATTGGTCTCTTCATAAGCTTTATTACACTTTCACATTTCTAACGGGAGTTCCTGTCCAGAAACCATATTGTTTGGAAACCATTTTTCTATTTTTAGTACCAACGACCTTGACCCCAGGGGGTCCAAAAGCAATGCCAACCTGGGTCTTCATATAAGCTTGCTATGTACCAAGTTTGAATCCTTACTCTGGAAACCATTTTTTTCTATTTTTAGTAACAGTGACCTTCACCCCAGGGTGTCCAATAGCAATACCAAACTGGGTTTACACAGGGTTGCTATATACCAAGTTTGAATACAATAACTCATTCCAAATTCTAGTTACCATTAGGAAACCATGAAGTGGAAGGACCAACAAGCTGACTTCTACATACCGCCCCCACCTCCACACTTCATTTGTGGGGGTATAATGACAGTAAAGATCTTTTTAGATTTGCAGGGACATAAATTTTTTTTACAAATTCAGGGTAGCCAGAAGTACTGAGTCTATTTCAAACTGAATATTTCTATGAAGTCGGCTAAGTTCATACTGATTTTATTAGAATTAGTTTACCTTTTTCTGATTGGAATCTTTTGAAGCTGGTGATGTCATTGCTGTAGGATCAACAAATATATCTGGTATGTTATTTCCGAAATATATTTTAGTATTTTCTGCTAACGCTCTCTGCTTTAACATTTCCAAGTACATTGGAGTTAGAATCATCTGCAAAGTGTAAAAATAAAAATATAAAATAAATCTTAACTATACTAAAAGAGGTATTCCAGTATAAATGAACAGTGTACTGGTAAAACTGTAAAAGTCAAAATAGCTATATACTTTGCCATAATTGTTTTCTAATTATATATTTTACATGGAAAAATCAAAAGACCATGTCACAGAAGTTTCTGTATATATTCCCCTGAATTTATCAATATAAAGAAGAGCTGTCGGTAGGACAGCAACGCTCGACTATTCTTAGTGCTTGATAGTAAGAAAAAACGCTTGATACAATTACCTCCTCCTGTTTACAGGTTGGGGTAATGATGGTGAACAAGTGTGCAAAGTTTCAAAGCCATATGTCAATGGACTTTGAAAATATTTGAACTATTACAAAAACTTTAACGTAAATTCTGAGTCGAAAAAGGGGCATAATTCTGTCAAAATGCTTGATACAGTTACCTCCTCCTGTCTACAGGTTGGGGTAATGATGGTTGATAAGTGTGCAAAGTTTTAAAGCCACATGTCAATGGACTTTGAAAATATTTGAACTATTACAAAAACTTTAACGTAAATTCTAAGTCAAAAAGGGGCATAATTCTGTCAAAATGCTTGATGTAGTTACCTCCTCCTGTTTACAGGTTGGGGTCATGATGTTGAACAAGTGTGCAAAGTTTCAAAGCCACATGTCAATGGACTTTGAAAATATTTGAACTATTACAAAAACTTTAACGTAAATTCTAAGTCAAAAAAGGGGCATAATTCTGTCAAAATGCTTGATACAGTTACTTCCTCCTGTATACAGGTTGGGGTAATGATGGTGAACAAGTGTGCAAAGTTTCAAAGCCATATGTCAATGGACTTTGAAAATATTTGAACTATTACAAAAACTTTAACATAAGTGGTTACGCCGACGCAGACGCCCGGGTGACTACAATAGCTCTACTTATTCTTATCGAATAGTCGAGCTAAAAAGAGTGGGACAGTCTTTTACATTTTTAGACAGTTAACTAAATGACAAGTAATAATTATGGCATTTCATTTTTACGAGAGAAGAACAAGGTAGGTATGTTTTGAAAGTATTACATTTATACAACATCCTCAAGTTAATCGGATTCTAAATGAAAATTAGAATGCAAGATCTATAAAGACACAGAAATATAATGGATTTAAGGCAATACAGGATTGGAGCAGTACCTCAAGATGCTTGCAGAAAGCATGATCAATCAAAAGACAAATATCATTTTTTTTCCCCCGCCAATTCTTACATTTTTCATTCATTATCATACATAAATCAGAGTGAAAAGATAAAAAAGACATTTTAACGTTCATTCATTTGGGTAAATAGGCAAGATTTAAGCATTTAATCATTCAAGCGCCTTGTCCGGTAAATAGCAGAATACAGTATTTAGTGTGGTGCACCAATCCTTTTTTAGTCTCACTTAATATAATACCTTATTGGCCTCAGCCTCCCTCTGTACACGATAAAAGTTGGCATCAGCTCTAGCTTTCTCCTTTGCTAAATGAGTTAAATCTGAAATATATACAAATGTTAAAAATCATGCAATTATAAATAAACAAAACAAAATCCCTGCAATTTAAATAAATGATATTAATGAATATAAACTAATGATAACATTTTATTTTATAGATATTCCATCCATTACTAATGCTGATGTCTCATTCTGAAAACTCAAAGTCAATTTGTGCAATATTGTATCCAGTATTTGGTTCTATAAATTCTAATGTAATTTGCATTAATAGAAACAAGTTAACAATTTCAGTTATGAATATTACTAGTGTGATCAGTGGTATAAAAATGAAACATGTCATACAATGTTAATAAAATGAAAAATTTCTTCTCTATTTAATGTATTTTGATGCAAATCTAATCTGCAAACAATGCAATATAACATTGTATTGTAAGTATACCTTCTATTTGTGACATGCGTTTCTCTGATTCCTTCTCCATTACTTTCTGTTCCCATTCTATCTTAGCAACTGATGCATTCTTCTCAGCCTCTATTATATTAATATAACAATTAGCCAAAGTTGTACATAATAACTGAACATTATTGTCATAATAAATTACCAAATCAAACAAGTTCTAAAACAATGATACAACAGTAGTCAAGCAATCATCTCCAGCAGAATAATTCTCTTGTACTAAAATATGTGGATTCCCTTCCAAGAAATCATGTTGGCTTCTTCATTTTTTTGTGTTCTAATCTTGAAACCTATCAGATTAACAATACTGGATATTTGAAAGCAACAGAACTTCATGAATCAAATTTGTTAATTCAATGAAGAGTTATTCTAATGAAGCATGCTGTATATAGATTGTATTTTATTAGTTTGGTTGGTTTTAAATAAAGATTTTAACATGTTTTGGATATATCTTAGCAAAGGTTTGACCTATCTAGCTTTACTGGATAATTAACCGATTAATTACCATTTTTTCTGCACATGACTGGCTACTAAATCCCTCAAGATTTCTGAATCAGCAGTGAAAGACAAATGTAAATTGGACCGAGATCAATTTCTCAGGGAGAAATTTCACCTCACTCAATGAGATCAAACAAAGCAACCCATGATTTTTTAACCTAATACTCTTCATACTGAGCAAAGTGTGGGGGTGAGGGGACTATTTTTAATGTAATATAAACAAGAGGGCCATGATGGCCCTGAGGTCGCTCACCTGTATATAGCCCCCCCCCCCCCAAATGTTGCAGGGCCAATTTAACCCAAGGGCTTTTATTTGCACAAACTTGGTAGACACCCATAAGAAGATGTTTCATGCTAAACATCTAAGCTCTAGCTCTTTGGGCTTTTTAAAAGAAGATTTTTTTAAAGTTTTTACTATACACATATAGTTAAAAACAATGACACCCCCTGGGGCCGGGCCAGTTTTGACCCCAGGGCTTTTATTTGAACAAACTTTGTTGACACTTACTAGAAGATGTTTCATGCTTAATATCTAAACTCTAGCTATTTGAGTTTTTTCAAAGAAGATTTTAAGTTTTTGCTATACACATATAAAGAAAATCAATGACCCCGGGGCGGGGCCAATTTTGACCCCAGGTCTTTTATTTAAACAAACTTTGTAGACACTCACTAAAAGATGTTTCATGCTTAATATCTTAACTCTAGCTATTTGGGTTTTTTCAAAGAAGATTTTTTAAGTTTTTGCTATACACATATAAGGAAAATCAATGACCCCCGGGGCGGTGCCAATTTTGACCCCAGGGCTTTGATTTGAACAAACTTGGTAGACACCTATTAGAACATGTTTGATGCTAAATATCTTAGCCATAGCTCTTTGAGTTCATTTAAAGAAGATTTTTTAAGTTTTTACTATATGCATATAGGGAAAATCAATGACCCCCCGGGGCGGGGCCAATTTTGACCCCAGGGCTTTTATTTGAACAAACTTGGTAGACACTTATTAGAACATGTTTCATGCTAAATATCTTAGCTCTAACTCTTTTGGTTCTTTAAAAGAAGATTTTTAAAGTTTTTACTATATGCATATAGGGAAAATCAATGACCCCCTGGGGCGGTGCCAATTTTGACCCCAGGGCTTTTATTTGAACAAACTTGGTAGACACCTATTAGAACATGTTTGATGCTCAATATCTTAGCCATAGCTCTTTGAGTTCTTTAAAAGAAGATTTTTTAGGTTTTTACTATATGCATATAGGGAAAATCAATGACCCCCCGGCGCGGGGCCAATTTTGACCCCAGGGCTTTTATTTGAACAAACTTGGTAGACACCCATTAGAACATGTTTCATGCTAAATATCTTAGCTCTAGCTTTTTGGGTTCTTTAAAAGAAGATTTTTTAAGTTTTTACTATATGCATATAGGGAAAATCAATGACCCCCCGGGGCGGGGCAATTTTGACCCCAGGGCTTTTATTTGTACAAACTTGGTAGACACTCACTAGAAGATGTTTCATGCCAAATATCTAAGCTCTAGCTCTTATGGTTTTTTAAAAGAAGATATTTAAAGTTTTTTCTTTCGGTTGCTATGGCAACCAGAGTTCTGCATGGAATTAAATTCTTTGAACAATTTTTAAAGGTGACCACCAAAGGAACATTCCTGTGAAGTTTGGATGAAATTGGCTTAGTGGTTTATGAGGAGATGTCATTTAAAGAAAAAGTTTACGGACGACGGACGGCCGGACGCCGGACGAAAAGCGATCACAAATGCTCACCCTGTCACTTTGTGACAGGTGAGCTAAAAATACATGTAATTCATTTTTATCTATCCTAGCTTTTTTTCTTAATATAATATAAGAAATAAATCATATTACCTATGATAGCTTTTTTTCTATCAGTTTCTGCCTCTTTCTCAATAACTCTCTGTTTCTGTACAGCAATTAACAGTTTGGTCTTCTCAGCTTCCCTGATATATGTATAACAACTTATCAATACAATTAGAAAGTGTAGAAAATTAAAGTATAAGATCTACATAAGTTTTTATAACATAGAAGTTCTTAAATGAAATCACAGGAAATATGAAAATATCATGCATTTCCAATGGTAGGATACTACGTCATCGTGCACCTGCAAAATGCTCCCAATCAGACTGTTTGTTTCTTTGTTGACTCGAAGATAAAATAGGTTTTTATTTTAAAACTTTACGCTTTTTCAATTATATCAAGTACTAAGGCCAATCTTTGGTGCGCTACATTATTTTTTGATATTATAATAATTTCTTAGAATAAAAACATAATTTACCTTCGAGTTCCTGGGATGTTTACAAAAAAAAAAGAATAAAAAAAGTTCGATATGGAGCATTTTGCTGGTGCATTATGACATGGTATCCTGCCATTGATTTCTGCTCAGCTAAATTTTTTTTTCTTCTGGGTTAACTGATGTCTATTTGATATCTATAAAGCATGGAAAGTGGCAAAATACACCAACCTATCATAAAGCTAATGCAGATAAGTTAATAGTGAAATAAGGTGATATTTCAAGAACTTACATCATTTCATAGTTTTTGCGGATTTGTTCTGGTATTTTAGGTTTTGTGACACGGACACTGTGTACTGTAAGTCCTGGAGCATTGTCAGTCAGATCTTCCTGTAACGACTCCTTCAAATTCTCATCTATCTTATCTGTAATATTTAATTACCTCTAATTGATTCAAACAGAGTTAACAACATTGTGTGAGAAATACTAGAGAGATTCTAATAAAATCAATTTCATTACTCTTCATACCAAATTTTAGACATTTAAATAGGCCTTTATTGATGTAAAGAATATACTGACATCAAAAGGCGATAATTAGGCAGCTAGTAGTTTAAAATTTGGTCAGACTGCATGGCTTAATTCCATAACATAGGCAAATTATCTATCATAAGTGTTAAGTGGACACAAAGTTTATAGCTTCCATTTTCATAATTGTAACTATGTTATGTAAAGTTACATCTTTGTGAGGTTACAGTATTTTTGCCATTGTTTATGGTATGATTCAGAAGCAAAGTTTGTCTAACATTGGGATTGAAAGTCAAAGCTGTGTAGACCTTGCATAAATGAGTAACTCATCTGAGTCAAAATACAGAAATTTATCTTTACCATACTACAATGCGACTTATTTGTATAATTCAGCATGTCACAAGATATAAGAAAGTAAAAAAGCTGCACAATAAAGTTGTGAAATGACAGATAAAAGAATTAATACATGATTATCTACCTTTGTTACATCAAGATCAATTATCAAATCAAGCCACAATTTTCTTATCATTGAGATAAAAACATAACAACATTCAATTTTAAGTAACCCTTACCAAAAAGGTTAGTATAGACCTTTTGCAAGATAATGTTAAGTAAAGCAAACCAAAAATCTCTTTTCTAGATAATGTAAAACTTAACAAACAGATCAATATAGATCTTTTGTAGATTATGTAAAGTTAGGCATGTCAAAAATATCTCTTTTTAATTATATAAAACTTACCGAAAAGATCAATATAGACCTCTTGTAGATTATGTACACTACAGAACTGATTAAGTTCATGGTGTATTTTGTTATAGATGAGTGTTCTATCATAATCGGCCGTGTAATTCTTCACCATGTCGTGTACCGAACTCTCCGCCAACTTGTTTACAACTTCAACACGATCAAAATATATAATGACACCACCACTAAAATATAACAAATAAGTGTGCTAAACACCAAGTTTGGTTTTGATACCTTGTTTTTAAGTAATAATATGAATGCATACTCAATAGTTCACACAGAAGTTTTATCTTATCATCAAAACCATCCAAAATAACTGTCTTAGAACAGAACTTTAATGTAACAAGACTGGCTTAATGTATAGGAAAATATTACCTGGTTCCACATGGCACATTTTTCACTTCATCTGTTTGTAATGTTGTCTTAAATTACAAAACATTCAAATATGTAATTATATTTTTGTTCAAATATTTTAGCAATTTTCACAAATAACTCATAAAGTTTTTTTCATCAAAATTATACTGAAGTTCAATAAAAGAGTCTTTAATCATAAGAACAATTTGTTTAAAGGCATAACATGAACACCACTGTTGAGGTCATAAGATTACTTTCCAGTTTTATAAGTGGGGGAAGACATAAGATGTCCCTTCCTGAATTATTTCAATAACTAGTGAGCGCAAAAGCAGAACTACAGATCTGTAAGCTAACAAGATTGTGTCTTCACATGAAAGAATCCAAAATATCCTACATAAGTCAGATTTTCCATTCAGTTTAGAAGGTTATAACAAGCATCTTGTATAATACATAGTTCACTAATACATAGAAGAATATAAGAGCCGTCGCAAAGTTCAGCTGACTTCAGAATTTTTTAAGACCCAATCCTATTAATGATTTATCTTCATGGGACAGTAAACACCTTAAATTAATTGAAAGTATCAAAACTTACCTGTACACTCCTGAATGATGTGATGAATGGAACCATGAAATGATATCCTGGTGAACTTACACTGCTCAACAATGCACCGCCCTGTCAGTAACAATATAATCATTAAATTTTATCATCATAATATTAATACAATATATTGAAAACAAAATACTAAGTCACAGGTGTAGTTGTATTTTTAGTACATGTATAACACTGTTATAAGTTACTCATGGACACTATTATTTCTTGTTTTTCTGTTGTCGTTTTTAACGCCGTTCTTTAAATTATTTATCTATCATTTATTATTTTTTAAATATAATTTATTATCATATATGTTATCTCAGCAGTTGATCAACCTTACTGACTTTCCTGGTTAGCTAACCATTAAGTACCAATTTTTCCACATTAGCCTCAATGCCCGATATTAAATTGTCACAGAGATTCCATTTCTTTGGAGTACTGTCCATTATCTATTTTGGGGATCAATATACAAGTTCAAAGTTTGTCAGTCAACAGTACAGAGCCTTGTCATACTGTAGTGTTATGCCAGCTGGTCTGGCTCTATACTGGTGGCAAAGGCAATTTCTCTTGCTTCCATTTAGCATCACTTTTTTCCCCATTTTACACTTGTTAAAAGGTAAAGATTTAATATCTTTATAAAAAGAGACTGCTACAATTTGGGAAAAACTTACCCGATAATAAACGCCAACATGACCTGTAAGAAAAAATATATTATATTACAATTTTTAACAAAGATATAAAGCATTTTTCGGTTGTGTTTGATATCACACCAACATTAATGGTGGAAGAAGACGAAGGTGCCCCTCTGTGCATTATTTCAGGCACAAGCTAGTACCCAAGTAGAATTATTGATGTTCCATAAACTAGCTGGATAGCTTTTTCACATGAAAAAATCTAAAGTCCAACGCAGGATTCTAACCTATATAAGTGAGGTAAGCGGCTAGTGGTTTGATATCGAGAACCTTAACTACTCAGCCATGGACAACCGGAGTTGTATAGCTAATACATTATCAATCAAAATACTTCTTACATTATGGCAATCAAAAGAAATGTGAAGTGAATATAAATAAGTATAATAAAAGGTATAGACAATAATGTAAATCACTATTTTAAATTTTACCCAAGAAACCATGCATGCCTGAAATAATATGGAGTCTTCCTCCACCAGAAAAGCTGGAAAATGACCATATTATAAAACCTTAACTTTGATAGTCATTTGATGTGGCTGAAAACCTTAAAAAAAAGGGAATTTCTGGAGAAAACATAACACCTTAAGATAGACAGAAAAGTAGAATGTTTATTAATGGTGATTAAATGACATTTCCATCACTTACTCATTGAATCATATTTAAGCTTGAAAATCATTTTATAATTCTATTTTAAAACACACTTCCTTAAATTTTGTCATGCATTTCTATTTCATGATTCAGACATTAAACAAATAGATTATATCCACATTAATAGTTTTATCTTAAGAAAATGATAGCTTCCTGTTTAAATGTCTGGCAAAAGAAAACAAGAGGGCCATGATGGCCCTGAGGTCGCTCACCTGTATATAGGCCCCCCCAACGTTGCATGGCCAATTTAACCCAAGGGCTTTTATTTGTACAAACTTGGTAGACACCCATAAGAAGATGTTTCATGCTAAACATCTAAGCTCTAGCTCATTGTGCTTTTTAAAAGAAGATTTTTTTTAAGTTTTTACTATACACATATAGTTAAAAACAATGACACCCCTGGGGCCGGGCCAGGGCTTTTATTTGAAGAAACTTTGTAGACACTTACTAGAAGATGTTTCATGCTTAATATCTTAACTCTAGCTATTTGGTTTTTTTCAAAGAAGATTTTAAGTTTTTGCTATACACATATAAAGAAAATCAATGACCCCCGGGGCGGGGCCAATTTTGACCCCAGGTCTTTTATTTGAACAAACTTTGTAGACACTCACTAAAAGATGTTTCATGCTTAATATCTTAACTCTAGCTATTTGGGTTTTTTCAAAGAAGATTTTTTAAGTTTTTGCTATACACATATAAGGAAAATCAATGACCCCCGGGGCGGTGCCAATTTTGACCCCGGGCTTTTATTTGAACAAACTTGGTAGACACTAATTAGAACATGTTTGATGCTAAATATCTTAGCCATAGCTCTTTGAGTTCTTTAAAAGAAGATTTTTTAAGTTTTTACTATATGCATATAGGGAAAATCAATGACCCCCTGGGGCGGGGCCAATTTTGACCCCAGGGCTTTTATTTGAACAAACTTGGTAGACACTTATTAGAACATGTTTCATGCTAAATATCTTAGCTCTAACTCTTTTGGTTCTTTAAAAGAAGATTTTTTAAGTTTTTACTATATGCATATAGGGAAAATCAATGACCCCCTGGGGCGGGGCCAATTTTGACCCCAGGGCTTTTATTTGAACAAACTTGGTAGACACCTATTAGAACATGTTTGATGCTCAATATCTTAGCCATAGCTCTTTGAGTTCTTTAAAAGAAGATTTTTTAAGTTTTTACTATATGCATATAGGGAAAATCAATGACCCCCCCGGGGCGGGGCCAATTTTGACCCAAGGGCTTTTATTTGAACAAACTTGGTAGACACCCATTAGAACATATTTCATGCTAAATATCTTAGCTCTAGCTCTTTGGGTTCTTTAAAAGAAGATTTTTTAAGTTTTTACTATATGCATATAGGGAAAATCAATGACCCCCCGGGGCGGGGCCAATTTTGAACCCAGGGCTTTTATTTGAACAAACTTGGTAGACACTCACTAGAAGATGTTTCATGCCAAATATCTAAGCTCTAGCTCTTATGGTTTTTTAAAAGAAGATATTTAAAGTTTTTTCTTTCGGTTGCCATGGCAACCAGAGTTCTGCATGGAATTAAATTCTTTGAACAATTTTTAAAGGTGACCACCAAAGGAACATTCTTGTGAAGTTTGGATGAAATTGGCTTAGTGGTTTATGAGGAGATGTCATTTTAAAGTAAAAGTTTACGGACGCTGGACGGACGCCGGACGAAAAGCGATCACAAAAGCTCGCCCTGTCACTTTGTGACAGGTGAGCTAAAAATCAAACAATGTGTACTCTTTGATATACTTTGAATAAGAAAGTTAATGTTTAAAGCTGCATGCCTCCAAATGAGTAAAAAATATTTCAATAAAATCAAAATTGAAAAATATATACTAATATTTTTGGAAAAGTAAAATGAGTCAAGATTCAAGAAATATTTTACTGGTTATGTTCAATAATAAATGATTTTTCAGTATTTACTACTGTATTTCTACTGCGTTACTAACACAGTAAGGGCTATTTATGCATATTTTGACCACTTTTTTGTAATTTACTTGGGTTTTAAGTGCCATTGAAAATGTGTAAATTGCTTCTTTTTGGTTAATTCACAATATCATACATGTACATTCAAATACATTATCAACATTTTCATGAAAATAAGCATGAATCTGGAGGCATGCTGCTTTAAAATTTCTTGGCCATATTCAAACTTGTAAAGTGTTCTTTCCACCTGACAACAAATATTTGTTTACATTGTCCTGAACCAAATTGCTTACATTCTGATTGATATCTCATCCACTTAACTATTGATTATCCTACTTTAAACATTCAATATCTTATATCCTGTTGTAACATATTTGTAAAAACATGTCCATTTATTTTTTGTTCTCATGTAAATCATTTGATCATCCCAAGAAACAGAAACATTTTTATGCCTCTTTAGAACTGGCTTTATCAAACTTTTATCTTACGTTTCCCTACATTGTACAACAAGTTGTTTTATTTTTAATATCATTTAGCAATAAAAGATCATGTTAAATCACACTTACATGTAATTGACTGTCAGATTGTTTTTCTTACTTACAGTTCAATAAACTGATTGGTTCATTAAACATGAAATATTTTATAAATAGCATCAATATAGATAATTGAAATATCACCAAGTTTTGATGTGAGGTTACCTTAGACAAGAGCTGTGGGTAGGACAGTGTGCTCTCAACTATTCTCAATGCTTGTAAGTGAAACAAGGTGAAACAAGAGCCTGAATAATGTGGAATTTTCTAAGTTAAAAAAGGGCCATAATTCTGTCAAAATCCATTTAGAGTAATGGGCCTTGGCCAATGACCTACTATGTTCACAAATAAGTGTGTGAAGGTTCAACCTTTTTGATTTGGTAGTACTGAAGATACAAACTTACACACAAAATCTGAACCAAAGTGTGATGCCAAAGACAAGGTGAGTACAACAGCTTTATGCTTATTTTTTCGAAAAGTCAAGCTATGAATGACATAGTTTACAGACCTTAAAAGGATAGAACATTTATTGAAGTAGTACCAGTTATAATTATATACTGCCTATGAAGACAAGGAGCTGAAAGAATCACTATAATTGAGTGACATTCTCCCATGTATATTTGTAAAGTAATATTTTCAAAGTGTTAAAAATAAAAATTGTCCTAAAAAGAATAAAATAAAGTTACTATGCTGATTAGTTCAGAAGTATCTATGCAATTAAGAAAAAAACAACAAACTTACCTTCTTCTATCTTGTGTATAGAGAAGTTAGTAAACATGGCCATGCAAGCCACAGCTACACCAAATCCTATCAGTGCTTGACTCATGCTTGCTCACCTGCAATATAGTTTTGAAGGTTCTATTTCAAATGTTTTTCATACCATAAAACATTGAATCACAAAGAAATTCTGTTTTTGTAGTCATATGGATTAGGTTAAGAAGTCCCCGGCACTAAACTGTATGCTTATCTGGGAATTGATTTTTCATCTTATATGACAAAGGCATCTAAAAGGCCTCTTTCAAATGGAAATTGTCTATTAAATCATGCAGTTTTCCCAAAATTCTAAACTTACACCAGCTTTTCTACTTCCAAACATCAATTTTAGCAATAATTATTCCCAAAATCAACAGGCTAAGGCCGCTTCCCAATTTTGTGGAAAAAAAACCCCACACACTAGTTGTAGATACAAGTCTTACTTCAAATATATCCCAACTCACTTCAACAAATATAAATGTAATATCCATAAATTGGAAATGATAGTACATTGTTAAATCAACTGTTTAAATATCCATTTGTTGTTTTTAAAAACAAATGACCTAGTAAACATTTTCACAAAGTAAAAGATTTAGAATATATACTGGGATGCTTCATATTTACCGGACAATCAGTTTACCGGACAAAATCTATTCCAGTCGAATTAGGCTTTATTTCTGTTTCAATTAAAAAATCATCCAGTCTGAATTGCACCCACACTTTCAATTTTGAAATAAAGAACAACAAGACCACTCTTATACAAATATTGTTGATTCAGACCTTTATTAAATAAAATGCCCTAATGTTTACTATTTTATTTCATACCTGGTTATGCGGAGGAATCATGTGTTCTGTGTATGCCAGAATGTTGAGGCCCTTAATGGGTAAATTTATACAGATTTTACTTACATAACTTCTCTGAGATATCTCAGCAGACAATCCTAACATATTTTAATGATAAAAAGTACATCTACCGTAAAATTCCTATTAAATGCCCCCGGGGGCTAAACATTTTCCAAAAGGGGGGCTATTATTACCTAAATCCAAAAATCATTGAAAATACATTTAGTGTAACAAAAGCTGGTAATAACATTAAATGTGTTAAGATTTTAAAGTTTATGTGATACATTTTTGTGTTTACTATGATATAAAATGGATTCTGAAGGATTTGAATAAAATTACGGATTTATTAAAGAGTTCACCACTCATGAGCAGATTTGTTTCCATATCAAAAAGCCTGTGGGGGGGGGGGGGGGGCTTTTATTAGGGGAGGGGCGTTTATAAGGAATTTTAACGGTAAATTTAATCCAGACAGTATTTCGTTGTTGTATTTTTTAAAGGAAAATGCAAAGTAAAAACCATATTAGGAATCGGGTCACGCCAGATTTTTCAAACCAATGGATGAAACTCTACATGAAAGGTAAATGAAAATATATTGTCTGGATTTTACTGGCTTCATCATCATGACGACCAAAATGAAAGTGTATGACAAAGAATAGAGTTACAAATGAATATCTATATTTATGTTTACTGATTTATGATGAATCAATATGATAATTGAGTTAATATTGTGAATTTCCATTACACCCCTTATATAGTCCTCTTCGTGGCTACCGTGTATATTTCTAGTGACATCTTTGGGTTTTCCTATATCATTACCGCGCCATTTAACAGTCGCAGTTCCCTTGCTAATTATTTAAAGATTAATTTCAATTTACAACTTCAAAATATTATGAAACACAATGTCAGGTTAATCGAATTGTCTGCACGATTTTTTTAAGGATGGCCTAATATGTAGGATCCCATGATCTCATGATGGTTATTGAATGCAGGGTCTTTCAAATAGAATGGTCTGGAGACAGACCAATTTTACAAAAAATGCTGTCTTGGTTGAGTCACGTGGTTGGGTTATCAAAAATCAAATTATTAGATAATGTTTTGTTAAATCAATCAAAAAATTACTAAAAACTGACTCTTGACTACATTATATTATCAGTTTTTTACTTTAAAATTAGCAATTTTATAGATTTGCAATGAAATTAGAAATTTTTCGTTCCCGGTGTCAAGGTAAAAATCTACTGCTCATATTTGAAAATAGGTCCGAGTTTCATGAGCTTTTTTATACATTCATGCATTGTTCAATGACAAAATAGAAATTGATTTTACAGAGAAAAGATGTTATTAAATTGTATTATGTAAAAATATTATAATATTTCACGGTGTTATTTGCAAATATTTGAGGTTTAATTTGGTACATTTTCAAAATGGCGCCGATTATCAGCAAATATTCTCAACAATCAATTTATGTTTTTTAACAAAGATGGCTTTAAAAAAATATCATTTCCTGAAATATTTATCCTTTTTTCAAAAGTTTAAAGAATTTTAAATAACATCATGTCGTCAAAATTTTCATTTTTGCTCTTGTATTTAATATTGAACACTTACATAATTTGCTTATACGCGGAAAGTCCGAGCGGGGCCAAAGGCCCCGCGAGGGCTGTAGCGCTCTTAGATAACATGTATGATGCATATCAATTCAAATAAAATCAAATTAAAAGTAAATGAAAATTTCAAAAAAATATCCTATACCTAATGAGCTGTGAAAAAATCCTTAGTTAACTGGGCGCCGCCATTTTGGAATCCTTTTGAGCTAAATATAGATATCAGAGCGCTTTTAATGAGCGTCTTCATAATTCAGACTACTGCTAGCAGACGCATGCTAAATAACACTTCCGGTGAAAGAATGATGTACAAAATCAGAAAATAAACATGCATTTCATTAATATAATTATAGTAACGATTATGAATATAAAAAGTTACTTTAACGTATCCATTTTGATAAATAAGCACATTAAAAAATAACGTTAAAACAACAACTGTGATTAGAGATTAACAAAAATGGCGGCCGGAATTTTCCAAACGCCGACGCATGCGCAGTGGCCCCCCTTTTCGGGCGCCCCGATGATAGGTTGAACACCACCAATTTATCCGTTTTGTTTACGGTACTAAATACCTGCAAGAAAAATCTGGTTTACATGTACACTAAACATGTTATGCTAAAATCATAATTCATTAGAGCTTTCCGCGCCATAGGTAGCACCTAATTTCATATTAGCAAACTATACCGATTTATACCGAGACATGTTTAATTGTAGCGAGAAGGGTTTACATAGTGTGTTTCAAGACCATTCTATTTGAAAGACCCTGTTGAATGGGATGAATAATTTTATCAATTTCAAAAATGATAAGAAGGGTTGGATGAGCAAAGCACCACTGTACTTTCATAATTAAATTATTATGTTTGTAAATAAGTAGATATGAAATTATTAATAGTCCATAAATTTACACTGTCCATAAGTAAATATCATGAAATCCCAGTGTTCGAAATTAGCAGTAGTCCGATAGCCCCTGACTACTAAATTTCTCCTCGGGCTACCAACTTTTTACAGTAACAAGCCCGACCAGACTACTGTATCTTCAGAGGCAATATAAACAACTGTTTTGAACAAATGAATCATGCTAGTGAAATGTCTTTTGGGCTAGTGAATATTCCAATCTGGTAGTCCGACCGGCCTAGTAGATTCAAATCCGAATTTCTCACACTGAAATCCTAGACCTGTCATGCCCGTTTAGGCTGAAAGTTGAAACTGTAAAATTGGAAACCGGCAAGTAAACAGGTGGCTCAAAAAAAATTTGTAGGAAGTGCCATTACACGTAACACGATACACAAAGAATGAAATTCGGTTACCTTTAACAGTCTATTTCTTAATTAAAGACGGTGTGTTAAGAGTAAAACAAATGAATATTTGTCTATTTGACGCAAATTCTGAAAAAATTCTCTGAAAGATGATGAAGCGGTGCAAGTTAAAAAAATCAGTTGTATAAATAAAGTAACAGGTATAAGACGGTCAAATGTTTAAAAAAGTGGCACTCATTTAAGGTTACGTAGTACTATTTTTTATTTTTGCAACATCATTGATCACAGTCACAAAAACATAAATATACATATATAAACACCGGTTTAACAAATAAAAATTTCATTACATAAAATTGATATAAATGAATTAAATCATGGACTGTGATATAAATAAAGAGATGGGTTAAAGCTATGAAAAATCACTGATAAGATTATGACTACAACTATCAGAAATATTATTGCTAAGAGCACAAACATTTTATACTAGCATTAATTATTGTTATAAAGTTAACATAGATGTAAAGATATTATAAAGGAGGATAAAAATACATGTATTTAAACAGGTTAAAAATGATACAATGATTTTGTTCAAAGTAATTTCCAATAGGGTCCTATATATGAACTAAAATGGGACAAAATGAAACCACGAAGAGAGACATATTTTGATTAGAAAAAATTATGATAAAAAAGTAACTTCGAAATAATTTTTGGATTTCTCAATATAAGTTTACATAATAATGTTTGTAAATGAACGTGCAAAATAAGGGCACTAGCTTCAGAGGCTTAATTGACACTTGCAGGCTATATTATCAAGGTAGATTTGTATAATCACATCATGGAACGTAATAAAATATGATAAACAAGATCGACAAGGAAAGGCGGCATTCAATGAACGCAGCCCCCACCCGACCCAGCAACAAACGCCAGCGGCAAGGAGCCCAGGAGGACCCCAAATAAAAAAAGGACAGGGCACAAGGCAGAGTACGGGCAGGCAAACCACTACATCAGAATACATAATTATTAACTAATAAGGAACTAAAACAAAACAAATAAATGATTTAATATAAGGCCCATAATGCCAAAAGGCACAGGGGAAGGGGACATGAGACACGGGGAAGGGGGGGGGGGATAAAATAAATACAAACTAGGGACAAGGGAAGATACTTACCGTAGACGAGAAACAACAAGAGACACAAGCAAACGTGTCACCAAAACAGTATAAAACAACATAGACATACATCTGAGGAACACAGAGGGGCGCCGCCTTGGAACGGTCAGCAGCATAATAATGACTACTGGGGAGTTTAAACCGGTTAATGGTGCACCAAACCTCGCTCTTAGCCCCACCATGTTCCTATAAACGAGACAGTGTAAATAAAATGAATCCCCGCCAAGTGAAATTCTAACAGTTGTTATGGTTACAAAAGGTTAAATAAGTAAAACACCAAGATGTATGTAGATCTGTGATCACATAAAACAAGACACAGGAGTTACATAAGATGACTACGAAAAATAGAATGAAATTAGGCGTTCTTATGACGCCACTCAGTAATAGAGAAAAAATCTGGAAGAAGGATCATCCCTTGGAGGCATTTATCACAACAAAATTATATGAAAATTGCAGACTCGGACTGCAGATGTTTCTAAATTAGAAGTTTTGCCATTGCGTGTTTAAATGTTGAATTCTGATTCAGTCGGTGCTAGGGGCGTGGAAAGTAGCTTGCACTTTCCAGTACTTCTTCTTCTTCTTCTTCTTCCAATACTGTACATAACCCATTCTGGAGCATTGACGTACAGGGTGTATGTACAAAGTGTTGTGCGGCGAATAAGTGCAGATTTAAAAGAAGAACATGTTAAAAATAAAATCAACTCCGGCATATTAGGGCCCCATGACTAGTCCTCCCTTGAAGGCCTCAAGGTTGACTGCTGTGGCTAGGTGCTCTGGAAGCTGGTTCCACAGGCGGATGGCCGAAGGTACAAAGGAGAACTTCATGGTGTCTGTTCTGCAGAATGGGACATGGAATCTGTGTCCATAGCCATGGCCACCAAGTGTCAGGGGGTGGAAGTACTATGCAGTTTGGATGGCTATGAGGTTGTGCGTGATCCTGTAGACCATCACTAGCTTGGCATTGGAGCGGCGATGCTGTAGAGTTGGCCAGCCTAGGTCTGTCATCATTACAGTGGTGCTGCTGGTAGTTTTGTAGTCGCCTTTTACAAATCGGGCAGCTCGCCTTTGGACAGCTTCAAGCTGGTTGATGTTGGTGGCTGTGTGTGGGTCCCAGACTGTGCCTGCGTACTCCAGGATTGGTCTAACAAGGGTCTTGTAGGCCTGAGCCTTGATGTCTTGTGGGCAGCTTGTGATGTTTCTTCTGAGGAATGATAGAGAGTTGTTGGCCTTTTTGATGGTAGATTCTGTATGTGTGTTCCATGAAAGATTATTAGCGATGTTGACACCAAGGTACTTTCCACTTTTGACAGATTGAAGAGTTGATTGATGGACCTTGTAAGCATAAATGATGGGGCTTCTTTTCTTGGTGATGTGTATGACTTCACATTTGCTGGGATTGAAAGACATCATCCACTTGCGTTCCCATTCCTGGAGTCTATCTAGGTCTTCTTGGAGGGCTAATGCGTCAGCTTCTGATGTGATTTTCCTGTAGATCAGGCTGTCGTCAGCAAATAGGCGGCTGATTGAAGTCACGCACTTTGGTAGGTCATTGATGTAAAGGAGGAACAGTAAAGGACCTAGTACTGTCCCCTGGGGTACACTTGATGTAACTGGGGAGGATGCAGATGAATGGCCTTCAACGACAACTTGTTGGCTGCGGCCAGACAGGAAGCTCTCAATCCAGCTTCTGACTGTCCCTCTGATGCCGTAGTGATCTACCTTGGAGAGGAGTCGTTGGTGAGGCACATCGAACGCCTTACTGAAGTCTAGTAGTATGGCGTCTACTTGTTCCCCTTGATCCAGGGCTTTTAAATTATGCCGCTTTGAACTTTCCTTAGGGATTTTATTTCTCTTTATTTGATTGAGTATGTACATGAGGGATAATGAAAAATGTAACATCCCTCACGCACTCATTTTGATGTTGTGCAGTCCAGCGTTATCAAGATGATGGCTTTTCATAGAGGTTTTGCGTTATGTTGGATTTGTTAAACATTTCACATTATCTGGCTAACTATTGGAATCTTTAATACTTTATTTATAGAAAAATTGTCATTTCTTTCGTTAGAAATGGAAAATTTTGATTATTTGATTTATTGTTGTATTTGTGTATAATTATCAGATATCCGAACAAATTTTGTTTACATATAAGTTGGACAATTATTATAAATATCTTATGCATATGATTAAGTCTATTTTCCATACTTAAAATGTACACGTCTGTAAAGCCTGAAGGAGTTAAAATAATTCTTGGATGGTAATCTTTATTAAATCTAATGACTTTATTTTGAGCTACTTGTAGTTTCCTGTATAGGGGTTTAATTGACTTTTCGTACCAAGACGAGCGAGAAAGTCAAGATGACACTGAATTAAAGCTGAACAAAGCAGTTTTTCTACAGTTAAAGAATAGACATTTTCTATGTCTGTACTAAAATATAAGCTCAATTTCTCTCCAGATTTTTTGTTTTCAAACCAAAATATTTGAATGTCTTAGTTGATTCAATAGTGTTTAGTTGATTCAATAGTGTGACCATTGCAAATAACATTGAAACTTATTGATTTTTCTTATTTTTTTTCTTAGGACCAAAATCATAAATTAAGTTTTTCCTAGGTGGAGAGACAGTTTATTATCAACCAGCCAATTGAGAAAGATTCTAGAACTTTACATAATTTCTTTGAAATAAAATCAAGATCATGATCCGGGATGAGAAAAAGGTATAGTGCTGTCATCTGCATATAAAATGAGCTTACACTCAGAATCGATACTGGTGATCAAATCATTTACGTAGCATAAAAGAGCATAGAATATAAAAATATTTTTTTCCGAGGAACACCACAATTAACTTTTGTCCGAGATGAGGAAACCTCTCCAATATGTTCAACTTGTTTACTGTTATTAAGATCTGTAACCAGTCTGTATTGGTTATTCCCATAAGGTCAAGTTTTCCACAAAGAATAAAATGTAATGAATGTAAGTGTATATATAAAATATTTTTTCTATTCTGTGAAATCTATGAAAATGAGAAATACAATGTAATAATGACACAAGTACCTATTGACTATAATATTCTGAAACCGGATTGGTGTTCATACAATAAATTGTTTTTGACAAGATGTGATTCTATTTTATTATATGCAGTTCTTTCTTAAATGTCTGAAAAAATGCTAAAAAATAATAACAGGCCCTAGCTGCCCACTTCAGGTTTACCATTTTTCATATAACGGTTTTTGATGTTGTTCTGGCAAATTTTTAAATCACCAGGAACATAGTTTTCTTTAATAGACATATCTATTTTAAAAAAACAGGTAATTTAACAAAACTAGCTCCAACGTTTAAAAAATCTTGCAGGTATTCCATTCAGACCTGTATTTTGTATTTTTTTAACAAACTTTTAAGGGACCACAGGAATTGTTTTGCAACCGTCAGATCAAGAAGTAAGGATTTAGTGGTATCTTACCTAATTTTATTACGCGAAATTATAAAACTTTAATACAATGTAGCACCTGCTGCTGCACTGTGCTGATTGGTGGATTGCGGAGAATAAACTTAAAGTGAGGCGTTAATTACCCGCAAATTGGTGATTAACGCAATCATACGGTATTATAAAAGTCCCCAGTTCTCTTATTTGATATTGAACGTAGGTTATGTCAGCCAAAAATTTATATACATTCACATGAACCGACTTCCTTGCAATTTTACTACCGTTGTGAATATGCTCCAACAAAAAAACAAAATGGCGTTCCAATTTTTTTTTTTTTTTTTGTATTATTTTATTTTTGACTAAATATAATTGAATGACACGCACTTATTCTAGGACAACGAATGTGCAGACAACTAAAGTAGGCTAGATACATACAAAGAGATGTTTTTTTAAAATCATTCTCAGAGTGTTTGAAAACTGTCAGAATTAGTTCTGGATTCCAAAACATTAAGTGCATTTTTTTGTGCCCCCTCGTTGGGGGGGGGGGGATTTACATTTCCCCTTGTCCGTCTGTCTTCCGTCCGTTCTCAT